TTTGTAATCCGCAAAGCTGTGCACAGATGCCAGGTTTGCTCCCAGTGACACACATTGTAGCTAGAGAAAGAGGTAGACAGGGACAAAGAAATGTCATAATGGAAGTATTAGTCAGCAGTCCAGTCTGCGAATTTGTCTTCTGGTCTCTCAGTCAAATATTGGTCATCGCAACTAATGCCCTTTTAAACATGCTCCTACAGATATTATTAAGTCCGTCTTAACCCATGTCATGCGGGTTCCAATATACAAGAGGTCTGATTCCACACATGAAAAAAGTATTCCAAGCTTATAGAAAATTCCAATTAGATAACTTTCAGGTTCAGTATTTTACACGAGGTGCCTGTAAAAAATAAAAGGTTAATTTTAAGCCTGTTGCTCAATAATAATAAAAAAAGAACACATTTAGATTGGAGATTAATTCTAAACTGCCACTTGAGGTGGTTTAACTGATAAAATGGCAGCATATCTACTGTGGAGAGACCAAAACGACAGAGTTCCTCAGATAATATTTAGAGACAGGTTAAATCCTGTTGAATTTTATGATAATGATGAGTTTTCAAGGTGATACCGCTTCTCCAAGGACTCTGTAATGCAACTGGAAAGAAAGGTTGGACCAACCATTAAGCATGGGAGTAATAGGAACGCGGCTGTACCCCCACTACTTCAGCTCTTGGTGACCCAGATGGTGGATGGGGACCTTTTTGGACTCCACAAGTCAACTGTCTGCAGGATTGTAGCCAGAGTGTCCAGTGCTATTGCCAGTCTGAAGAATCAGTACATAAGGTTCAAGCCAACAGAGGAAACAGCAGCTGGATTTTACAGGAGAGCTAGATTCCCAGGTGTACTAGGGGCAATAGACTGTACACACATTCCTATTCCCAACTTTGGTGGTGAGAATGTAGAACTATTCCATAATCGGAAAGGTTACTGCTCCATCAACGTGCAGGCTGTCTGTGATGACAAAGGTCAGCTCACCAACATCGTAGCTAGATGGCCAGGATCCACCCATGACAGCAGAATCTTTGACAATAGTTGTCTGTGTGCAACGCTGGAAAGGGGGGCATATGAAGGCCACCTACTAGGTGACAATGGATATGCCTGTCGTGGGTACCTTATGACTCCTCTTTTAAACCCCCAGACACCTCAAGAGAGAGAATACAACACCTCTCATATCCTGGCAAGAGGTCTCATAGATAGTTTTTGGAGTGTGGAAAAAAAGATTCCCGTGCCTAAAGGAGGGGCTCTGCACAAAGATGGACACTACACTGACAATCATTATTGCGGTAGCAGTTCTGTATAACTTTGGCAAGAGACAAGAAGACGAGCTACCTGAGGAGGACCTACATGAGGAGAATGCAGAAGATGGCCAGGTGCAACATGCTGCCAATGCAAATGGGAATGCTGTGAGGAGAACCTTGATTGAGTACCATTTTGCAGCCTAAGGTGTATATAATGTAACATTGGTAACATGTAAAAAGCAACATTATATTTTGATCGACACAAACAATTCCTATTTAGGCTATCTGTATTCAAATATATTATTTAGACTTTGTTATTCTCAATACCATACAGGGTGGAACTGGAAGCACCAGAACACAAAAGTGGGGACAAGACTGGAGGACACCAAATTGCTTGGGAAAGCATTGTTTTAATAAATAATTGTTTTAATAAATAATTTCTTAAATAAATAAAAAGATCAGCATTCTTTACACAGTGGGCATTTGTTTCCCTGGAGCACTTTCTGTTTCTGAATTTGCAGTAGCTCTTTTTGTAAATTCAGGACCTCAATCTGCAGTAGATTTTTCTCTCTCCAGCTCCAAAACATCAATAGGAGCTTGGTTCATGTCAGTTCTGGGGTGTTTGCTTGGCCTGTCTGGTGTTTTTGCTGCTGGTGCAAGATCCAGGCACTGCTGTTTCTCCACGGCACAGGGTGTCAGCTCAACTAAAGGAAAGGAAAGACAGAAAATGTACTCATTATTAGTAGGCTATTTACGTACAACAATTGAATTGGGGCTTATGATTAGCCCAGCCTTGGTACGAATGATGAAGTTATGCAACATGCTGTAATGGGCCTGATAACGGTAACATTGTAGTGAAGTAGCATTAACGTTAGTTTTAACGTGCATTATAGTCATTGATATTTACCCGTTATTTATGCTTACTAAATATTGGTGGGTCAAGTTGTCCGTCGTCATCATAGGGGTTAAGGAGAGGGGCAAATTGCTGGGGAATCATCTCGCATATCTTCTGGCAGAGAGGATCAATTCCCTTGGACGGAGGCCCCCCTCCGGTCTGAAATAGCCCCCGCCACATCCTTTTTGGCTTTCGCGTTGAAGTTTTTCCAGCACGCCTTCATCCGATTTGGGTCCCTCTTTAATCCGTGTCGATCCATGAAATCTGTTGCATAAAATGGCCCAGGTGTCTTCCTTTTTTTTGACAGTCGTGTTGTCTGTCTATATATCCTCCAGTACGTTACTAAATTCCTCCATCAGCTCCGACAAGAGTTTTTTTTACATAAGCAGAGAAATGTGAACTTCTTTGACGTGCCATGATCAGGTGGCTAGCGGACAAATAATAAATGGCTAAATAACGTTAAGTAATGACAATAAATTATATTTTATGCTAGCTAGCTTGGTTTATAAACTAGCTAGCTACAGTAGCTAACGAATTCGTTTTCTGTCTAGTACTGGTAAATAACGGATTTTATGTGGTTTTATGCTGAGCCACACTGGCTGCGTTTATACAGGCAGCCCAATTGTGATATTTTAAACACATCAGATCATTTTCAGAACTGATCTGATTGGTCAAAAGACCAATTAGTGAAAAAAAGATCAGAATTGGGCTGCCTGGGTAAACGAAGCCATAGTCCTTTATCGGCTTCTGTACACTGGCAATTGTGTTCAGCATGGTGGGCTGGGAAAGCTGAGACTCTTTGTGCTTATGGCGTTGGGCTTGTCCTGTCTGCAGTGAACGAATTTCTTAAACCTCTCATAAAGTTGGTTTTGAAGCCTAAACTGGGAATTTGATACTTTTGACTGATATTATGATTGTCTGTTTGTTTCATATCTGCAAAGTAGTTAAAAGTAGACTCAGAGGGGCTTTCACATATCCTCTTATGATCCGTGCTATAAAGCATGTGTGAAATGCAAACGAACTCTGGCTGAAACGAATCCTGGACCTGAGTGAGTAGTGGGTCCAAGATCCAGGACCAGAGTACCAGGTATTGTGACCTGGCAGCACAAGTCGCCTGGAACTTTTTTGCCTGTTGTAAACAAGTTAGAATGTGGGTTTTGCTAATCCCACCCTGAAACGGTTATTTTCAGAATACGAAACGTATTCTGTAGAATTCTCACAAACGCTTCAGGAAATCAAACCAGGGTACCGAATTTCATATGTAAAAACGCCCTTCAGCCTCAGCAAGCATAATGATGTTGTCACGAGCAGTGCCACATATATTGAGATGAGCAAGATGCAAGACTTCCTCTGTAGCTCAGCTGGTAGAGCACGGCGCTTGTAACGCCAAGGTAGTGGGTTCGATCCCCGGGACCACCCATACACAAAAATGTATGCACGCATGACTGTAAGTCGCTTTGGATAAAAGCGTCTGCTAAATGGCATGTTATTATTATAAGACTTCGCTCTCACACAGTCACACACAATATATGCGCATGTGCTTGGGTTTGCTTCATGCTGCTAAAGCGTGGTACAGTGGACCAAAACAGCGGAGAAGTTGAGCCTCCGCTTCAACGCTCTTAGTTGTTGCGGAAATTGACCCACTATAAAACCCACGAGAGTTATTGAAAACGAATGTTTCTTTACATTATTGGAATTCGGAAATGTTGCAGGTGGAATTTTAGGCAGCGCGCAGCAGGTGGAATTTCCTCTTCTGCACCGCACGATGGGGCTGCGCCTCTCATAAATGCCTGCACAGTGGGTTTGCATGCAACACATATGGAAACGTGAGGCCCATCTAAAGTGGCCCCTAAACACACTCCCAGAGACCAAACAGGATTTTTATGCACAGAAAAAGGGGGACAGAGCAAGACTGGAAGGACAAACCGATAGGCTACTTATTTCAGTACAAACAATTTGGGGATATTCAATGGAATTATTGTGTGAAACCTTGCTTTTAGACATAAAGTAGGCCTATGTGATGAATTGGTTATAATTCCAGGATTCAATAGTGAACCAATTTACAGGCATATAGTTATTGATTAATAGATGTCTTATCATTTTACAGATTTTTGCCATTTATTATGATCCTGGCATTGAATGTTGATCCTGCACCCCATTTAACTGAGCCTTGACCCCGGTGTAGTCTCGTACTACACACGAATGTCACCCTGAAGCTGAATAACTTTGAGTCCCTTCGGTCAGAACAATGAATAACATGTGCGACCTTCTAGCAAATGTGGCAACATTGTAGACTGTAATTGATTAATCAATTTTACTCTTATGACAAATTATTTTTTAAATTAATTTTCGATATCACTCACTGGGTGTGAAATATCATATGTGGATAAAACCTATAAGCTACAATAGCCTAGTAAAAGAGGAGCAACAGTTGTGAGTTGTACTTGTTTGTTTGCTTGCTGAGTTAATTAAATAGGCTACGAAATAAAATAAAAAGTAAATAAACAGTAAATGAATACATATTTAGGACCTAGGTCTTAATCCTTCAACTTTTTAAAACATTTTGGCCCCTGGGAATTATTTGTGAATAGGCTATTTTAGGCTAATCTATGTTAATTTGATTTACTTCGAGAGTAATTGGTTAGACAAAGAAACAACAAAATGCTGCGTTACTGTTTTACTAATGTTGACAATACCTATTAGCTGTCTGATGGACAACGCAATATCAAATCACGCGCAGATGAGACAGCCCGGTCAGTGGAATTATGCAGATTCCAGGGAACGCGGTTTAAGGGTTTTATCCGGAGGGCAGGGGTTGGGGGAGCGACCGTATCTGGCTTTGTATACGCCCCTTTTCATCATCTAGCGGGACAAGAAAGAGAGAGGCAAGCAGCAGCATCCCAGTCCCTAGAGCACCTCCATCTGCCCGGCTTCATGAGGAGCTGGACGGAACAGCCGGGACCCAGCATCAGAATGTGGAGAGCAGTGCTTGCAAAACTTCTCATTATATTGATTTTGTGTACTTTCCGGTGTCATTCACAAGGTAAGAGTATCCTAAACTCATCTAAAACACAGCCTTTATTCATGTGAACCTGCTATGAGATGTTTCTGTATATTTGCCCTCGAAAAGGAAATGTCAACCACTTGTTGCCTAGACAATAACATCTATGAGGTAGAGTGGCTGATTTGTAGTTATTGGGGATGTTTTTTGAGGACATGATTTAACTAAAATGTTGATAGGCAAACAATAATCTTGTTGATAGACAAATTAGATTGTTTGCCTATCTATCAGTCAACAACAAGCCATGTAGCCATGTGTGGCAAATCTACAAACTCCTTGGTCAGTTATTTTCCCAGCCCTACAAATATTTTTTTGGGCAACCAATATACTGAATTAATTAATATAGTTTACAATATTTGAATTCTTTAACAAAACTATTTTACTCTAAAGCATTATTAAAGCTTGTATTGAGCACAAAGCCTCCTTCAGACAGATTTGAAGTTCTTGGAGAACTTTTGCCTGAGTTTTGCCGTTGCTAGGTAACAGAAGCGGACATGTGACTTGCGGACAATATGTGTGGACTGCAGTTACTCGTACAAATACTAAGAGGAACTCAACGCCTTGCCTAGTGCACAACCCATCAAAGATGATAACTAATTATATAGCTGTAATTTAAGAACCCATTTTCTTTCAAATGTTGTAGAAACTAGTCATATACCCGGCTTGATAGATCTGAAAGACTCTTGTGTTTCTCTTGTAGGCCTAGCTATTCCCTAGGCCTACTGCTCAAATTGTAATCTGCTTTCTTTTTGCTCAACCCTTAGTATGTAAGCTCCTTAGTGTGAATCAAGCAACTAATTACGCTGCAGCTGCTGCTGCAAGAAAGCGACCATTTCTACCTAAGGAGCAACGGGTAAAAGAGTGCATGTAAACAACAAGGGGAAAGTACTTGCAACCTCACAAGTAGCCATCCCAGGCTTAATAAACTGTATGTTTCTTCATCATTTTTACCAGCTGTGTTGCGTTAAGCCTATATAGCGTTACGTTCCCAGACAATACAAAATAAGAAAGTAATTCAAAATACATGTAAAAAGCCACACATATTTACATAAAATGTAACAATTTAAATGATCCAGTGGCATTTTGTAGTACATAATATGGAAGTGATCTCTGCAAGCTGAGGATCTGAGCAGTCTTGGCCAGAATTAATTTTAATATTGAATCAAATAAGGGCTTTGTCAGCATTGTCAAGTTAATAATGAGCAGGTTTGTCCCTTAAAAATTAATGATGTACCAAAGATTTGTGTCATCATAGGTTAAAAAAACATTCAAGTCAACAAGTAATCAAAGTCATCTATTTCAATCTATGCCCAATTGCATGTGCATTTCCATGACTAGCAACAGAGCATCATGCACTTCCTGCATCTTTTGCAGTTTTGCATCATGGCACCTGTTGATCTCCTTAGAAATGTGAGGCAGGAATGGTTGATTTATTCCAGATTCATTCGGCATGTGTTTGAGAGGAAATGAGCCTTGAAAATGACCTTGATGCATGTGGACAGGCTACTTTCTCTAATCCATTGAGCCTAATGTCTGATAGGTCAGCTTGATGATTGTTTAATGTGTGACAGACAGTCTTTTGTTGCTCATTATCAAGAGGCTTTGAAAGTGTTGTAAAATGCCTGTGTCAGTATAATGGATAATGTGACACACTTGTGGGATGATTTAATGTTACAGCAATAGGTAACAAAGGAACTGGACTTGGTGGAATGAATAACCTCCGTCATGGCTAGTTGACCATCTTTTGCTAGTATGCAGATTGTGGCGGTTCAAAACATGTTTTTGCTGGTTAATTGTATGAATTATGGGGCTAAGTGTCTTTCAAACCGCAATCATTTGCCACAAACAGGCTTGGTCATTCAGGGTCTTATGAAAAACATGCGTAATTGATTTAGAAAAATTTTTTTATACTAAGTAAACCAGGATCAACAAGATGTTCTGTGTCAGTGTTACACACGTTGTATATTACAGGGGGATTTGGGGTTGTCTAATTAACATTTCCCCTACTATCTCAAATAGGTGTTTTCAGTTTGTTTCTCTCACTAATTGAGTTTAACCTATTATACAGCATGTCACAACAAAAAACACTTGTGGGTTGATGTTGAAATTTCACAAGGCACAAAAAACCCTAGCCAGCATGTGTGGCTAAACCTCACACATGCTGCGGTCCTTTTCCGGTTTAGGCCTAAATCCTTGAGCAACGGTAACGCTCTATTAGGGAACAGAAGTTGGGAACAGAAGTTAGCACAGTTGGCTTAAATGAAAGACTAATCCTTTCTCATTATACAGCACTCTCAACCCAGGTCCCAGACTATTATGTGATGCATAGGGTGCAATGTTTAGGCTAACTCAATGCTCATGTTGTGTTGAGTGACAGTCTGTCAGAGGCAGTGAACCCAAATATTTGACCTCCCGCAGTAATGCAGTGTAACATCTCAATTTCTGCTGCTTCCTAGACATTTCTAGTTTTTAATTTTTTTATTAAAATTTTATAAATGTTTTTTTCAAGTATGAATTAGAAGTACAGCTTAATTCCTCACACACTATTTATTGCCTCCTTTTGGACCTATGCCACTGCCAAACTCCCTTGGGCTTTTCTCTGTTTTGTGTGAGGCCGTAAGAGCCAAAGTCAGTTGTTCAGCAATTGACTGCTTTCTGTTGCATTGATTTCCATATGAAATAGAGCAGCAGCACTTCACTCTGACAGCATGGACGGATCCAGCACGCCACGCTGCCAGCCGTTTTCTAGACGCACATTCAGAGAGAGCGAGGGGAAGCACCAAAACAAGGCGGTAGTGATGAAAGCGGCTACACCTCTTTCAGGGGCCCCACATGATTGGAAAGAGATGTTTTGGAGAAGGGACAATATCTTTTTTGGGGGGTGGTGTGGGGAGTGGACTTCTATTCCACTTTAGCTATACTGTATTCTGCATTCTGCTATCTCCATAGTCCCTTTGGCGTGTTGACATTTCCAGTTATGAGGTTTCAGCCCTGCTGGCTCTTCAATTGTTCCATTGTGATTTCACAGTGGGGTCTGAGGCATTGGGAGGCGTCATTCTAATGAAAATTCCTCTGCTGCTCCTCTTTGTTTGGCAGGAGTAGGGCTATCTTTCATTGTGGATAGTGTGGGGTTCTCGCCTGCTGTGGGTTTAAGATGGCTAATTAGAAAAGACATGGTCAGAGAGATGAAGAAAAAGAAAACATAAAACTGAACAAAACAGGCAAAACAAAGACACTAACGAAAAAGTACCAATCCTTAGACACCAGATTCTTAAGAGCATATTTGCATCATATTGACCACTTTTCTCTTAACTTTCTCTTAATAGCCTCTATTTTGACCATTGTTATTACATTTAGGCTTTTAAAAATCAATTTATCAATTTATTCCTGAAGGAATAGTTACTCCAATGACAAAAAAAAGGAAGACTATGGCTGAATGTAAGAGCAGCTCACATTCATTGAAAAGTCCACTTTAGTCTGCCAGTCACCTTTCCCAGAACTGATACTGTCAGGAAACACTGGCTTCATTTGAAGGTCTCAGAAGATTTGGTTTCCTTTTGGCAAAGGATGTGGAAAGCTGTTAACCTAATGTATAGCAGACAGGGATTATGATCATCCCCATTGTTGCTCGGAAGTCTTAGGAGTGTGATTCCTCTCTTAGGAGTGTCCTTCCTCTCTTAGGAGTGTTCTTCCTCTCTTAGGAGTGTCCTTCCTCTCTTAGGAGTGTCCTTCCTCTGTTAGGAGTGTTCTTCCTCTCTTAGGAGTGTCCTTCCTCTCTTAGGATTGTTCTTCCTCTCTTAGGAGTGTTCTTCCTCTCTTAGGAGTGTCCTTCCTCTCTTAGGAGTGTCCTTCCTCTCTTAGGAGTGTTCTTCCTCTCTTAGGAGTGTCCTTCCTCTCTTAGGAGTGTCCTTCCTCTGTTAGGAGTGTTCTTCCTCTCTTAGGAGTGTCCTTCCTCTGTTAGGAGTGTTCTTCCTCTCTTAGGAGTGTCCTTCCTCTGTTAGGAGTGTTCTTCCTCTCTTAGGAGTGTCCTTCCTCTGAACTTGAAGTCCAGTGATGCTTATTATTTATTATATTTCTTTGCCCTTTAAAATTTTGTTTTTGTTTTGTTTTGTTGATTAGCTGGTGGACATTGACACATGCAATCCTACTTCTGGGTCAAGCAACGAGTGATCATGGTTTTATAAAACATTTTGGAAGTCTCATTAAACAAAATTAATCACTATTTTCAGTATTATCCTGGAGTTGTCAATACACCCATGGTTTTCTTCTGATATCTACCGTATATTGAAACGTTACGTATTCGGAGTTGATCTTATAATGATCGTAATGGCATGGAGCATGAGACTGCTGACTGTCTGTTCAGGGGTACTGAGCTAAACCCAAATGTCTTTCAGTGGTGTTACTGTGCTGCTCCGATATGGTATGCACTGTTTGTCTTACCTACCATGTTACAGATGATGCTGAAACCTCCGGGATCATTGCCTCGCAACAAAGGCACCCTTTGAGCTAATGGGGGAGCAATGTTATCATTAGTAAACTGAGCAGGAAAAAGGCTTGCATCCAATTGGCTGCTGAAGGAGTTAAATATGAAGCCCATTTGGCTGGCGTAGTTTAAAAGAAGTTTGGTGGTGTCGGCTAATTATTCTGAGACATGACCTCATGATATGAGAAGCCCATCACAAGGCTTTTAGTGCAGTAGCACCGCCATGACCCCACAACTCAAGTGGAAGTGATCCATCTTTGAAGAGCCCGTTACATAAAAGAGATGATAAACTACTGACTCGCCTATAATAAACTGTCTGCTCACACAAAATGTGTCAACTGAATGGGCTGAGATTTTTCAAGTCAATTCATTACAGCTTATGACTGTTGGAAAAGGAAGGAACATTTCCCTTTTGGCTTTTGGCATTTGGTTCAGTAGTGGTCATATTGTAAGTGCAATTTTTTCACCTGTCAGAGGTTATTGCTTCGCCAGACTTGTTCTATAATTAAGTAGCTTGGCAGAATCATAATATCAGTGTCCAGCAATACCACTTTGGCCTTGAATAACCGGTGCCCCCGCACATTGACTCGGTACCGGTATCCCCTGGATATAGCCTCGCTATTGTTATTTTACTGCTGCTCTTTAACTATTTGTTACTTTTATTTCTTTGTATTTTTGTATTTAATATTTTCTTTGTATTTTTTGGTTTTCATTCTTAAAATTGCATTGTTGGTTAAGGGCTTGTAAGTAAGCATTTCACTGTAGTATTCGGCGCATGTGACAAATAAAAATGGATTTGATTTGATAGCACCATGACCCAATTAGAATGGGGGGACACTGGCTGAAAGTTGTGGGGAAGGGGTGCGAATAGACAGCGCTGCTGAGCGGAGGTGACGCAATGCGTCCAAACAGGGCCGGATTTAAGCATTTGGGGCAGTTATATAATGCTATTCTACACATTTTGTCATAAGGCTGAAATATAAAATAGCCCCTGTGGCAATTTCACCTATGTTGTAGGAGTCACAATACATGTATTAATGCATTATGTATTACATAATGATTTATGGATATCCCCCATTGACACATTTATGTTATGTGGAAATTGTTCATGAATCATTATCCAAAAATTTTATTGTCCAAATTTGGAAATGTAATGTTTATTTTGTATTTTTTTTGTATTTTGTGTGTCATTTGATTGGTGGGATGGTAGTGTAAGATTGGAAATCAATGTCATTGCATTTTCATTACTGATTTTATTTCTCACAGTGTTGTTTGTTTCTAGGTCAATGTCTTCAGTTTGTTTTGTAACTGAGGTGTAAAACCTTTCTCTTCAGTACATATTTGACCAAGCAGGGAGTGTGTTGAAAGGTAGTCGATAAGACATTGTAGACCACCAACCACAAACATACACCACCAACCACCACCTTGCATCTCCCTCAGCAAAAAATGTGGGTTTAAGGGTTGCGGTACCACCTGGTACCGCTATTTATTCCAATTACATTTCTGACAAGGAACAGCATGCGCATTAAATCAGGTTGTCAGAGAGAGACAATCAGAATTGCACATTCCAATTCGGACTGGTCTGACAGAACGCTCTGTCACTGAACTATGCTGCCTCAGTCAATATCTCCTGGAAAACGTCAGGGATGGTAAAGTGGTGGTACCTTATCTCCTCAGATGCCACTCAGTGAGAACATCAAAAGGAGGCTTGGGATGAGTGTGCTGAGGGTTGTATAACTGTCTGGAGGATGGCTGGCACGCTCATCTCCAGGCCCTCTCAATGCTGTTAACAGCATGCTTCATCAATAAGAGACATTCCCAAACACACTTAACACTGTTTAGTTGTTTTGATAAGAGACGCGAAGAGTTCCGTCTATTAATTGGACATAGTAGACAGGGAAAATAAGGAATTATTTCACATTTCGGACCTAATTAAAAAATACACATGATCAACTGATTAAGAGAATGGAGAATTATGCACCTGGGGACTGAAGGTATTACAAAAAAGTAACTGAGAATTGGTCCAAAATATGGAATGAAGAGAGCTTTAGTAATAATGATATCTCCTGTATGAAGGTTGTGAGACCGGGCAGTTCTGGTGTGGGACAGGCCGATGCATCCCACAGGACTGGCATTGTGATGGAACGTCAGATTATGTAGACAACTCTGATGAAGCCGACTGCCTTGAGTAATTTCTCATCTGGACTGGACGGCATTATTACCTTCTCCCTTTACATTTCATCAGGATTTGTCAAATTTACTCACATTTGGCTGTTAAATTGTATCGAGAGCTGCAAAAGCATTGCTTCTTAGAAGTATCTTGTGTAAGAATCACCTGGCATTGTCATACTTAGACCTTCACATACATATTCCCTAGTGGCGCAGTGGTCCAAGGCACTGCATCGCTGTGCCACTAGAGATCCTGGTTCGAGTCCAGGCTCTGTCGCAGCCGGCCGCGACCGGGAGACCCATGGGCGGCGCACAATTGGTCCAGTGTCGTCCAAGGTAGGGGAGGATTTGGCCGGCAGGGATGTGGGTTCGTTTCCCACGGGGGGCCAGTATGAAAAAAAACCAACAAAAAAAACATGTACGCATTCACTAACTGTAATTCGCTCTGGATAAGAGTGTCTGCTAAATGACTAAAATGTAAATGTAAACCCTGGATTTCTAATCCCTTGATATTATTGACTCCCGAATGGCGCAGTGGTCTAAGGCACTGCATCGCAGCGCTAGCTGTGCCACTAGAGATCCTGGTTCGAGTCCAGGCTCTGTCGCAGCCGGCCGCGACCTGGAGACCCATGGGCGGCGCACAATTGGTCCAGCATCGTCCAAGGTAGGGGAGGGTTTGGCCGGCAGGGATGTGTGTTCGTTTCCCATGGGGGGCCAGTATGAACAAAAAAACAAACATGTATGCATTCACTAACTGTAAGTCGGTCTGGATAAGAGCGTCTGCTAAATGACTAAAATTTAAATGTAATATTGACTGTTGTTGCTGATAGGATAGAAACTAAAATGGGATGTGCTGTGTGTCTCCTTAGCCCATGTAACATGTGATGAGTGTCACGCCCTGGCTCGGGGGACTCTCGTATGTTGAGCCAGGGTGTTAGTTTCTATGTTTTGCATTTCTATGTTGGCCAGGGTGGCTCCCAATCAGAGACGGCTGTAGTTCGTTGTCTCTGATTGGGAGTCATACTTAGGTAGCCGGTAGGCTTTCATTCTTTGTGGTTTCTTGTTCTTATTTGGTTTGTGTTCAACCGTAGACATCACGTTATCGTCTGTTGTTTTGATTGTGTGATCATTGATATAATAAATATGTTCACCTTCAACGCTGCGCATTGGTCCTCCTCCTTAGACGACCGTGACAGAAGAAACCACCTCGACTGGATCAAGCAGCGTGACGAGGAGAGAGGATGGACTTGGGAGGAGATGAGTGCGAGTCTGGCAAGAGGGATGGAGGCCTTGGCCACGGGTAGGAGTGAAGCCCATACATTTTTTAGGGGGGGGCTAACGCCGTGGACGACGGGGCAGCAGGAGGCCGCCAGGTTACGGGAGTCACTGGTCACCAGGGGGAAGGAGGATGTAGAGGCACGGCGAGAGGTACTGGCGTGTGTTGCCAGTCCGGGCCGGCCTGTTCCTGATCCCCACGTAGGGCCAGTGGTGTGTGTTCCCAGTACGGTCCGGCCTGTTCCTGCCACTCGCACCAAGTCAGTGGTGCGCTTCGTCAGCCCGGCTCGGCCCGTTCCTGCTCCCCGCACCAAGTCAGTGGTGCGCTTCGTCAGCCCGGCTCGGCCCGTTCCTGCTCCCCGCACCAAGGCAGTGGTGCGCTTCGTCAGCCCGGCTCGGCCCGTTCCTGCTCCCCGCACCAAGTCAGTGGTGCGCTTCGTCAGCCCGGCTCGGCCCGTTCCTGCTCCCCGCACCAAGTCAGTGGTGCGCTTCGTCAGCCCGGCTCGGCCCGTTCCTGCTCCCCGCACCAAGTCAGTGGTGCGCTTCGTCAGCCCGGCTCGGCCCGTTCCTGCTCCCCGCACCAAGTCAGTGGTGCGCTTCGTCAGCCCGGCTCAGCCCGTTCCTGCTCCCCGCACCAAGTCAGTGGTGCGCTTCGTCAGCCCGGCTCGGCCCGTTCCTGCTCCCCGCACCAAGTCAGTGGTGCGCTTCGTCAGCCCGGCTCGGCCTGTTCCTGCCCCCCGCACCAAGTCAGTGGTGCGCTTCGTCAGCCCGGCTCGGCCCGTTCCTGCTCCCCGCACCAAGTCAGTGGTGCGTTTCGTCAGCCCGGTTTGGCCCGCTCCTGCTCCCCGCACCAAGTCAGGGGTGCGTTTCGTCAGCCCGGCTCGGGCCGTCCCTGCTCCCCACACCAAGCCAGTGGTGTGCGTCGTCAGTCCGGCACAGCCCGTGCCTGTTCCACTGGTGCCTGGTTCAGCACGGGTCAGCTGCTTCACGCCGGAGCTAGAGCAATCCGCTCCACCAGTGTGCAGTCCAGCTCCGGTCAGCAGGGCCAGACCGGACCAGGGGTACTTTGGGGGGTTAGAGAGCGAGTGGGGATCATGCCCGGAGCCGGATCCGCCGCCAAGGCGGAGTGCCCACCCGGTCCCTCCCCTGTTGTGTTTGGTTGGCGCGGTCGGAGTCCGCGCCTTTAGGGGGGGGGGTACTGTCACGCCCTGGCTCGGGGGACTCTCGTATGTTGAGCCAGGGTGTTAGTTTCTATGTTTTGCATTTCTATGTTGGCCAGGGTGGCTCCCAATCAGAGACGGCTGTAGCTCGTTGTCTCTGATTGGGAGTCATACTTAGGTAGCCGGTAGGCTTTCATTCTTTGTGGTTTCTTGTTCTTATTTGGTTTGTGTTCAACCGTAGACATCACGTTATCGTCTGTTGTTTTGATCGTGTGATCATTGATATAATAAATATGTTCACCTTCAACGCTGCGCATTGGTCCTCCTCCTTAGACGATCGTGACAATGAGAGTCATTTCCAGTGCTTGAGTGACTTTGCAAAAGAGGAAGTCAATACACAAGTACTGAGTAGACCATACAGTGTACAAAATATTTCATTTAGAATTTTCACCAATGTGACAGGTGTCACAAATGTAAACAAAATAATCTATTACAAAGGCAATTAAGATGTAGAGAACTGTTACGCTTGTGGTTAAATTGCTCCTCAATCTCTCTGCAGCTGGTAGGACATGCTCCAGTGGGCAGTTCAGCTGCACCAATGGGGCCTGCATCCCAGGGGAATACAGGTGTGACCAGCTGACCGACTGCTCCGACGGAGCTGATGAGAGAGATTGCCGTAAGTCCCCCAGTGTGGCTTACTTACCTTCTTGCCTCCTCTGGCATTTTAATCAATTTGTAAAATGAAGAGCCTCACTGACTGACAGAATGGCCACAATATGCTTCTTGTTGTCAGAGGTTGATTGCAGATTCCTTGGTGGATTAGTCAAGCTGAAGTTCAGCTGCTATTCCATTATTGTGCTGATATGTTAGACTCACACTTTGGTAATTTCACAATGTCCGAAAAAATGCCAAGGCTGTTTGTGGTGCTAATAGAAAACTAGTTTTTATCCTCCCATTAGCTTTTAGCATTTTGTCTTGTTTGTGACTGTACAGGCTGAGCCTATTTGCCATAGTTCCGTACAAAGCTTTATATGTCGGAGGTGAATTGTCACCATGACTTCATGGGGGAGCAGCCAAGGGTATATTTCACATGTGACCAGCTGGTTAAATTAGGGTGGGCCCTTCTACTGTTAATGAGATTAAAAGGGGGGTTATAGCTGCTGTTGTGGCTGCTAAGATAATGATCTGCTGCAGCAGACTGTTACATTTGGCTAATTGCAAGGGTGTCATTAATGCTTGAGTACATGAGAACATTATATAGGAATGTTTAAGACTACTGACATTTAAAACATTTGACGTTTGACATTTGAGACATGTTTAAGACTACTAGAGACATTTGACGTTTGACAGGGGAAAACGTTATACACCTCTTTGAACAAATGATTTGATGCTGATTCCTTATATTCCTTGAACATTCCACAGATGGGTTTGTTCTATGTCAGTCTAGTATGATTGGCCTGTTCTGGTATGTTAATTTCCTTCTCAGACTACCCTGAGTGTACAGAATTGAGATGTGCCAACGGTGCCTGTTATAACCAGAACCAGCGCTGTGACCAGGTCCTGGACTGCCGTGACGGGTCAGACGAGTCCAACTGCAGTAAGTGTCCACTTCTGGCCATGACGCATGGCCGCGCATTCAACCAGGCCCTCTTCCTGAGCAGCAGGGTTGAGATGAAGAACTTATACAGACAGTCAGTCGCTGAAGGGGTTTTGTGTCTGTTTTCTACAGCACAGCACTGCAGCAGTGGCCTGTTCCAGTGTGGCAACGGAGAGTGTGTCCCTCAACGCTACGTCTGCGACCATGACGACGACTGTGGAGACAGGAGTGACGAACAGCACTGCAGTGTGTACCTCTACCCTCCTCGCACCACTGCGGCTATCTGTCAACCTCGAGTCTGCACCTCTTATCTTAACTCCCCAGATAGATTCTCCCCCTAACCTGGACTTAATCTGACCTTTTCTACATGCTCTCTCTCTCTCTCTCTCTCTCTCTCTCTCTCTCTCTCTCTCTCTCTCTCTCTCTCCCTCCCTCCCTGTAGCCTATCCCCCTTGCAGAGGGAGCTACTTCACGTGCCCCAGCGGTCGCTGTATTCACCAAGTCTGGCTTTGTGACGGAGAAGACGACTGTGAAGACAATGCAGATGAGAAAGGCTGTGGTATGGACGCTACAGAGTTCCACCTCCCCAACCTCGTACTAGTCCCTTTGGTCAAATCTCTCTGGACACATTTCTAATATTGGACACAAAGCCATGAAAAGGAAACAGTATGCAGGTTCAGTGGAAGCACACATGAATGAGTGAGAAACGCTGCTGTGTATGAACCTGATTCCCCTCCATGGTGGGTATGGGCTAGGAGCTATGCTTGTGCTCCTTTAAGTGTGGTATTCAAATGCCTCTTTGTGGCACAAGATGGCTCAGCCCTCCAAAGAGCTTTAGAATTCCTCCTCACTGCTCTGAAGAGTGTGTGTTTTTAGAGGATGGGCTGCAGAACCCTCCAAGCCCCCATGTGAGCCTCTCGAAGCACTGCCCCACCCCCCTCAGTGATTTAAAGTAACAGTGTTTTCCCAGACAATGAAGTTTGAGTCACGGTGCCCTTGAGTTCAGCCCGTGCATTCCTATGAAGATAAGTCTGCTGTCTTCAATGCATACCTCACACATTGTTGCTGTTTTCGCAAAGCATGATTGTGGCGTGTGTACAACTCCTGTGCTGCTGGTTCCCTCCTTTTTTTTGTTCTCTATTGTCTCTGGTGTGGTCCAAGGCTGTGAATATGACTTTGTTTTCTCTGTAGATGCCATACCACGTGAGTGCTATCCTGGAGAATGGCCCTGTCCGTCCTCAGGCCTATGTATCCCCATGGACCAACTGTGTGATGGGAATGCCCAATGTCCAGATGGAGAGGATGAGACCAACACCACTGCTGGACGCAATTGCAGTCAGTAACAATACAACCAGTTTAACATACATACACACACACACACACACACACACACACACACACACACACACACACACACACACACACACACACACACACACACACACACGCACACACACTAACCTTTATTTTGAAAAGTGCCATTGGGAGTAATGTGTGTCTGTCTGTGGTTATCAGGTATCTGGAGGTGTGCCTCTCTGAGCTGTGAGCATCGCTGTCATGCGTCCCCCGAGGGAGGAACCTGCTCATGTCCCTCTGGATACATTGTCAACAATAACAACAGCCGCTCTTGTATTGGTAAATACTGATACATTCACTCATTGACATTGAAAGAACTGGAAACTCAGGCTACCGGAGGTAGAATATGGGATGTGTGCTTTTGACTCATTCAGTTTTTTCTTCTTTTATTATTGGGTGAAGACTTTAATGACTGTACGATGTGGGGCGTCTGCGATCAGCTCTGTGAAGACAGGATGGGAACCCATCGCTGCAGCTGTCGAGAGGGCTATTTCCTAGAGCAGCACCGATACTGCAGAGCTAACACCTCAAGTGAGTGGCCATGGTTGAGCTTCAATATACTTCAGCATATCAAACCCATTCCTCCAGGCCAGAGGCTTCAGCCCCTCAGCCCAGCCTCCTATCTGCCAGCCCCTGCCCGCCTGCTCTGCTTTCTGGTGCATTGTTGCGCACTGAGTGTTGTTTCAGCCAGTCGTTTGCTTCTGTGGACCAATGAATGGCTATTGACCAAGAGATAGACCCCTCTGCCTTTGAGTATGAGGCTACCAGAAAGGACAGATTTTCTCTGTTAGTAATACAGATCAAATTATCTTGGCTATATGGGTCCCTAAAAATGACATAAAATGGATTAAATTAAAATAAAAAAGGTACTACCATAGATTTAGATTTGAATTAGGTATCAAAGCTGACTGACTAAAATGTATAGTTTTTTTCTTCACTATCTCTTCCACTCATGTGTAAAATCATTAATGATTACTTATAGGTAAAGCCAAAAAATAAATGTACTGAAACAGCATATGACAGGTGCTCCTAACCAGAGATTATGAAATGTCTGATAATGTTGTCTTACTTATTGCCTTGTCTGTAGCTGGAGTACCCTCACTGATCTTCTCCAATGGCCGAGACCTGCTGATTGGTGACATCCATGGGCACAGCTCACGCACCCTGGTTCATTCCCGGAACAGAGGAGTCGTTGTCGGGGTGGATTTCCACTACCTCCTGAATAGAGTCTTCTGGACGGATACTATTCAGAACAAGGTAATACTTCTCTTTGAATACTCAGATACTTCATCCAATCCCCATCGTGAATGGTTTCCTCTGGCCCTGTTAAAGGAATCAGTGCATCGCTAGAACTACCTGTACAGTAGACCATAGTTACAGTCCACAAGATAGAAAGGCTTATTGTTTGAGGAAATGCTTGAGTTGTACAGGAACCTGCCCCCCTCAAAGGAGAGGGAAGACTTTGACAGATCTCTTAAGAAATCACCACTGTTAATACTGTACAAATGGCAGACCTGATGGCTCCAACAGGACTGGGTCATAATGAAGGGGAAGTACATTGGGAATGGAATCCAAAATGTCTAATCAGAAAACTGATGCTGTCTGATATACTAGTACGATGTTCGCATAGCTCTGTGTCATTTTTGTAACTTTCTCATTTTCAAAGTGATCGTGCAGTATTTGTTTCCACCATGTTATATGCATTCTTTGGCCAGCTCAAAGGGCTTTGTTCAGCCTCTTGGCTTCTGTATGGTTTGAACCCAAGCCATGAGGCTGAAAAACAGGGACGTACCAGGAGCGGGATATCTGTGTAGATCAGCTACCTCCATGGCAGAATGACAGCTGATTTAAAGTGGGGGGGACCACAAACAGGGCATGTGAACGTACTAGGGAGGTTAAACTAGCAGGCTACTTCCACATCTTCAGTTTCTCTTTAAACAGGTCAGCTGAAAATTCTGCTTTTTAGACGTCTGGATCTCATTTCAAACGAGCCAGAGCTGTAAAGAGCACTATCCCTTCCTAGGTGCCAAGGCTTCAAGCCTGAGAAACTGGTGCCATCTTTGAATCGGTAGGGTAGAGGTTTCAGAATAATACCTGACCGGCACCACTCAAATGCTACTAGACAGACAAGATGGAAGTCAGACAAGCAACCAAAGCCCAACCGTAATAATAGTAATTTCCTTCTAATTTCATGGGTAATGTGGTGACAGATCCCATCCCTGTTTCTCGGTTTGTCTCTTTTTTATATCTCCATGTATTTCCGGAGCCTTAACCACCAAAAGGGCTAATCTCTTAACAACAATCCTTTAATTTGTGGGCAGGTGTTTTCGGTGAATATGGACGGTTCCAATATGCAGGTGGTTTTAAATGTATCAGTTGACTACCCTGAGAACCTGGCCGTGGACTGGGTGAACAATAAACTGTATATGGTGGAGGCCAGCGTCAACCGGATTGACATGGTGGATTTTGACGGGGATAACCGGGTGACGCTGATCGCAGAGAATCTCGGAAACCCCAGAGGGCTGGCCGTGGACCCAACTGTGGGGTGAGTAGAGCGGACCTCCCCCATCCTCTATCCCTCCATCCTCCATCCATCTATCTCGCCGTCTCTCTCTCATGCTGCACCGGTAGGAAGTTATAAGCATGAGAGATTAGTAGATTGTCCTGGGGGATTAGTGAGCAGTATTAAAAGTGATGAGCCTCATTGTAATCCAATAGTACAGTTCAAGAGGGGAGACTGGGCCAGGTGGCTACAGGTAAATTAGGAAGTGATAATAAACGTACACACTTGTTCTACCTTGGTGGGATTTAGGGCTGGCCCACCTGTAGATCCAGAGACAAAGACCATAGAGGATGTACAGTATCTGTTTCAAATTCAATAAAAAAAGGAAATCCGCTTATGTCTCACCTTTTGGTAGCCCTTTCCTGCAGTCAAATGACCTAGTGGCCTCATGGGTGGAATGTTATTAATATTTTTCATAATTTCATAATTAATAAACTTTTTTTTTTTTAAGCTGCTGAAAATCCGGTGTTTCTATGTCAAACGGTTTTGTTATATTTCAGTTTTCTGTAATGTACATAAAGTGTAATATTGGGATGCAAACTCAAAATGTAATACATTTCAACTCTCCAGTGGGGAGAACAAGTATTTGATACACTGCCGATTTTGCAGGCTTTCCTACTTACAAAGCATGTAGAGTTCTGTAATTTTTATCATAGGTACACTTCAACTGTGAGAGACGGAATCTAAAACAAAAATCCAGAAAATCACATTGTATGATTTTTAAGTAATTAATTTGCATTTTATTGCATGACATAAGTATTTGATACATCAGAAAAGCAGAACTTAATATTTGGTACAGAAACCTTTGTTTGCAAAGGTCTTGGTCTTGACCAGGTTTGTACACACTGCAGCAGGGATTTTGGCCCACTCCTCCATACAGACCTTCTCCAGATCCTTCAGGTTTTGGGGCTGTCGCTGGGCAATACGGACTTTCAGCTCCCTCCAAAGATTTTCTATTGGGTTCAGGTCTGGAGACTGGCTAGGCCACTCCAGGACCTTGAGATGCTTCTTACGGAGCCACTCCTTAGTTGCCCTGGCTGTGTGTTTCGGGTCGTTGTCATGCTGGAAGACCCAGCCACGACCCATCTTCAATGCTCTTACTGAGGGAAGGAGGTTGTTGGCCAAGATCTCGCGATACATGGCCCCATCCATCCTCCCCTCAATACGGTGCAGTCGTCCTGTCCCCTTTGCAGAAAAGCATCCCCAAAGAATGATGTTTCCACCTCCATGCTTCACGGTTGAGATGGTGTTCTTGGGGTTGTACTCAAACACGGCGAGTGGAGTTTAGACCAAAAAACTCTATTTTTGTCTCATCAGACCACATGACCTTCTCCCATTCCTCCTCTGGATAATCCAGATGGTCATTGGCAAACTTCAGACGGGCCTGGACATGCGCTGGCTTGAGCAGGGGGACCTTGCGTGCGCTGCAGGATTTTAATCTGTGACGGCGTAGTGTGTTACTAATGGTTTTCTTTGAGACTGTGGTCCCAGCTCTCTTCAGGTCATTGACCAGGTCCTGCCGTGTAGTTCTGGGCTGATCCCTCACCTTCCTCATGATCATTGATGCCCCACGAGGTGAGATCTTGCATGGAGCCCCAGACCAAGGGTGATTGACCGTCATCTTGAACTTCTTCCATTTTCTAATAATTGCGCCAACAGTTGTTGCCTTCTCACCAAGCTGCTTGCCTATTGTCCTGTAGCCCATCCCAGCCTTGTGCAGGTCTACAATTTTATCCCTGATGTCCTTACACAGCTCTCTGGTCTTGGCCATTGTGGAGAGGTTGGAGTCTGTTTGATTGAGTGTGTGGACAGGTGTCTTTTATACAGGTAACGAGTTCAAACAGGTGCAGTTAATACAGGTAATGAGTGGAGAACAGGAGGGCTTCTTAAAGAAAAACTAACAGGTCTGTGAGAGCTGGAATTCTTACTGGTTGGTAGGTGATCAAATACTTATGTCATGCAATAAAATGCAAATTAATTACTTAAAAATCATACAATGTGATTTTCTGGATTTTTGTTTTAGATTCCGTCTCTCACAGTTGAAGTGTACCTATGATAAAAATTACAGACCTCTACATGCTTTGTAAGTAGGAAAACCTGCAAAATCGGCAGTGTATCAAATACTTGTTCTCCCCACTGTATATCTGACATGGTACATGTCTTCTTTTTTTAAGACCATAACCATGTGTGTGAGGTGTATACTTTTGTTTCAAAGTAGATTTGTTTAAGACTACCAGGAAACACTATGTGACCCTGATTTAGCCCACTACAGTAAAAAAGTTGCAATCTTGGTCGTTTTATAGCTAAAAGGATGAATAACTTCGCTGCTTGGAATCCAGTTTACCAATGTTCTATATTGCGTCCAGTACATAGCAACCTACTGTACTGGTAACCTGTACCTAACTAAACCAAAATACATTTCTTCACAGGTTCCTGTTCTTCTCAGACTGGGACTCTCTGAATGGAGAGCCAGGTTTGGAGCGGGCTTACATGGATGGAACCAATCGCTATGGGATCATCAGGACTAAATTGGGCTGGCCAGCAGGGATCACACTGGATATTGATGCCAAGCGGGTGTACTGGGTTGATAGCCGCTATGACTATATTGAAACCACCACATATGATGGTCTTCATAGGTAAGCATGCCAGATATTTTCCCTACGAAAGAGCTCAAATGAGATGTTGTTTGGCCAAATGTCTGAAGACCATATGTAAGAACGGAAAACAATTCAGATCTCTGTCAAAATGGGATGGATATAGGCTTTTTATACACCAGCCTTATTTTATAATCTCCCTTTCAGGAAAACAGTGGTTCATGGAGGTGCTGTGATCCCCCACCCCTTTGGCATCAGTATGTTTGAGCACACTGTGTATTTCACTGACTGGACCAAGATGGCCGTGATGAAAGCCAACAAGTTCAGTGACACTAACCCTCAGGTGGTCTATACCACATCTCAGACCCCACATGGAGTGCAAGTGGTACACCAACTAAGACAACCATATGGTAAGCATGTCACTGATACAAATACTCCACTGATCTGTCCCACCTCTGTATGTTCTGTCAGTGACTGAGCGTGTGTGTGTTGTGTTTACAGTGGCGAACCCTTGCGGGGCAGACAGGGGCGGCTGTGAGCAGATCTGTATTCTAAGCCACAGGTCAGACAACCAAGGCTTGGGCTACCGCTGCAGGTGTCGCATGGGCTTTGACCTGCAGGCTGATGGCAAGAGATGTGTTGGTAAGACCAACACACAAACCTTGTTTAGTTTTTCACTATTTACGTTCGACTTTGTCTTTACACATTACTGTGCTGTGTCCTTTATATGTGTTCTTTATACTGTGAGTGCCAATGTGGTGTGACATAGGATGTGTTATCTGGAGGTTTATGGTGGATGTCTTCTTCTCTCTCTCTCCAGCGGTGCGGCAGTTCCTGCTCTTCTCCAGCCAGCTGGCTGTCCGAGGCATCCCCTTCAACCTGTCCTCTCAGGAGGATGTTATCCTCCCTGTCACTGGAACACCCTCCTATTTCGTCGGGGTGGACTTCAGTGCAGAAGACAATGCTATCTTCTTCTCAGACACGGCTAAAGACATCATCTACAAACAGAAAGTGGACGGCACTGGTGAGAGCATCCTACATTTTATTTAGTTGGATTGATGACTCGATACTGTATGTAGAATTAAACAGTGAAATATTTATGTTAAATATCGTTCTATTTCTGAGTTTGTAGTTCAATTTATTAGAATGTGAAGAAATACTTTTCATTTACTATCATGGATATCTTTTATTTTATTTTTAGTTTACCATATTTACATCCTTACATAATATATTTTTAAGCAGAGATCTCAAGCATGTGATCCAGCCGAGCTTATACCACGGCAGTTAGGGGAGTGCCTTATGGAGCTGGGCAGTGCAATGGGGGAGGAAGGGAAGGAAGGAGGGAGGGAGGTAGAGAGGGATGTAGGAGTGGACAGGAGCATGGACAGCAGTGAAACTATTACGTAACATTTCAAAATCAGGCTCCAGAATGTGATAAAACAAACGCTGGGCACATAATTACTAAAAGTTGTTGAAGCTTCAATATTTGAAGAGTTTATTTCCAAAACGCTATATCCACAAATGTTTTACATTTGTGTTTTTTCATCAGAAATGATTGCTCATGGGTACCTTCATGTGTGTGTAAAATATTACTGCTCTCAGATTTTTCATTCATAGATTTTAGATGTTAATGATTTTGTAATTTTTTGCCAAATGCTATATATCCATTGTTTAGCTGGAATGGAATGTTCGTATCCTGTACATTTGACTGTGCTATGTGGTTGTCTCACCTAGATGTCTTAAGATGAATGCACTTACTTAAGTCGCTCTGGATACGAACATCTACATGAATAAAATGTCAAATGTAAAAGTTTGATCTCATATTGATCTCAAAAACAGATCTCATATTACTGTATTGAAATATTTTTTTACATTTATTTTATTATGTTGATGTTACAATTGTATCATTTGTACATTTCTTTATTAAAAATATAGTTTTTGTTACATTTGACAGTGTAAAACCTAACAGTACTACTTATTTCTCTGAGAGTGAGGTGGATATATAGCATTTAGCAAAAAAACATGATTATTTGTCTCTCTGAAATGAAACCATCAATTGATAGATTTTAAACAAATACATGTCTGTCACTGAACAACACAATGTCATGATTAGATAGTGAAAAAACACACCAATCTCTTTAATAATTTATTTAAACAATAAAAGCTCATTTCCCAACATTTCTTGAAAATGTATATATCGCGTTTTGGAATGAAACTTAATTTATCTTCCAATTTACGACTCGATAGCCCTGTAAAATAAGTTACTTATGTGGTAAATCCATGAAGAAAGAAATTCCAGAATAAAATGAAACCACAAACTGCTCTGATCAGTGGTGTTGTTTTTGCAACATAGGGTTGACCAGCCCAAGTTTTCTCTGTCAGGTCTACATAGGGCAAATGCAAGCTGACAGTCTATTTACTTAAATGTGTTCCTCTTTCATCTCTGTATTAAATGCCGCTGTCACTGCTTTGATCTGCACAGGCAGGGAGGTGCTAGCTGCCAATAGAGTGGACGGCGTGGAGGACTTGGCTTACGACTGGATTTCAAAGAACCTCTACTGGACAGACCCGCGCTACAGGAGTATTTCAGTCATGAAGCTAGCTGATCAGTCCAGGAGAGCCATCATACGCAACCTGAACAACCCCAGGTCCATCGTGGTGCACCCTGTCATTGGGTAAATACAGCTGGGCTGGGATTAAGGAGGAGGGGTCAGGGAGAGAGGCTTGGCGCCACTTCCGGCCAGACTGTCGCAACAAAAATGAGAGAGAAGGATATATAGCAGATATGATAGGGTTCTGTATCTTGTTGATGCATGAAGAGTGTTGACTTTACCGATTAATGCATGCTTTTTACAGCATAATATCCTAATTTAAATGTTTGATTCTATTAAATTAATTAATATAAATGCTAATCAGATTATATTTGTTTAAGATTAATTTAAAGCACCATAGAAAGTCAAAAGGAAACAAAGATAGTGTGAGAAATTGATCAAGTACGCCAAATGTCCCTGGGCAAGCACAATTTAGTGAGGGCATTAGCCAGAACCAGCAGGTCTCAGAGGCCCATGCTTTCATCCTGGATCCCTGCCTCTTCAGAACATGAAAAAGCATTAGCAAACGTAGCACTTATGTCTAGTCACACCTAGCATAATGCGAGAGGTACCGGCTCATTCATAGATTGCCTACGCTTTAAACCCCAAACGTGAAAAAATGAGTCTTTATTTAGTGCTAGTGGGACATTTCCAATAGCTACAAAGTCATAAGGCCTCTGGGTCCAATAGCCTAGATTAGTGCTGCATGAAGGCCGGTATTGTAGTGGACACTAAGAACTTGACTTAAACGGAAAAACCCTGTGGAGCTCTCAAATACTGTCTATATTTCTCAGTTCATAAAATATTTTGAAGTGGTCCTAAAGCCAGAGTCTACTTCGGTTGAGGTGAAAAAGACACTATAATCTTTTCCCATATAAATATATTTTCCCATATAAATGTGAGTGTTGATTAATGTATATGTTTTATTTTGGCAGGTATATTTTCTGGACCGACTGGTACCGTCCAGCGAAGATTATGAGGGCCTGGTGTGATGGGTCACACGCCCTGTCGATTGTAAACACTACACTTGGCTGGCCCAACGGCCTGGCTATCGACTGGAGGTGAGCCAAAGGTCTCAGAGCCTAGCAGGACCAAAGGAATGGCCTCAAAATACACCATTCTTCCTCTTCCAGTAATACTCCGTCAAGAAAACAAATAGCAATTTAATTCATAACAAATCAGATCCTTAGGATTGACTTTGTCACTAAATTGCAACATTGTGCCACCATGTGTATTGAGTTGACATCATGTTTTTGTTCACCCATCTAAGATCCCATTAAGCCTCTTATCAGAATGATCTTCACTAATCCTCGTGACAATATGTTTGTGCAACAGTGTTTAATAATGTCTGTCTGTTCCACTGGTCCTGTCTCCCCCCAGCTCCATGCGCCTGTACTGGGTGGATGCCTTCTTTGATAAGATCGAACACAGCACCTTTGATGGACGAAACAGGCTGTCTCTGGAGCGTATCACTCAGATGTCACATCCTTTTGGTCTCACCATCTTTGGAGGTGACTAAATTTTAACATTTTCTCATGAATTCAATTCGCATGTGGAATGGTATGCAGCACTATTCCATCAATTGTAGATAAAGCTACCCTGTTATTATTGTATAAACGCTTTCATCGTTAAAATATCATTACTACTTGTCAATCCAGCTTGATTGATGATTACCGTGTAATCTTAAACATGAGTTCACTGGTTTTGAGAGATAGAATAGCTAATGTCATAGGTTGTGCCCTGATATTATCAACGCTGGGTCTCACTTTCATGAGCATTCCTGCTCTGCCCATCCAGGTTATGCATATTTCACTGACTGGCGCCTGGGTGGGATCGTGCGTGTGCGCAAGACTGACGGGGGAGAGATGGTCATCATCAGGAGGGGAATCAGCCACATCATGCACGTCAAATCTTTCAACTCCAACTCCCAGACCGGTGAACACCTCTTTCATTGCTTTCCCTGCTGCAGTGTTTATGTTATGGAGGATAGTTATGTGGCCATCACTGTACTCATTAATGATATCCTTTGCTACCCCTCTCAGGTTCCAACTTCTGCAATAGGAATACTAACCCTAATGGAGACTGCAGCCATTTCTGCTTCCCGGCACCGGACTCCCAGAGGGCGTGTGGTTGTCCGTATGGCATGAAGCTGTCGCCCAACCAGCAGACGTGTGTAGAGGACCCTTCCAACGAGCCCCCCACGCTGCAGTGCGGTGCCAACTCCTTCTCCTGCACCAACGGGAAATGTGTCCCTCAGAACTACAGATGCGACGGCGTTGACGATTGCCATGACAACAGTGATGAGGCCAACTGTGGCAGAGCTCATAGTAATGCATTTATGTTCTGTTTCAATGGAGTATACTAACTGTTAGTATGTCACTCGAGGCACTTTATTGGGGCATTAGTAATAATGTTTAGTATACTTATACTTAGATTTAAGTATACTTAGAATGGCTTGTTACAGTGTTAGCAGGAAGCAAAACATTTATGTTTCATTAATCATTTTTGTTCTCTCTCAGACACCACCTGCTCACCCAGGGCATTCACCTGTGCCAACCAGCACTGTGTGCCCAGTGGTTGGCACTGCGACGGACACAACGACTGCTTGGACGGCAGTGACGAGCGGGACTGCCCCACCCAGACCCCTGGCACCTGCGCGGCCAACCAGTTCACCTGCGCCAACCACCGCTGCATCCCACACACCTGGGTGTGTGACACAGACAACGACTGTGGGGACAGCTCCGACGAGGCCAACTGCAGTGAGTCTCCTAGTCAAGGATCACCTTTATTTCCACGCATTCACTGTAGGAGTAATTCCTCTGTCGTTGACTGTCTTTTTGGGATAGACTTTCAGTCATGATGTGTTGCATCTAACTGTTAGCTCCATTGGTCTCTCTGTGTTGGCAGACCTCAGTGGTACATGCCACCCGGAACAGTTCCAGTGCCCAGACCACCGCTGTATAGCCCCCAGCTATGTGTGTGACGGTGACAGAGACTGTATGGATGGGGCTGATGAACAGGGCTGCAGTGAGTGTCTCTCTGTATTATAGCTGTCTCAACACTGTACTGTATTTAGGAACTAACACAGCTAGAAAGCACCAACAAGTGGCACATAATTTTAAGTCAATTAAATATACAGTCAACACACGCATTTACATTGGTATTTGATATTGCCTCTTATGCCATTGTTTTCATTCCATGTGTATTATACAGTACAATGACTTTGCATGTTCTGAACTGCATCCTCCATCCACACTGTTTGCAATATCTCAGCACACTATGCTGTTGTTTTTTCAGTTTACAACTGCACTCTCTATGAGTTCAAGTGTTCCAATGGACATCAGTGTATCAACTCCTACTACCGCTGTGATGGGGTCTTTGACTGTAGTGATCGCTCAGATGAGTCTGGCTGTCGTAAGTATTCAACCTCTTTGTTTTGAGTCACGAGAAAATATACTGAACAAAAATATAAACGCAACATGTAAAGTGTTGGTCCCATGTTTCATGAGCTGAAATAAAAGATCCCAGACATTTTCCATACGCACAAAAAGCTTATTTCTCTCCAATTTCTGTGCACAAATTTGTTTACATCCCTGTTACTGAGCATTTATCTTTTGCCAAGATAATCCATCCACCTGACAGGTGTGGCATATCAATAAGCTGATTAAACAGCATGATCGTTACACAGGTGCACCTTGTGCTGGGGACAATAAAAGGCCACTCTTAAAGGTGCAGTTTTGTCACAGAACACAATTCCACAGATTTTTCAAGTTTTGTGTGTGCAATTGGCATGCTGACTGCAGGAATGTCCACCAGAGCTGTTGCCAGAGAATGTAATGTTAATTTATCTACCATAAGCCGCCTCCAACGTAGTTTTAGAGAATTTGGCAGGTTGTCCAACCGGCCTCACAACCGCAGGCCACGTGTAACCACGCCAGCCCAGGACCTCCACATCCGGCTTCTTCACCTGCAGGATCGTCTGAGACCAGCCACCCGGACAGCTGATGAAATTGAGGATTATTTCTGTCTGTAATAAATCCCTTTTGTGGGGAAAAACTCATTCTGATTGGCTAAGCCTGGCTTCCCAGTGGGTGTGCCTGGCTCTCAAGTGGGTGGGCCTATGCCCTCCCAGGCCCACCCATGGCTGCACCCCTTCCCAGTCATGTGAGATCCGTAGATTAGGGACTAATGAATTTATTTCAATTGACTGATTTCCTTATATGAACTGTAACTCAGTAAAATCGTTGAAATTATTGCATGTTGCGTTTATATTTTTGTTCAGTATAGGATGACCAGTTTATCTATTTCCTTTCGAGCCCTTACCAGGTAGGAACAACCTCACTCATTGGTAAAACCTCACTCGTATAGCTTTCATTCATCCCAAACCTGCCATCCACACTAACCCTCTGAATGTGGGTAGAATGTTGCAAGAACACAATTGGAGGACAAAGTTTTTGTTGTTTGTAGTTACAAATGTAGAAAATGGGTTTCAGAAATGGTGTGTTTTAATTCGATGTCTGTCGTAAGTATTCAACCTCATTGTTTTCAGTCACAATAAAATGTAATGATCAGTTTCTATGCAGAGTTGATCAACCAACTGGTCTTGGAGCACAGCAGTTTGAGCATTACTCTTAGTGAGGTGTCATCATCTCAGAGGTTCTGTTGGGTCTTCCTCCTGAGCTTCAGCCACACTTCAGTACACTGTCTGACCTTGCCTTCTCCTGCTGTGCCCAGCCACCAGACCCCCAGGGATGTGCCACCATGAGAGTGAGTACCAGTGCCAGTCAGACGGCAGCTGTATCCCCTCTACCTGGGAGTGTGACGGCCACCCGGACTGTGAGGACGGCTCCGACGAGCACCATGTCTGCCCTCCCCGCACCTGCCCCACCTCCCTGTTCCGCTGTGACAACGGCAACTGTGTGTACCGCGGGTGGCTCTGCGATGGGGACAACGATTGCAGAGACATGAGTGACGAGAGAGACTGCCCCACGCCACCTTTCCGCTGCCCCAGCTGGCAGTGGCAGTGCCCGGGCCACAATGTGTGTGTCAACATCAGCAGGGTGTGTGACAACACCCCTGACTGTCCCAATGGTGCGGACGAGTCCCCACTCTGCAGTAAGTCATCATCTCTGCTTCTCTGCCTTTTGGGCTTGCATTATAATAGTTTCATCTTACGAAAATCTATTTTTGTAATTTTCTAGGTTCACTTGTCACTTGAAATCAAGACATATTCTCCACGGCATTCCTGGTCACAACCAATAGAGTGCTTTAATGTTTGTGAGGAATTTTTGTTATGTGTGGAATCTTGTATTCAAATCATGCATGTGTTGATTTGGTCTGTATTAACTTAAAAGTGATCTATGATTTTCCTTTTTTGCCTTCCTCACTGCTTTCAGACGAGCCCTTGCCAGGTAGGAACAACCTCAATCATTGGTTAAACTTCACGCGTGTAGCTTTGATTCATCCCAAAACCTGCCATCCACACTAACCCTCTGAATGTGGGTAGAGTGTTGCAAGACTCAATTGGAGGATAAAAGAAAATGATTGTCTGTAGTTACAAATGTAGAAAATGTGTTTCAGAATGTACAAATGGGGTAATTTGATACAAAATAGAAAGCCTATAGATATTTTCTGGGGTGCTGTGATGATGCTCTATTTGTAGCACTGTGATTCTTTGAGCAGCTATAGTAGATGCATTCATTCTATTCATTTATCTACATTGCCTGTTACGTATGTCACCAAGGTGTTTCATTTTCTTACCGTCTGTTTTTAAGAACGACAGCTATTGACTCACTCCTCTTTTTACCCTCCTAGATCAGGAGAGCTGCACTGACAACAATGCTGGTTGCACCCACGGCTGCATCCAGGGGCCATTTGGGGCCCAGTGCACATGTCCCATGGGCTACCAGCTGAGTAATGACTCGAAGACGTGTGATGACCTGGATGAGTGTAGCCCCCCTGGGCTGTGTAGTCAGCACTGCTTCAACGAGAGAGGCTCCTTCCGCTGTCAGTGCTCAGATGGATACACTCTGGAGGCTGACCAACGCACATGCAAGGTCTCAGGTGAGGAGCAAGACGGTTTGTGTGTGTGTGTGTGTGTGTGTGTGTGTGTGTATAGTTAACCATAGAGTATTTAAATGGAATTGACATCTGCTGCATTAACATTTTATGCTCTTAGAAACTTTTACTCACTAGCATTTTGATACAAATGCATTTTATTTCACCAATCCATTTGGTCCACAACATACTCAATTATGTTTCCTCTAAACATAATTGGCCTAATTTCAAAATGAGACACATCTTCCGTCTGTGGATTAAGTCCAGTCGACAGACAGAGATACAGTACATCTGATTGGCCCACACAGACATGATAAACTGTCCAGTGGCTGGATAGGACAGGACAGGACACAAATGATCAAAATGGAGCCGGTGTTGGCCTCAGACCGCCGGGCGGACAGACGCACTCTCTCTCTTCTCCATTCTCTCTCCACTCTGCTCTGATTTCCCAAGATAAGACAAATAACATATATGCCACTCACTGACTCTCTCTTTAGGTAATTAGGACATAATCAGCAACAAAGGGCTTGTTTATGAGTAGTATGCCTGACATGAGCCCATCTACTGACAGATAACCTGCTAAAAAGCCCTGTAATTCAATCTGCCATTGTTCTCAACAAAGCTGCATTGATCCCCTGCTGTGGATATCTGAGGAGCTCTGTCTATCATGTTTTGTAGTTTGGGAAGTCCTCTGTAGAATGTTCTATAGCTGATGAGGAGTCTCATTTGAATTATAATGCACAGGTGAGAAGAGGATGGTTTCTGTTCACAGGTTCACGTGAGGCTTTCCTGTTAGTTGCCAGCCGAAATCAGATTGTGTCCGATGACATAACCACTCAGCCCAATGTGATCCGGTCGCTGGTCCGCGATGGACGAAACATTGTGGCCCTGGACTTTGACTCAGTGACTGACCGTGTGTACTGGTCTGACACCAGCCAGGACAAAATATGGAGTGCTCACAAAAATGGCACTGACCGGGCCGTGGTGAGTACTGATTACTGACTGTCCTTCCATTTCCCACAAAACAAGATTATCTATTTGTTTATATTCTCTACTCAGGATAATGACCTCCAATCACTTAAACCTGTGTTTTGATTTGACAGGTTTTTGACAGTGGAGTGACAGTGACAGAGAGTCTGGCAGTGGACTGGGTGGGCAGGAACCTCTACTGGACTGACTATGTTCTGGAGACAATCGAGGTGTCCAAACTGGACGGCACCCACAGGACTGTCTTGGTCAGTGAGAACGTGACCAATCCCAGAGCCCTGGTGCTGGACCCAAGGGACAGGTGAGGCTCATTTACAGTGGACATACAGACTGGCAGAGTAGAGGACACATTTGAAATACAATAAAACAAATGTAATCGATTGTAACTATAACAGTTGATCTATTGTGCAGTGCTCACCTCATGTTCTGGACAGACTGGGGGAGGAACCCTCGCATTGAGAAGGCCAGCATGGATGGAAAGATGAGGACAACCATCATAAGCAACAAACTGTACTGGCCCAACGGCCTAACCATTGACTATCCCAACAATCTGCTCTACTTCGCTGATGCCTACCTGGATTTTATTGACTACTGTGATTACAATGGCAACAACAGGAAACAAGTTCTGGCCAGCGATTTGGTAAGGATACATTGCATTTTCTATGGATTTTTCTTTACATTGATATAATTGATATAGATTAAACTAGGGAAACATTAGCATTGCATACAGAACATAATTTACCGATTTACCATTTGTGTGGAATATTATCAATAAAATGCACTTCTTGTCTTTTGCTGCCCTCAATAAAAAGGTACTGCAACATCCCCACGCAATTACCATTTTTGAGGATTTTGTGTATTGGACCGACAGATACATCAACCGTGTGATCCGAGCCCATAAGTGGCACGGGGAGAACCAGACAGTGATGCTCTACAACCTCCCTCAGCCCATGGGCCTGGTGGCAGTACACCCGGCCAGGCAGCCTGCAGGTAGGACAGGGACTCACCACTTATCAATAACCTTCGATGACATATGGCAGGCCAACTAAAAATAAGTATTAGACATGGTGATATCATAAGCTAGTATTGCCACAGTACACTATTGCCATTGTATTTTAAATGACATTTCAGAAAGGATACTGAACACTGTTGATTTTTTTTATTGTTTGTGTGTGTTATTGGATCTGTGTGCAGGTGAAAACCACTGCTTGAGGAGGCTCTGTACTCATATCTGCCTGCTCTCGGCCATGGGGCCCAGCTTCTACTCCTGCGCCTGCCCGTCAGGCTGGACCCTGGCTGCAGACAATTTCACCTGTGCCAGAGGTAGGCTCCATGCCAACCTGAGGGAAACACTCATCACTCACAGTTTAATTAAAAAGGAAGTGAGGTCAGATGGAACAGATAGATTGTAATTCTCATAACGCATAAAGCATTTATTAATGGAGTAGGTATTGGTATGAATGCTTAAAACCTACAAACAGAGAGCTGCTGTTTTGCAAACATATTTATTTGGGCATATCCAGGTCTCAGTTGGTAAAATAAGAAATCTCCTTGAACGCTGGACTCATATTTTAGAGTCTAAGGACTTGTCAACAGTATCCCATTTTAAATTCTGTTGTAGAATCCCTTTCCAGAGGTAAATATTGAGGATCATTAAAGTGTGACTAAGGTTTCAAGAAGACAAGGGACCTTTAATGTGAAATCCAGAGAGTCCTTTTTAGGTCAACAGCGTAACCCATCTCAGGTTTTAGGGATTGAGCTTTTTCTTGCCATGCAGAACACATTCACCCCTGAGCGGTGAATGATTACCCAAGAATGAAAATGCCCCCGAGCTATCCATTGATTCTAATCTCTGATGACAACGCAAATCAGACTGTGGAACAAGCTTATACCAGCCCATCTGAACCCCCTCCCCTTTCAACCTTCTTTCAACATACTGTGGTATTTTACCTGTTTTGAAAAACGAAATCAGTGCCCAATAGGCTGTATGTCCATTCAGAGCCACCATGTTTTTGGTGATGAATACTTTTGTTTTCCTGCAGTTGAGGATCCTTTCTTGGTGGTGGTGAGAGACAGTGTCATCTACGGCATTTCCTTGAACCCGGACGACAAGAGCAACGATGCCATGGTCCCTGTTGCTGGACTTCAGAATGGATATGATGTGGACTTTGATGACATTGAGCGGACCATCTATTGGGTGGAGCACCCGGTACGTGTGAGCACTGTCCACACATTTTTTACATTTTAGTCATTTAGCAGACGCTCTTATCCAGAGCGACTTACAGTTAGTGAGTGCATACATTATTATTATTATTATTATTATTATTTTTATTTTTTCATACCCCCCGTGGGAATCGAACCCACAACCCTGGCGTTGCAAACGCCATGCTCTACCAACTGAGCTACATCCCTGCCGGCCATTCCCTCCCCTACCCTAGACGACACTGGGCCAATTGTGCGCCGCCCCATGGGTCTCCCAGTCGCGGCCGGCTACGACAGAGCCTGGATTCGAACCAGGATCTCTAGTGGCGCCACTCGGGAGACACACAAACAGAGACCTGAAGTGATACTACTCTACTGTCCCTAGGCTCTGACCAACCGTGTCCTTTCCCCTCTGTAGGGTGAGATCCACAGGGTAAAGTCGGACGGTACCAACAGGACAGAGTTTGCCCCTGCAGCCATTCTGGGTTCCCCTGTGGGCCTGGCCCTGGACTGGATGACAGAGAACCTGTACTACACCAACCCAGCCACCCAGTCTATTGAGGTTAGCTGAAACATCCATGCTCCTATAGATCATAACAATGCAGTTATTTCTGAAAATGAGTGGTACACTACTGACAGTGAACATCGTATTTAGAAAATAAAGTAGTTATCTTCGTTGGTTTCCCTCTGTCAGGGGTATATCTGATATGTGTGGCATGTGTGTGTTTTGTCAGGTTTTGAGGCTGAGAGGGGAGGTGCAGTACAGAAAGACTCTAATCACCAATAATGGCTCCCCGACTGGCGCAGGCATTCCGGTTGGCATTGCTGTGGACCCGGCACGTGGGTAAGCCCCATTTAACACTGCTGTGACACGGCTGCTCATCCCCACAGTCACTGACCCCCTTCAGCCTGCCTGCCTGACTGCCATCTGCTCCACCCCCAGAGAGAGACCTAGCACTGTTACTGTATACAACATAACACTATACACTCGAACAAGCCACCACCAGGCAAACAGTGCACATGTCAACTATTCACCGTCAGCAAATCAAATGTGTATTGGGATAATTAAGACAGATAGATTTCTTCTCTCTGAATCTCACACATGGATTTTGATTGAATCTGTTGTAGATGTTCTCATATGAGGTGATTGAGATGCTGAGGGGCTGTATTCATAGCTGTGTCTCTCTCTGTTAGGAAACTGTACTGGACAGACCAGGGCACAGAGAGTGGCATCCCTGCTAAGGTGGCGGCTGCAGACATGGACGGCTCCAACCCTGTCACCCTGTTCACCAACAACCTGGATCACGTGGAGTTCATTACTGTGGACATCAGAGAGAACAAGCTGTACTGGGCTGTCACAGGCACCGGAATGGTGGGTCATCATCTCTCCCTCAACCACTATGCCTGCGTCTCAAATGCCACCCTATATAGTTCACTACTTTTGACCAGGGCCCATAGAGCCGATTAAAGTGCACTAAATAGGGAATAGGGTGCTCTATGGTCCCAATGATTCATATGTGGCTGATTCTAACAAAATACCCTTATGTAGTCCACCTCATTGCTTATTATTCATATATTTTACATGTTAAATCTGGTATTAAGGGCAGTCTTGATGTTATTAAAACCCCACAGATTGAGCGTGGCGACCCAGATGGGACTAATCGCATCACAATAGTGACAGGCTTGTCCCATCCCTGGGGCGTTGCTGTTCATGAGAGCTTCCTGTACTTCACTGACCGGGACTTTGAGGTGATAGAGCGCGTGGACAAGGCCACCGGGGCTAACAAGGTGGTGCTGCGGGACAACGTGTCTGGACTGAGAGTACTGAAGGTGCACTACAGAGAGAGTGAGTATCTGAGCGACCTTATGGTACACAGCCAAGCAAATATGAACCCCACTCCATTGAGGTTGATTGAGACTGAAACGTTCATGAAGATATATGAACTTTTTGGAAGCATCAAGATTACCAGTGTACTGGAGTTTTCTTTTTATTGTGTTGAGTGTTTAATCAGTATGCATACATACATATTTTGTCTGTTATGCTTTTTTTGGTAAAGATATAGCATTGCTGAATTATGGCATTGCTTTGGTCTTTTTGATAACTGTTGGGTAATTATGTGGGAGATGGAGTGGAGTATTAAGATGACCAGTTCCTCTTCCCTTATAAGGAACACTGGGCATTGTGTATGGAACAAGCAGTGTCCCCTAAAACAGAGCAGACCCAGCAAACCAAAATTGGTTCTGTGAAAGTTCCCAGAACATTCGTGAGGTCATGCCAAATGTTCTCATAACACAAAAACTGTCCAGTTGTGCGGATTATTCTACATTGTTTCTTTTATGGTGCAAAAAACATTCTCCTGATGTTAGAAGAATGGTCCCAGAACATATTTTGTCTGTTCTTTTAGGTTCCCAGAATGTTTTATTAGGTTGTGGGAACAGTCTGGTGGGAACTGAGCATATTTTGTGTTCTGGGAACCTATCTCTTCTAATGTTCTGGAAACCTTTAAAGAACTCAGAAAGCCTGTTTTGTTAACATTCTTGCAACATCAAATGAATGTGTTGTGCATCCTGATACAAACATTTTCTGAATATCAGCACAACAGGACAGTTTAAGTGTTTTGGGAACCTATCTCTTGTCACATCCCCACTATGTTCCCACAACCTAAAGAAATGTTTTAGGAATTTATAAAGAACATAAAAAGGTGTTCTGGGAATGTTCTTGCAACATCAGGTAAATGTTTTTTGCACCCTAAAAGAAACATTGTATAATCATCCGCACAACTGGACAGTTTTTGTGTTTTAGGAACATATATTTTGTGATGTCCCCACAATGTTCCCACCAGACTGTTCCCACAACCTAATAAAACATTATAGGAACCGTTAAGAGCAGACAAAATGTGTTCTGGGAACGTTCTTGTAATATCAGGTGAATGTTTTTTGCACCCTAAAAGAAACATTGTTTTAATCATCCGCACAACTGGACCGTTTTTGGTGTTTTGGGAACATATATTTTGTGATGTCCCCACAATGTTCCACGAGACTGTTCCCACAACCTAATGAAACATTCGGTGAACCTTTTAAAGAACAGACAAAATGTGTTCTGGGAACATTCTTGCAACATCAGGCGAATGTTTTATACAGACATTGTATAAACATCAGCACGACTGGACAGTTTTTGTGTTATAAGAACATTTGCTGCAACCTAGCGAATGTTCGGGGAACTTTCACAGAACCAAAATATTATTGGTACATTATTACATTTGTGGAATGTTCTGTGGTGTTTGTTACAGATGTTGTGCACAACATTTTTGTGAATGTTAGGAGAACATTCCAAGGATATTTCATTTGAATTTTTTTTTGAAGAAAATACAGATTTTGTTATCAAAACATTATTTGAATGTTTTTGGGATGTTATCATCCTAATGTTAGATACAACTCTAACTAAAACTTAATGGGAATCAAAGCTAATGTTCTGGGAATGTTCCCGGTTTGCTGGGGATACTGTAAGTGACATAGTTTCTGGGAATAGATCAAGCCTTGAGCCTGATTTGGCAACGATGTATCAAAATGGTGTTTGCACCAGATTCTTCCAGTGACGGCTCAGAAATTAGGCACAGGTTATCTCAGTTCCAGGATTGTAATTTGTAACATAGTTCAGTCTCATTTTGAAAAGTTCCTGACCACCCTTGTTGTCCTTGACCTAGGACTTTTAGAAATTCTTAATGGATGTGTAGCTCTATTTGTGCAGACTCCTGTTTTATATGAATGACGTGTTCTAATCCACCATGTGGTCTGCCTCTGCAGTCTCGGCTGGTACCTCCAACGGTTGCAGCAACAACATGGGTGTGTGTGAGCACCTGTGTCTACCGCGGCCCGGAGGCCTGTATACCTGTGCCTGTGCTACAGGCTTCAAGCTCAGCGTTGACAACAGAACCTGTGCTCCATACCAGTCCTACGTGGTCATCTCCATGCTGTCTGCCCTCAAAGGCTTCAGTCTGGAGGGAGCTGACCACTCTGAGGCCATGGTGCCAGTGGCTGGGAGAGGTGGGTGTTGTTCAGATGTAAAGCTACGGCTGCAGCCTTTTCATTAGTAGAGGAAAAACAATACAACATCAATGCCCATGTTTATGTTTAACCTCTCTGGTTGCGTCGTGTAGGACGTAACGCTCTACATGTGGACGTCCACATGCCCTCTGGGTTCCTCTACTGGTGTGACTTCAGCAGCACCGTGACGTCTCAGAACGGGATCCGCCGGATCAAGCCTGATGGAGCAGGATTCCGCAGTGTGGTCACATCTGGAATCGGACGCAACGGGATACGAGGCATCGCCGTGGACTGGGCTGCAGGTAGGGCATCAGCTTTGGGTTCATGTTCAGAGAGCTCAGTTGGAAAGTGTTTAAATGATGCCAGCAGGTAGAGAAAGTAAAGGTCAGCCAGCAGTAGGTATCCAGGGATACTGTGAGTCCCCCAGGCCTGGCCTGTACAGTTAGGGTGCGTCCCAAATGGCACCCTATTCCCTATATAGTGTACTTTAACACAGGGTCTGACTCCAGAAAGCAGTCTGGATTATTCTCAGTCAGGTGACTAGAAATAAGTGAGGACAGGAATGGAGAGTGCTTTAAATGATTCAGTGAATGATTCAGTTTATGGGTATACTAAACAAAGGCTGGTTTCCCAGACCCTGGAAATGTAGTCCAGGAATAGGCTTAATCTGGGTCTAGGAAACCAGCCCCAGGTGACTATTCAAATTAGCAGATTTACTCTGTCCCTACACAAGATCGGCATTACCAGATGCTTTTCCTAGATCATCTAATCTCCATTACCCTTTTACTTATATATGTCAATTTGGCTGTGCTTTTCAGGGAACCTCTATTTCACCAATGCTTTCCTGACTGAGACATATGTGGAGGTTCTGCGCTTAAACACAACTTTCCGACGTGTGCTGTTGAAGACTCAAGTGGACATGCCACGCCACATCGTGGTGGACCCTAAAAACAGATACCTGTTCTGGGCAGATTACGGACAGAACCCCAAGATTGAGCGAGCTCTGCTGGACGGGACCAACCGCACTGTGCTGGTGTCGTCTGGAATTATAACCCCACGAGGTCTGGCTCTGGACTACCAGACTGGATATGTCTACTGGGTTGATGACTCTCTGGATATGATAGCCCGGGTCAACCCTCAGGGGGGAGAGACAGAGATAGTCAGGTACGGGAGCCGCTACCCAACTCCCTATGGCATCACTGTGTTTGAGACTAGCATCATCTGGGTGGACAGGAACCTGAAGAAGGTGTTCCAGGCCAGTAAGGAGCCTGGCAGTACAGAGCAGCCTACAGTCATCAGAGACAACATCAACATGCTGAGAGACGTGACCATCTACGACCAGCGCACCCAGCCCAGCTCGGCCCAGCAGCTCAACAACAACCCCTGCCTGGAGACCAATGGGGGCTGTGCCCACTTCTGCTTCGCCCTCCCAGGGAGCCAGACCAAGAAGTGTGGCTGTGCCTTTGGGAACCTGGGGGCGGACAACGCGGGCTGTGTGGTGTCGCGAGATGATTACCTCATCTATACGACAGAGAGCACGGTGCGGAGTCTGCGTCTGGACCCGGACGACCATGCACTGCCCTTCCCTGTGGTCAATGTTCCCCGCACCTCCGTGGCCCTGGACTTTGACCGCACAGACAATAGGATCTACTTCACCCAGAGCTCAGGGGCTGGGAGCAGCAAGATTAGCTACATCAGTCTGTCTTCTCCCACCTCGCCTCCTGTAGTGGTGGCTTCAGGTAAGATACCTAACAACTAGATTTGTTCCATTACATTGCAACATCAGACTGGAATCATCTGGTTTCAGCTTTTTGGGCTATATGCTTATTGCAGTGGTGTGTTTTGTGTCCATGCAGATCTAGGAGCTCCTGATGGTATTGCCTATGACTGGACCAATAAAAGGATTTACTACAGTGACTACATCAACCAGACTATCAGCTCCATGGCAGTGGATGGGACGCAGAGATCCATCATCGCCCGTGTGCCCCGGCCTAGAGCCATCATGCTGGATCCCTGCAGGGGGTAAGACCAGAAATGCCAAGAATGCTGATACTGTTTCAGTCCTTCTGTAATGATAACAAGAGCTCTCACTCAATATCTTCAATAGATATTCAGCATGTGTTGAATCTATTCTATTTCCATGTCATACAGGTATATGTACTGGACAGACTGGGGGACCAATGCAAAGATTGAACGTGCTACTTTGGGAGGGAACTTCAGGACAGAGATTGTAAACAGCAGTCTAGTGTGGCCCAATGGACTGACCCTGGACTATGAAGAGCAGAGACTGTACTGGGCAGACGCCAGCCTGTAAGACCCTCTTATAATAGTACATTCTTCTCACAAGTCAATCATTGTCAGATTGTATTGATGATAATGATATATGCTGCTTTTGGTTATCAGACAGAAGATTGAGCGCTGCTCTCTCACTGGGGCCAATCGGGAGGTCATCGTCAGCACAGCCATTTACCCCTTTGCCATGACGATGTATGGCCAGTACATTTACTGGACTGACTGGAACACACGCAGTATCTACCGGGCTAACAAGCACGATGGGTCTGACCAGAGGGTGATGACCCAGAACCTTCCATCCAGGCCCATGGACCTCCATGTGCTAGCCAGCAACAAGCAGCAACAGTGCAACAGCCCCTGTCAACAGTTCAACGGAGGCTGCAGTCACATCTGTACCCCAGGTACTAGCAGTTAGGCCCTATTTTAACCCTCAAGTTTCCTGATCAAATAGAAGCAGGCTGTAGCTTCGTAGCTAAATGTAGGGGTTGGACCAAGCTTAATTTGAAAATGTAATCTTCTCTAGCATCATATTGTTTTGATGTGAGTTGGGCTATCATACGCCTCTGTCATACCCCCCATCCGTCTGATGCCTGTCCCCCTGCCCCTCTCCTCAGGGCCCCAGGGTGCTGAGTGTCAGTGTCCCTCAGAGGGTCGATGGTACCTGGCCGACAACAAGCACTGTATCCCTGACAACGGGACCCGCTGCCAGGCAGGCCAGTTCACCTGTATGAATGGACGCTGTATCCGTGCTCAGTGGAAGTGTGACAATGACAATGACTGTGGGGACGGAAGCGACGAGCTAGAGAGAGTCTGTGGTATGGTGCTTAGTGGCCCCAAGTAGTGCCTGTTTTGTTGAATGTTGTTTGTCTCGTCTATCTAGAAATATCTTTCTTTAATATATTTTTTGATTTGTCTTGAATGTGATTGTGATTACAGCTGATAATTATTTATTTATCCCTATATCTGTTCTGTCCTTCTCTTAACCGTCTCTAAAATGCTGCCTCTAACCAGATTTCTGTTTCTCACTGCAACAACTATTTTTCAGGATCCAAGAATGATTTCCAACCTTTTGGTGTGTATGCTTGCAAATCACTAATCTAATGTAGCTATTTAGTAATGCTTGTTTTCTTCTACCAACCCCATCCTAAACTAATAAATTCATCTACTTATCTTATGTCTTGCATGCAGTCCAAGTTCAAATGGCAGCAGCCTTTATTGCCTTGTCAGGTAATTCTCAATCTTGTACACCTGCTCATCTTCACCTGGACCTGTATGTATCAATCGTCTCAGAGTGATACTGATCTAGGATCAGGTTCCCCCTGTCCATGTAATCTTATTCGTTGTGATCTAAAAGGCAACTGATCCTAAATCAGCACTCCTACTCTGAGATGCTTGCCCCTTGTCTCGCTGTCCATTGGCTAGATCTCTGATGATGGTGTTTTTGGTTATTTGATTGGCAGCCTTCCACACTTGCGAGCCCACTGTGTTCACCTGTGGGAACGGTCGCTGTGTGCCCTACCACTACCGCTGTGACCACTACAACGACTGTGGGGACAACAGTGATGAGGTAGGCTGCCTGTTCAGGTTGTGCGACCCCAACACTGAGTTCCCCTGCAACAACGGACGCTGCATCGCTAAGGACTACGTCTGCAACGGCATCAACAATTGCTTTGACAACGGTACTTCAGACGAACAAAACTGCCGTAAGTCTACACAGCAGGACTTGGTTTCAGGTCGAAAGTTAAAAGATCAGTTCATAAGGATTAGAGACTTTGCAGTGTGGTGAAATAATTGATTTTGATGTGTGACACGAGATGATAACACCTCTTCTTGTCATGTATCTCAGCGGAGCGAACATGTCCGCCAGAACACACCAAGTGTACATCCACCAACATCTGCATCCCCCGCTCCTACCTGTGTGACGGGGACAATGACTGTGGGGACATGAGTGACGAGAGCCCTGTACACTGCGGTGAGTCCCCCAGGCCTGGCCTGTACAGTTAGGGTGCGTCCCAAATGGCACCCTATTCCCTATATAGTGTACTACTTTTGAACAAGGCCCACATATAGGGCTCTGGTCAAAAGAAGTGTGAAAAAAAAGTCTGAAAATGTATGCACTGGATAAGAGCGTCTGCTAAATGACTAAAATGTAAGTGCCGTAAATAGGGAATATGGTGCCATTTCATATGCACCCTAAATGGGTTTTGAGAGGAGAGTGACCCCTAAATGACCATACGCATGTCTCTTTTTCCCCTTCCAGCCACTTCCACGTGTGCCCAGAACGAGTTCCGCTGCTCCAGTGGCCGCTGTATCCCAGCCCTCTGGTACTGTGATGGGGGTACCGACTGTGCTGACGGCTCTGATGAGCCCTCCTCCTGCAGTAAGTACCACAGCTCTCCTTCACTCACCATCCTGTGCGTTCGTGGGCGTGCACGCATGCTTGTGCTGTGGCCGTAGTGTATGCCTTTGTTAGTGATGTGGTCAGTCAGTCAGGCCTCCCATTGTCTGCCACATTCCTCCCTACTGACGCCCACTAGTCTCCTCTGACAAACACAGCCCCTCCTCTTTCCTCTCTTCCCCAGGGTAATTATACAGCCTCACTTTATCTTGTGTTTCAATAGATCACCATAGATTGGAATGTGGAGGAGATGCTATGACTACTTTGATAGCTTCACCGGTTTCATTTAGGTTCAGATATGCATTACCTGTCTTTACTAGTTGACATCAATTACAGGGCGTTTCAAGTAACTGACATGTTTTTTATTGAACACAATGGTATTCTAGTATTCTAATTTTAATCCATTCATGCATGGTTTCTATTTATGTCTGTGACCTTTGATTCTCTCCAGCCACCCTGGTGAGAACCTGCAACACCGACCAGTTCCGCTGTGATGGCGGCAGGTGCATCGCCTCTTCCTGGATCTGCGACGGGGACAATGACTGTGGAGACATGAGTGATGAGGACCAGAGACACAACTGTGGTGAGTGTATTCTAGTGATGCGCGGGTTGACTCATAACCTGCAGTCCCCGCGGTTATATCCGCGGGGTGGGCGGGTTAAGGGTCATGAAATATTGTGTGGACGGGTTGAATAAAGAGAAAACAATACCTTAAAAAATCCATAAACGTATCATTCTTGTGCAATTTATATCTATGGGCTACATTGAGGTTTTCTTTCATTATTTTAGGCTATCTGGCATTAGTGCGTAAGCCTAAGCTTTAGGCGGTAACTGTAGCCTACATGCCAATCGCCAAATGCTTTTGGGAACAGGCAGAAAAAGTGAACGTCATCCATAGAGGCAAAATGGACAATGTCCGAGAATAATTCAATAAGAGAAAAGCTGCGAAATGGAGAGTTGAAAATAAAGAGAAGGGAGGGCCAGAAAAGTAATGTTTCGGAAAGATTTGGTGAAGTGGTAAAAGAGGATGATAGCAGTGCCGGCTATGTTATGTGTGATGATTGTGAGGCGCTATACAAATTCCACATTTAAAAAAAGGGGACTTCAAACATAGCCTACTGTTCAGATGGGTTAAATGGAAACTGAAATCTGGACACTGACTGTAGGTCTATAACCTCTCACACAGCCTTAATATTAACTCCTGCAGAATTAAGCATTTCTTGCAGTAAAGTGATACACCAAATGTAGGCTAAATCTTAACAGGAGTAGAGAAATAGGATTTCTTTCTTTCAGCATCTTGAGAGAATGCGAATGCGCAGTTAGATACGTCTGTAGAGGTGCTATCTTTATCAGCATCATAAAAGCTGATACTATTTCAACCACATAAAATATGCATCCAAGCCACACTGAAATCTTATCAGAAACATGTTGGGTTGTTTTCACAGCTTTCTATTTCCTTACAACCGGTCAAAAAGATCTCATTTGGAAATTTTGCACAGAAAATCTTTCCAGTTTTTTGGGGTCATTGCATGTTCTCCCTGGTCCGTAAACGTCTTTGCTCCGGGAAAGAAGCAAAGATGACAGAGAAAACTTTACAGATGTCAATTAGATTGAAAAATTAATTATATCGATTTATGAGATTATTCTGGTGAGCAAGGGTTTATTTAGTCTTCTAGAGCAACATACTGTATAATGACAGAAGAGAAGCTGCATGTATCTAATTATAGATAAGTTGACAAATAACAAATAGCTTACCAAAATGTCGGAAATTCTAAGGAGAAACATATCTAAATCAGGTAAAATAAATCCTGCACCTCCTACCAAAAAATCGTTCTGCCGTCTCTGACTGTAGCCTACAGCGTATTTTTCTATATTAGCGGGTTAGGGTTGGGTGCAGGCCTCAGATTTTCACTTTATCACATATAGTCGGACGGTTGGAGATGGGTTATTAGCAATTGATATTATAACCGCGATCGATAATAGACAGTACTGTGCAGCCGTCTTCATCGACCTGGCCAAGGCTTTTGACTCTGTCAACCACCGCATTCTTATTGACAGACTAAATAGCCTTGGTTTCTCAAATGACTGCCTCGCCTGGTTCACCAACTACTTCTCAGATAGAGTTCAATGTGTCAAATCGGAGGGCCTGTTGTCTGGACCTATGGCAGTCTCTATGGGGGTGCCACAGGGTTCAATTCTTGGGCCGACTCTTTTCTCCGTGAATATCAATGATGTCGCTCTTGCTGCTGGTGACTCTCAGATCCACCTCTACGCAGACGACACCATTTTGTATACATCTGGCCCTTCATTGGACACTGTGTTAACAAACCTCCAAACGAGCTTCAATGCCATACAACACTCCTTCAGTAGCCTCCAACTGCTCTTAAACACTAGTAAAACTAAATGCATGCTCTTCAATCGAACGCTGCTGGCACCCGCCCACCCGACTAGAATCATTACTCTCGACGGGTCTGACCTAGAGTATGTGGACAACTACAAATACCTAGGTGTCTGGTTAGACTGTAAACTCTCCTTCCAGACTCACATTAAGAATCTCCAATCCAAAGTTAAATCTAGAATCGGCTTCCTATTTCGCAACAAAGCCTCCTTCACTCATGCTGCCAAACATGCCCTCGTAAAAATGACTATCCTACCAATCCTTGACTTCGGCGATGTCATTTACAAAATAGCTTCCAACACTCTACTCAGCAAATTGGATGTAGTCTATCACAGTGCCATCCGTTTTGTCACCTAAGCCCCATATACTACCCACCACTGTGACCTGTACGCTCTTGTTGGCTGGTCCTCACTACATATTCGTCGCCAAACCCACTGGCTCCAGGCCATATATAAATCACTGCTAGGCAAATCCCTGCCTTATCTTAGCTCATTGGTCACCATAGCAACACCCATCCGTAGTATGCGCTCCAGCAGGTATATCTCACTGGTCATCCCCAAAGCCAACACCTCCTTTGGCCGCCATTCCTTCCAGTTCTCTGCTGCCAATGACTGGAACGAATTGCAAAAATCTCTGAAGCTGGAGACTCTTATCTCCCTCACTAACTTTAAGCATCAGTTGTCAGAGCACCTTACCGATCACTGCACCTGTACACAGCCCATCTGAAATTAGCCCACCCAACTACTTCATCCCCATATTGTTATTTATTTTGCTAATTTGCTCCCCAGTATCTCTATTTGCACATCATCTCTTGCACATCTATCATTCCAGAGTTAATACTAATTGTAATTATTTTGCACTAAAACATGCTACATTTGCACACACTGTATATATATTTTCTGTTGTATTTTTGACTTTATGTTTTGTTTTACCCCATATATAACTCTGTGTTGTTGATTTTATCGCACTGCTTTGCTTTATCTTGGCCAGTTGTAAATGAGAACTTGTTCTCAACTGGCTTACCTGGTTAAATAAAGTTGAAATAAAAAATAATAAATACAATTGCGGGTGGGTGCAGGTGAACAAACAGCTGACCCGCGCACTAATAGTGTATTCCTCTCCAGTCTATCTCCGTCAGACACTGAGGGATCAGGATGCATGCTGTGGGTGTGGGGGGTGGATACTGGCTCCTGTTGAAGGTCTCCGGCCAGAGTCCAAGGAGCTCACATTCCTGATTTCCCCTGCGTCACACGTTACTTTGTGCCTGTCTCAGAATCCTGTCTCAGGGTGGATCTAGACTCTTATGTCATCCCTCTCGAATGTGGTCTCTGACAATAAGGAGCCTGGAGCGGATGGCTTCAGCACACCACGGGCCTCGGCAGGAGTCTCACTTCAAACAATGGGGCTCAATCACATTAGATGGATAGGAAACTGAAGTCACGGCTAGAGGTCCTGAAATACACTTAGGAATGTTTGGACCGCAAGAAATGCTAGGTCCAGTCTCGGAGTCTTCATCATCAAGTAACTTCTCTAATTTGGTGTAATATCCCTGCCCCTTGGTTTTTTTAGCAAACCGCACATGCTCAGCGTTGGAGTTTACCTGTGTGAACAACCAAGGGCCGCAGCGGAAGTGCATCCCTCGTGGATGGGTGTGTGACGGCGATGCAGACTGTGCTGATGCGTTGGACGAGCATCAGAACTGCACTCGCAGATCGTGTGGCGTCAACGAGTTCACCTGCAGCAACGGCCTCTGCATACGCAGCTCCTACAGGTTTGACAACTCTAACATAACAGTGACATAATTATGACATTTTTCAGATGTCTTGAATGTATCATTGCTGTGTAGAGGCTGAGACTACAGTTTGAATTTTGGGACTGGACAGCAGCACCACCTGGTGTACAGGGATGCACACTGTGTGACTGATGTGTTTGGTGGCAGGTGTGACCGGAGGAATGACTGTGGTGACAGCAGTGACGAGCAGGGCTGCACCTACCAGCCGTGTCAGCAGCACCAGTTCACCTGTCAAAACGGACGCTGTGTGTCCCGCACCTTCATCTGTGACGGGGACAACGACTGCGGGGACGAGTCGGATGAACTAGACCACCTGTGCCGCACGCCACCGCTCACATGCCCCCCTGGGCAGTTCAGGTGTGACAACGGGCACTGTGTCCCTCTCTTCAACGTGTGTGACCGGACCGACGACTGCTCAGACAACAGTGACGAGAAGGGCTGTGGTGAGTGCATGATATCTTACAAGCAGTAAAACAAATTAAGTTCAATAGAACTACAATGCCAATATAGTATTTAGCATTTAGTATCACAGCAGGCAGTGTGGTGTTGGATTTATAGTAAATCACCTCTTGTGTCTGTTCTTGTCCTGCACGCAGGTATAAATGAATGCACCGACCCCTCCATGCACCACTGTGACCACAACTGCACTGACACACCCACCAGCTTCATCTGCACCTGTCGCCCCGGCTACCGCCTCATGTCCGACAACAAGACCTGTGACGACGTCAACGAGTGTGCGGAGACGCCCAGCGTGTGTAGTCAGGTGTGTGAGAACACGGTGGGCTCCTACATGTGTAAATGTGCCCCCGGGTTCCTACGCGAACCGGATGGCCGCAGCTGTCGTCAGAACAGCAACATCACACCCTACCTCATCTTCAGTAACCGCTATTATCTTCGTAACCTGTCCACGGACGGAGAGGCCTACTCCCTCATCCTGCAGGGCCTGACCAGCGTGGTGGCCATGGACTTTGACCGCGTGGACAAGAGGTTCTACTGGATTGATGTGAGCCGCAGGGTGATTGAGCGGATGTTCTATAACGGCAGTAACAGGGAAGTGGTGGTGAACGGGGTGCTCCATGGGGAGGGCCTGGCGGTCGACTGGGTGGGCAGGAAACTCTACTGGGTGGACAGCTTCCTGGACTGTCTCAAAGTGTCCGAACTGGACGGGCGCTTTGCTAAGAAACTGGCTGAGCACTGTGTGGACACCAATAATACCTACTGCTTTGAAAACCCCAGGGCGCTCGTTCTGCATCCTAAATATGGGTGAGTAAATCTGCCCCATGAATAATTATACAGTGAATAATAAGTGAGGTTCATTCAATAAGTGAGGTATTTAGTAACCTAAACTCATTTGGTCCCTGTCAGATATGTCTACTGGACGGATTGGGGGGACAAAGCCTTCATAGGCCGTGTTGGAATGGACGGCACCAACAAGACAGCCATCATCACCACTAAGATTGAGTGGCCCAATGGGGTCACCATTGACTACAGCAATGACAAGCTCTACTGGTCGGATGCCCATCTCAACTACATTGAGTAAGACCGTGCTTCTAATTGCCATACAGTCTTGCTTTGTTTCCTAAATGCCTAAAGGCCTCCTGTAATCCTACTCTCCTCTTCTCCTCAGATTCTCAGACCTGGAGGGACATCACAGACACACTGTGTATGATGGGATACTGCCCCATCCATTTGCCCTGACTGTGTTTGAGGAGACCGTGTACTGGACTGACTGGAACACCCACACAGTGGAGAAAGGCAACAAATACGACGGATCCGGCCGCCAGTCTCTGGTCAACACCACACACAGACCCTTCGACATCCACGTGTGTCATCCCTATAGGCAGCCCATAGGTCAGTCTCAGTCTAGGAGACAGTAATCTGAGTATCCTCTTCTCCTGGATCAACATCCAATCCTCAACACTGAGATTGCTATCACTTCCTTATCCTGACGTTTCCTGCCTGTTAGGTCCATTCAAGTGTTTACATTAAGACAATGCTGTGCCTGTGTTTGCCCAGATGCACTGAATGTGATTGCACTGATTCTCTGACCCCCTCTCTCCCCCCAGTGACCAACCCCTGTGCAGTGAACAATGGAGGCTGCTCCCACCTGTGTTTGCGCCGCGACGGGGGGCGGGGTCACACCTGTGAATGCCCCGACCACTTCCTGACTATACAGCTGGGGGGCGTGGCTCACTGCCTGCCCATGTGCACCAGTACCCAGTACAGATGTGCGGATAATGAGCGGTGAGTGGTAGTTCACCTTAGAGTTGTACTACTATACACTCTCTTTGTATCATATGTCCTGTGGTATAATTGAGGCATTGGTGAGCCCTGAACAGTATTGTCCCTCCTCCCCTCCACAGCTGTATCCCCATCTGGTGGAAGTGTGACAGCCAGAGGGACTGCAGAGACGGCTCTGATGAGCCCTCCACCTGCCCCAGTCGTCACTGTCGACTGGGCCAGTTCCAGTGCAACGATGGAAACTGCACCAGCCCCCACTTCCTGTGCAACAGCAACCAGGACTGCCACGATGGCTCTGATGAAGATCCTGTGCTGTGTGGTGGGTGGCATTTAGTGCTGTTATTTTTGTTTTCAGAGAACACTCTGAGCATGTATGAAACGTTCTTTGTAATTATTTTATTACATTGTTTTTAACTTGTTGATTTCCCATGACCTTGTGATCGTTGTTGTTAAATATCAGGTATGCATTAATGCACTTCAGTAGAGTTTAAAACTGAATTTACTGTCTGTACAGCCACACATCAGTGCGAGACCCATCAGTGGCAGTGCACCAATAAGAGATGCATCCCCGAGGCGTGGCAGTGTGACGGGGAGGACGACTGTGGTGACGGCTCTGATGAGGAGCCCACCCACTGCTCCAGCAGGACCTGCCGGCCTGGACAGTTCAAGTGCCGTAACGGACGCTGCATCCCCCAGAACTGGAAGTGTGACGTGGATGATGACTGTGGCGACAACTCTGACGAGCCTCTGGAAGAGTGCAGTGAGTGACGCGCACATCATCACACAGAGAATCATGTGGTGAAAACACACACTTAACTATAGGGATTGAGTGTGATTACTACAGGAAGGCTACTGAGATCTGTTCATTCTAAACTGTGTAAAATCACAATGAATAGTTGTTTTCTCCCTCCAGATATAATTAAAAGACTTCCTCAAAAGTGTCTGTCTGCGTGTTGGTCTTTGCTATTAACGTCCTTGATGTGGTCTTTTCACAGTGGGGCCGTCTTATCGCTGTGACAACCACACACAGTTTGACTGCAGGACCAACTACCGCTGTGTGCCACAGTGGTCTGTGTGCAACGGCCACAACGACTGCAGGGACAACAGTGATGAGCAGAGCTGCGGTGAGTCCACTAAAACACCAGCGTCCAGACATAAATCAACCAATGGTTAAAACCCACAGCACTGAATAATAGAGTTTTTGAATGAGGTAACAATGTGTGTTGGGAGTGAATGAAGGGCTATTAGCAGAACATTACATAGTGGGACAGTGGGCGGTAGTGATGGAGAGGGTCTCACCGCCTGCTCCCCGTGAGAGAATTTCTGGATTTATGGCTTGTGTGTGTGTGTGTGAGAGTGTGCGCCTGTGTGCACCTTTGTATGGGCAAGGTGCACACTGCGCTCCTTGTACCACGCACCGATCCACACACACCAGCCCTGGCCCTCCCATCTCTTATCAGAGGCACTCACTCCATTAGTGCCGTCCCCGCGCTAGAGGGGAGATCAGTGCTAATCTGTGTTAGAGAATGCAGCGGTCGGGCCAGTTGGAGGGATAGGAGGGCCTGGAGTTAGCACCACTATCTTTCAAACCACCAGCACTGTGTGATAGAGACAGCTCAACCCAGCTCTCGTCCTCTCATGTCCTCTCTTATAGACCTGGCATAGCTCAGAGCTCACCCACTTCAGGCATGCTGCACTCCCCTCTGCATGATCAGCTCTGCTTTAATTAAAAAAACAGAGGGCACCTCTCAGTTCAAAGCTCTGTGGTCTAGTAGTTATCATCAACGCTATATTAAACAGTATGATGCACAGTGTTGAAGAATTTCTTATTAATCTGACAGTGTCTTGTAGTACCACTGGTTGGTTGGAGCTGTAACTTCATCACTGTCTTGAAATGGTCTCAAAGTAATACTGTAATGACTGTTGATTTTATTTTGATCAACGGTCATTACTAAATGACTAAGGGGTGGTTTCCCGAACACAAATAAAGCCTAGTCCTGGACTAAAAAGCAAATTTAATGGAGAACCTATTAATCTTTATTGCTTAATATGTGTCTGGTAAAACCACCCCTATGCGTTTGCATGAATGCAATGTTTGCGCGTAAAATATTTCAAGGAAGAACTAAGGATAAGGAGGATAAGAACTTGAGAGAAAGTGTAAATACAGGTATGTGTTTTAGCGTTGTCTTTTGCTTCTTATCTCATGTTCCTGTGTGTGTGCCTACTGTGGTTTCAGAGGAGGTGACCTGTGATCCTCTGGGGGACTTCCGCTGTGACAACCACCAGTGTGTCCCTCTGCGCTGGAGGTGTGACGGGGACAACGACTGTGGGGACGGCTCGGATGAGCGCGCCTGCAGTGAGTTATTCAGTACTTCTACTCACCACCACTGTCTAATACTGTATCTAATTAACACCTTCACATTAGATCATCTGGCTGCCTCGCATTGGGACTTCTACACTGAGTCATCATGGGCCGGTTGTACAAGTTGGGCATAACAGGGTTGTAACTCTATCTCATCCATTTAAGCCCAACCTTTTTAAGCCCAACTGGTGCAACCGGCCCTACTTGTCTCCTTAGCAGTTATGGGCTAATTCACATGACTCAAAAGGCTGGATACTTGTAGTCATGGCTTTGAGTGTCTTCTAAGCGATTCTAGTGGGGGATTCCAATGTAGCTCAGAAATAGTGAGTCACCAATATGAAATAGGGGTGTTGATGGCAAAGAATGAACCTGTTATTGTTTTATCAGATAACAAAGTGCTCTTGTAAAAGACTTAACACTTCTGTCTTCGAAGCAGTGTTATGTGAGGCGGGCTTATCAGCTGCTAGAGAAACAGCATGTCAGCCGGAGGGAGTGAGGGAGTCGGCCACCTCTGCCCTGGAGAATTTAAACAAGTCTGAGAACATGCCAGTTGATGAGGATAATGTATCTGCTTCAAAGAACAACTAATGTGTTGTATGATGACATTTGCTAGTTTCCTGGGGTTGCCACTCCCCTTGTAACTGTAGTGGTAATGCATGGAGAGAGAACACCTCCAGTGAATTCCATCATGAACTCACCACAGAAAAATGACAGCATGATTGGTTGGGTGCTTTGAGATCGTTTGTTAATGCTAATAACAAGTCATAGCTCAGGGAGCTGAGGGAGTAGAACTATTGAGGGAATAGAACTATAGTATTTGTCAAAGCAGTTGCTATTTTTGTATGGACTATAATAAAACAATCCCAGAATAATGTAGTAATATTGTAATACCCTCTGTCAGCTGTGTCTACATTGTGTTTGTTTGGACTGGGGCAATGACAACTAATTAAGTATTCCCTTATGCAGTGATAATTCTGTGTTCCCCCAGGCCCGCGTGAGTGCTCCGAGAGTGAGTTTCGCTGCGATAATCTGCACTGCATTCCCGACCGCTGGGTCTGTGACCATGACAACGACTGTGAGGACAACTCAGATGAAAGGGACTGTGGTGAGCGTGGGGCTCTTTGTTTTGGCACTGGCTCTGCTTATTAATGTGTGATGGAATACAGCACCAAGCAAAGAAGGCACAGGATACACAGAGGCATATTTTTGAGGCACAGGATACACAGAAAGGACCACCAGAATAAATTGACTTCTTCCGTTGCCCATTTCTACTGGTCAGATTGTGAATTCAAGTCACTTCTAGATGTTTATTTACAGTAGTCATGACAAGTCAACACAAGGTCAGAATCTGAGATACCTCAGTACTTGGCATGACTGAAAATGAGTGAGGTGTAAGGAGTGATATTAGTGCCATCAGAAATAGAATTTGAATTGAAATGGTATCATTAATACCTAAAGTATTAATGATGAGTTGTGTGCTGGCATGGCTGTGTTGCAGAGCTGCGGACCTGTCACCCGGGCTACTTCCAGTGTGGCAGTGGCCACTGCATCGCCGACCGCTTCAAATGTGACGGCAACCCCGACTGCCTGGACTACACTGACGAGACATCATGTCGTATGTGTTAAATATCATCATAGATGTGTCAATGGGCTGACATCAAATACAACACTCCCAGTGAGCCAAACTGGTTGAAAATACGTTATTTCAACGGTAAAACCAGTTGAAATTACAGATTTTCAACCGGTTTTACTCACTGGGCTCCTATCTCCTCAGAAGTCCAGAACTATTATGATGTTACTACAGCAGCCTCTACAGTTATCCTAAGTTAAAAAGTTACAAACATGAATTTGAATTGTAATGGTCCATTTGTCTTTCATTTGCAGCAACCCGTTATCCCAATGGCACGTATTGCCCACCGTTCCTGTTTGAGTGTAGGAACCATGTGTGTGTGCAGCCCTACTGGAAATGTGACGGAGACAACGACTGTGGAGACCACTCAGATGAAGAGCTCCACCTCTGCTGTAAGGCCAATGCCCCTTCAATGGTTACACTGTTCTTTTAATAGTTACATTGTTGAATGAGTTTTTATTCTTTAACAATGAGAAATTATACCGTGACATTGAGCCTGGCCATGGCCTGGGCCCGTATTTATCAAGCATCTCAAAGTAGCAGTGCTGATCTAGGATCAGGTCCTCCCTGTCCTTAATAGTCTTAATAGAAGCACAGTTCCCGCTCAGCCCAGTCAAAACTGTTCGCTGCTCTGGCACCCCAATGGTGGAACAAGCTCCCTCACGACGCCAGGATAGCGGAGTCACTCACCACCTTCCGGAGACACTTGAAACCCCACCTCTTTAAGGAATACCTGGGATAGGATAAAGTAATCCTTCTACCCCCCCTTACCCCACCCCAAAGAAAGACAAAAAAATAACATATTGTAAAGTGGTTATCCCATTGAATGCACAATGCACCAATTTGTAAGTCGCTCTGGATAAGAGCGTCTGCTAAATGACGTAAATGTAAATGTAAAATGTATTATGATCTAAAAGTTAAAGCTGATCCTAGATCAGCACTCTTACTCTGAGACGCTTGAGAAATACGGGCCCTGGTCTTGTCTCCCTAGTGGACATCCCGTGTGACCCGCCATTCCGTTTCCGCTGTGACAACAACCGGTGCATCTACAGCCATGAGCTCTGCAACTCAGTGGACGACTGTGGGGACGGCACTGACGAGAAAGAGGAGCACTGTAAGCCAATCACAAGTTACAATACTGTCATATATTGTCCCATCTCCATGGGAGTTTGGAGTACATATAGCCCATCATTGTATGAATATTATGTAGGTTCCATCCCAAATTACACCCTTTTGCCTTTATACTGCACCACTTTTGACCAGGGCCCATAGGGTTCTGGTCAAAAGTAGTGCACCATATAGGGAATAGGGTGCCATTTGGGACGTATTTGTCATGTTAGCAAAGGTTATTGTTCATCCGATCGTCCATGTCTTTCACTCTCTGAAATGATTGACATGTTGACATGATGTGTTGTGTTTGTCACAGGCCAGACCCCAACACATGGGCCCTGTTCAGCGGATGAGTACAAATGCAGTAATGGCCAGTGCATCCCTCTGCAGTATGCCTGTGACGACTATGATGACTGTGGAGATCATTCTGATGAGCTGGGCTGCAGTGAGTAACCCACCCAACTCAGTAACCATAGTCTTCCCTCTCCATCTCAATCATCATAAACCGTTATCTTATGCTAAGCTACATGGCTGTTTGTATAATACTGAAGCGAGAGTAAATGTCAACCCTCATAATATGACACATGTATATGTGCTCTCCCCAGATGTTGGCAGTGGGCGCTCCTGCAGTGAGAACATCTGTGAGCACAACTGCACAGACCTGACAGACGGAGGCTTCCTCTGCTCCTGCAGGCCTGGATACAAACCCAGCCAGACAGACAGGAACACCTGTGAAGGTACAGGAAGCATCAGTACAGCCTGAATGTGGAAACACCACTCTGTACCAATGTCACGCTCTTTTATTACCTCTTATGATTTCTTCTGCTTACGCTATTATTAACCTTTTGCTCTCTCTGTGTTTTTCCTGTTGTTGTGTTTGTGAACAGATGTGAACGAGTGTGAGGTCTACGGGACGTGTCCACAGGAGTGTAAGAACTCCAAGGGAAGCTACGAGTGTTTCTGTGCCCAGGGCTTCCGCTCAGTCAGCGAGCAGCATGGCATTGAGTGTGCTGCTGAGGGTAAGAGCTTAGCTGGACAAGTCATTCCGTTTCGTCCCAAATGGCACCCTATTCCCTTTGTAGTGCACTACTGTACTATATAGGGAAGAGGGTGCCATTTGGGACACAGCATCTGCCTCCTATCTGTTAGTGCTCTGGAGTAGAATGCCTGAATGTTTAAGGGATACTTCGGGATTTTGGCAATACTAGCAGATACCCATAGACTTCCAGTCATTGTGCTAACGCTAGTTAGCATTGGCTTGCGAAACTACCTCTAACTTACTTCATACTGGACACAGAGACATAAAAATGTTATCCACGAGTTCATCTGACATCTGGGGAAGTAGATAAAGGGCATCATTGCCAAAATTCCGAAGTATCTCTTTAAGGATGGGACCATATTTCACTATTCTCCATTTCAGGAAACCCACCAGTGCTGCTTCTGCCCGACAATGTGCGGATTCGCCGCTTCAACTTGTCATCGGAGCAGTATTCAGACTACGTGGACAACGCCGAGCACATCCAGGCTCTGGACTACCAGTGGGATCCAGAGGGCATCGGACTCAGTAAGACCTTCAGCTCAACTAGTTAACTAGTCAGTGCAATTTGGCTCATGTGAAGAGCACTATGGGAGTGATACAGTGACTGGGGAGGTTTCCACTTCATGAGGAACCAAACAGAAGCAAATGGGCCAAAACGGGGAGGGACCACCTGAACTTGTCCAATAACAAACACATTTTCGTTTTCCGTTGTAAACCATTTTGCAATGATGTGCACTTCTGAATATGACCCTATTGTGCTCTCAGGTATTGTGTACTGGACGGTCCTGGGCCGAGGATCTCAGTTTGGCTCTATCAAGCGGGCCTACATGACCACATTCAATGACAACGGCAATAACCCAGTGAAGGAGTTGGATCTGAACCTGAGATATGTTGCCAATCCTGATGGTATCGCTGTGGACTGGATCGGAGGGTACAACTCCTTCATTATTGCTTACTATTTTTGCTTTTAAGAATACATTTTTGTATTCAATCTAACAGCTAATCTTGGTTTTACAGTCACATTTACTGGACAGATGCAGGGACCAATCGAATTGAAGTGGCAAAGCTAGATGGGCGCTACAGGAAGTGGTTGATCCATAATGACCTGGACCAGCCAGCTGCTATTGTTTTGAATCCAGCACTCGGGTACGGAAGTGATCAACTACAGTGACATGGGGGGCTTTTTGGTTTGTTCCGAAGAATAAAGTGTGTGTGTGTGTGTGTGTATCCTTCACAATAAGCAAATATAGTGTATCCTCTCAGATATAACAGCATTGTGGAGTGTACTATATAAATATTATTTGTTAACAAACACTCTGTTAAGCATATCACATTAAGAATCTCCAATCCAAAGTTAAATCTAGAATCGGCTTCCTATTTCACAACAAAGCCTCCTTCACTCATGCTGCCAAACATGCCCTCGTAAAACTGACTATCCTACCGATCCTTGACTTCGGCGATGTAATTTACAACATAGCCTTCAACACTCTACTCAGCAAATTGGATGTAGTTTATCACAGTGCCATCCGTTTTGTCACCAAAGCCCCATATACTACCCACCATTGTGACCTGTACGCTCTTGTTGGCTGGTCCTCACTACATATTCGTCGCCAAACCCACTGGCTCCAGGCCATCTATAAATCACTGCTAGGCAAATCCCTGCCTTATCTTAGCTCATTGGTCACCATAGCAACACCCACCCGTAGTATGCGCTCCAGCAGGTATATCTCACTGGTCATCCCCAAAGCCAACACCTCCTTTGGCCGCCATTCCTTCCAGTTCTCTGCTGCCAATGACTGGAACGAATTGCAAAAATCTCTGAAACTGGAGACTCTTATCTCCCTCACTAACTTTAAGCATCAGTTGTCAGAGCACCTTACCAATCACTGCACCTGTACACAGCCCATCTGAAATTAGCCCACCCAACTACCTCATCCCCATATTGTTATTTATTTTGCTCATTTGCACCCCAGTATCTCTATTTGCACATCATCTCTTGCACATCTATCATTCCAGAGTTAATACTAATTGTAATTATTTTGCACTATGGCATATTTATTGCCTTACCTCCATAACTTGCTACATTTGCACACACTGTATATAGATTTTCTATTGTGTTATTGACTGTACGTTTTGTTTTTCTTTATTCCATATGTAACTCTGTGTTGTTGTTTTTATCGCACTGCTTTGCTTTATCTTGGCCAGGTCGCAGTTGTAAATGAGAACTTGTTCTCAACTGGCTTACCTGGTTAAATAAAGGTGAAATAAAAATTTATAAAAAATATGTGACTGTGCATTTCCCAGAATCATGTACTGGACAGACTGGGGTAGGAGACCCAGGATCGAGTCTGCCTGGATGGACGGGCAGCACAGGCAGGTTCTGTTGGACGAGGACCTGGGCTGGCCCACTGGACTGACTCTGGACTACCTGAATGGAGACAGGATCTACTGGTGTGACTCCAAGGAGAACATTATAGAGTCCATGAAGCCGGACGGCACCGAGAGGAAGATCATCATGTCAGGAGGTCAGAACCCACTGAGACCTTTCTTAGGCTGCATCCCAAATGGTACCCTGTTCCCTATATAGTGCACTGCTTTTGACCAGGGTCCATAGGCCTCTGGTCAAAAGTAGTGCAGTATGTAGGGAATAGATCGCCTTTTGGGATGCAACAATAGATGTTGCTAACATGCTGGTGATATATTATTTGTAATAACTACTTTATTAACTCCCTTAATAGTTAATGATTGAATCAGACCACGTCTATTGAAGTGCTGGCTAATTAAGTATGGCCATTTTCTGCTTCAGATATTGGTAATCCCTACAGCCTGGATGTCTTTGAGGGGCATGTGTACTGGACAACCAAGGAGCGGGGTGAAGTCTGGAAGGCTGATAAGTTTGGGAAGGAGGACAAAGTGAAGGTGCTGACCATCAACCCCTGGCTGACTCAAGTCCGCATCTACCAGGAGCATAGATACAACCGCTCAGGTTAGAGTTTGTCAAGTCTAAAACAAACACACTGTAGTTTTTTCCTGTCTGGTGAGTATAAGGTAGTTACAGGTCTCTTCTTCCCTCTCTCAGTGCCCAACCCCTGTAAGGACATGTGCAGTCACCTGTGTCTGATCCGGCCTGGGGGCTACACCTGCACCTGCCCCCAAGGATCATCCCTGGTCGGCTTCAACCCCAACGAATGTGACGCAGGTATGGTCTATAAAGGAAATCACATCACCTGTGAATGCAGCCTCCCTGCACCATGCACCATTGATCATTGAAATCATACTATATACTGTACATGCATGGCTGCTCTGATGTTGTTGTGTGACGTTGTGGTGACGTTGTGGTGACGTTGTGGTGACGTTGTGGTGACGTTGTACGTGGCTTTCACTCCTGCAGCCATTGAGGCTCCAGTCTTAATGCCCCTTGCATGCAGATGCATGAACGGAGGGACCTGCTACACTGATGAGGGGGGCCTACCCAAGTGCAAGTGAGTTCAGCAGCTGGTGTCAGGAAGTAGATTCATTGTCATATTATTATAACATGTAACAACACAGCCACAAGCCATATGAGTGTTTCGTTCCACCCCATGAAGAAACATTAGTTTTTTGTCTTTTCTTTTGCAGGTGTCCGTATGGCTATGCAGGGAGTTACTGTGAGATGGGAAAGTCCAGTGGTGCCCCTGCAGGAGCAGGTACAGTAAAACGTGAGATAAGAAGTGGGATATCTGTATGATACTGAATGACCTGCAATATGGATCTCTTCAAATACGATTAGATTTCTCCCCAAACATGTCAGTCCAACGTGCCAGTCTTCATACAACTTTTCTGAGTAATGGTTCATGATACAGTAGTTCCACAACATTGATTGAGCCAAGTAACATTATCTTTCGTTATACTGTTGTCTCACAATTCATTATATTATGACCTTGAGATTTGTTTTGACTGAGCAAACACTAAAGCTGTTTTTCTCTCCAGTAAAATATTACTCAGTTCACTAGCTAATAAAAAGCCCAACTCACCATAATCTTTTAACCTCAATTGGTAGTATGTCAGCAAAGTAATAAGTGATACATTGTTTTAGTTTTGGACTACTGATACATGTTTTACAAAAGATGAGTATAAATGTTCTGGAGTAAACTTTGTTGCTTGCTGACATCTTTGTATTTCAGCAGTTGCTGCACTGTTAGCAGTGATTGTCATCATCATCACTGGAGCGTTGGCTGTTGCGGTTTTCCTCAACTACAAACGAACAGGCTCCTTAATCCCGTCCATGCCCAAACTACCCAGGTAGGTTCTCAGCTCACCTGATTTCAAACATCTGTGCTTGCCTCTGTCGTAACATTTCAAACGAGAGCCTCACATGAAATGTGTGTAAATGAGAAACCATTTTCTTGTGTCTTTCCTTTCCAGCCTTAGCAGTCTGGTGAAATCGGGTGACACAGGCAATGGGGTGACGTTTCGCTCGGGTGACAATGTCACCATGGATCTGGGACCTCCACCCATCGGGGTGTCATTCATTGACAGGGCCAAGCATCTGGTAAACTGGATTGTGTTGGTTTAGCACTTAGTGGTGTCACTGCACCTTCAGACTGCACCATCAGCATATTAATCCTGTGTTAGACCCCGGTTGACTTTAGCCCTTTGGATGTCTGTCATTGTACATTATTAACAAGACTAATAGTCAACACATTCCCAGCCAGGGTTGTTTTGCTCTGTAGTTAATAAAGTAAAGCACAAATTGCAGGGCATTGACTTTATACTAAGAGCTTGAAATACATGTAGGTGATAGATAGCAATGCTGTTTGAATCACCTTTGATGGACATGATGAATAACAGTATGTCTCGTTCAGGATGGGAACTTCGCAGTGGAAGCAGGGAGGCAGCCAATCACATTTGAGAACCATCTGTATGCCAATGCAGCGGCTGGATCGTCTAGTGATCCTGCTGTCATCCACGCCACACAGGTAGACAAGACAACACTGTTGCATGAACATACCTAGGGCAGGTTGGATTGACATCATTGTTAAAACAATACTAATTGTTCTGCACTGTTTTACTCCAAACAGGTGACTGTTACTGTTAGCGGTGAGCAGATAGAGAACAACTTTGCGAACCATACAGAGCAGATTGTGAGCACCGTGGACAGTTCCACAGCCAGAGCCAAGCCTGTTCAGGTGACTCTCCCTTCCTGTACTTTTATCATTAGGTAAAGGATAGGGATTATATTGTAATTTACAGCAATGGTGTCCTACATTTACAGGAGTCCAGGTGGAGCACCTTCAAAAGAAAATTGAAGCCAAGCTTAAATTTTGAAAACCCTATCTACTCAGAGGTAAGCCCAATACTGACACCCAATGAGCATTTGGGGGGTGACTGACTCTTTGCTTCATATCTCTCAGCACCTGTTCCTTTTTGAGACACGGCTGTTCTACAGTAGAGAATGGCCCACATGTGTTTGTACTCCTAACTGTTTGAGGTTTGCTTCTGATTCAGAGGTGAACAAATGTTGGGGTTGTGTTGGCCTGTTTTCTGCTAGTCATCCCCTTATTGTTTTTCAGATGCAGAATGAAAAAGCAGTAGGAAGCAATGAGGACAGTTCCTCCACTGACCCCTCTCCCTTTGCCCCAACCACCAAACGCCTGAAGAAGGATCGTCCCAGCACCTACTCACCAACTGAGGACACTTTCCGAGACACGGCGAACCTCGTCAAAGAGGACATCGATGTATGACCCCCTTTCTCACAGATTTGAATCAAAGACACACTCTCCTTTGCACAGAATCTATTTTTATATGTAGCCTGTCTACAAAACTAAGATTGATTTGTGAAAAGAAATTAGACAAACATTTCTTTAGCATACAGAAAATAGGTCTGTCATGACTATGCCTTCAGATATTTCTTATGCCAATTCTTGTTTCATGATTTTTTTTATTGTGATATACTATATGTATATCTTTGCACTGAAACTGCTGATAGAAATGTTATATGTTGTACATTTGTAAATTTGAAGAGTAAGATTTTTGTTGATAATCTATTTCTAACAGCCAGAGAATATTATCTTTTCCATAGTGCTTCATAAACAAAACACACAACAGGTGAAGTGCATTGTGAATTAGGACAATGTTTTGAAAGGATAATTAATTATTTTTGCCACTGAACAAAACTGAATATGTATGCATTTCATCTTGCATGTTTATATACCTCATTTCAGGGCTTAAAAAACAAACAAAACAAATACAAACGGATCCAATTCTTACTATAGCTATTCTAAATCTATAGAAAACTATAAAAATTCAGAATATCTCAAAGGATAGTATGCTAAGCATACTTACATGGTACTTAAGATCAAAATGATATACAATGTTCCCTGACTTTTTTGGCATATTTAAATGAAAATGATCATATTTTAGTAAAATGCTTTATGAATAATGATGTCCTCTTTAAAATTAATTTGGAACAATACTTGAATATGGCCATGATTTTAATGTGTGAAGATGTATAATTTTGGACACATCCAGTGACTCTGGAGCTGGTATAGTCCAAGAGCAAAACATCCATATCTGGAGATACAGCATTTGGTCAGGTCATTAAACGAAGAATCTGACTGTTATTTTCTAAACATGGGCTATGAATCCTGTGCTCTTAGATTGATTGTTTTGTATTATGATGAAAATAACAAATAAAGACTGTATCAATGATCATTCTAAATACTGTATGCTCAGATGGTTTTCTAAATAGCAAAGTGGGAGACAAAATGTATGCTGCTGAGACGTATAATATAATTTTTTGTTTTGTTTTGTAATACAATCTCGACAGTCTGTTTTTCTTACCTTGAAATACATTGTGATTAACCAAAAATCTATGTTTGAGAAAATTAACTCACATGCATAATAACCTCTTACACACACACACACTGTATTTTGTAGGCAACACAGGAAGATTTAATATCAATATTCATTAAATTATTCACCATTTGCACTACATACACCACTGATAATCTATGTAGTATCAACATCCCTGAAATGAAAATAATGCATGTAATTCAATCTACAACGTATCATAGATGTGATTGATAAAGGAAAAGGTCCAGTGGCTCGTGTTTGCCACACCCACTTGGTTTGCATGGATCTTTCTGTTGCCTTTGGGGACAGGAAGTAGAACAGCGATGGCGAAGTCTGCAATGAATGCAGGGAGGTAGGACAGGGGGACCCAGATGAGCTTGGTATCCCAAAAGGGTGAGTAGCTGGTGGCGGGCTGTAAGGTCATGCAACTGGTCACTTTGGAGATGTCTCAACTGGAGCAAAATCCTGAGAAATCCTGAGCTTTTACATCTGTAATATAGACTACAGGAAATGGATGAGAGACAGACATGAATGTTTCAGCATTGTAATGACATGACTAAACAATTTTAAAAACATACAGTATACAGTATTTACTCATATTCGTCAAAGAAGTTGGGTTCATATGAGTGCTTGACCTCCTCAGGAAGACGGTTCCACAGTCTCTGCAGGTCTGCTTCAATGAGGTCCAGCCTGGTTACACCCGTCTTGAAGAAACCAGGCTCAATGATACTCACTTTTACACCAAAATTCTGCAAATCCTGCTTGAACATAAAAGCAGGCAGCTTAGTTGTTATGTAGCTAATACATGCTTAAATCTATGAATAACTCTGTGGTGAGAATCTACACTGAGTATACAAAACATTAAAAACACCTGCTCTTTCCTTGACATAGACTTACCAGGTGAATCCAGGTGAAAGCTATGATCCCTTATTGATGTCACTTGTTAAATCCACTTCAATCAGTGTAGATGAAGGGGAGGAGACAGGGTAAAGAAGGATTTTTAAGCCTTGAGATAACTCAATACTAGGAAGAGTCATGTCTTAAGTGTAAAACTAACAATGACGCAATAATCCAAGTCTTCTGGGAATGCTATGAAGTCCAAACGTTATGGGCGGAGTTAGAAAATTGGCTGTCAGAAGTAAATTAACTTTTAATCCGGCCATCTGCATATTTCAAGACATGGCATATGCGGATGCAGTGAGATACCCGATGGGGTTGGACGAAACTTCTCATTAATCATCTTGAAAAAAACTTAAATTATATTTAGAAAGTAACTTACACAACCCTGTACATTGCAACTGTTAAGTAAAATAAATGTAGAAACAAAGTATTTTCCACTCAGAGGAGGTTTCTACTATACTGAACTAAAATATAAATGCAACATGTAAAGTGTTGGTCCCATGTCTCATGAGCTGAAATAAAAGATCCCAGAAATGTTCCATATGCACAAAAAGCTTATTTCTCTCCAATTTTGTGCACAAATTTGTTTACATCCCTGTTAGTGAGCATTTCTCCTTTGCCCAGATAATCCATCCACCTGACAGGTGTGGCATATCAAGTGGCTGATTAAACAGCATGATTTTTTTCAATAACACATTATCCTGTTTTTTTTCTTCTTCAAAACACCAGAGAAAGCTGAGTCTAATCGCTCCTTCATTTGAATAGTTTACGCGTTTGCCAGTATAATAAAAACACCACAACAGTAACGACAAAGTGGAATAGGCTCTGAAGAACCATCTTCAAAAACAGTATGAGTCTTCAAAATAAGACAATAGCTCAGTGTTTAGAGTATAGGCCTACAATATCATTCCTACGTTTATTTTCATAATGCAATTGCTTGTCTGTGTGTCCTCCAACTCCATAATCCTCGTCTATCTTACTTATAGAACTGGTACACATTATATTATTATTTTGTCATAATCACATGCAGCAATGCACCTGATCATAAGCACACTTGGCTGCAAGGTGCTCACAACTTTTCATATGACATACATGTCCAGCAGGGTGAAAGGTCATCTTCATTTGAGAAGCTCAGCAGGCTATTAGGTATTTCTGGTCGGAGAGAATTTAGCTTAATAGAAAAAAAGATCTAAATTCTACAACTCTTTCTGCAATAATGATTTCTGATTCCTTAGTTGGAATTAATGGTAGCATGTCACAGGTATATCCAATGAGAGTAAACATAATTTGATCAGGAATGTGTTGAATTGTAAGCATTTGTTTTTTGATAGGAAGAATTTGCTGCAAGTCATACTAGGGTACAAGCTAATAGTTAGTCTACAGAGACAGAATATCACTTACTATATGTATCAAGTGAACATAATGCAACCACCGCTTCATTTGAACTACTGAAAATCTCTCCATTCGGTTTTATTATCAGACCAGGGAAACAGACAGTACAAATCCAAATGTGATTAGACAAAATGCAACTCTGTTTAAGTTTGAAAACAAATTAGTGTTTATTTTTCCATTCATTGGTTGAATCACATGCTATAAATTTTTTCCAATGATAAAAAACGCACCGCATTACATTTTTCTTGCTCTCCTGTGGGTGTAAATAAAGACTTCCTCCTACTTTTGGTCAGACAACCATTAACATTAAAGAATAGATCCTGTTGGGTTGGCCATATCTTTTAAGAGCATTTTGTCTGCGATCCAAGTTGGCAGGTAGGACATAGGCAACCATAAGAACTTGGCATCCCAGCCAGGTGAGTAGCGGGTACGAGGGTGGACAGCAGAGATGGCATGCTCCATGCAGCTCACAACCTTCATCAGGTCCCCATCCAGCAACGTCGCAACATTCTTCTCCAATGTAACATTTGCTGGAAGAAAGGTATTGCCTCCATCAACAAGCTGATTTTGACATCTTGGAACACAATGAAGAAATTGTATGTCTGACTGTTTGAGGTCTAGGTCAAAGGCAGGCAGGCTGAACTTGCCTGACTGCTCAGTTCACTTGCTCTGGGCAATCCTTGTCAATGCGTTCTTGGAGAGCTTGTCATTCTGTCACATAGGTTACGAGAATCCTATTTGCATCTATCATATTACAGCAGCATGCATAGGTTCATGTGTATGTTTGTTTTGTTTAAAAAATAAATAACTTACCTCTCTCTGGGTAATCATGTCCATATTGATCTTTGATTTCTTCAGGCAGTTTGTCCCACAATGTCTTTACATTTTTTCTCAGGAGATGTAGATCAGTCACACTTGTTTTGAAAAATCCTGGTTCCAGACACAGGACTTTAACTCCAAAAGCTGACATGTTCATCCTGGAATTCAAAAACAAGAATATGCCACAACAAACATTAATACATCTGCAATACAGTATTCATATGAAGTCGGAGCCATAGAGAACAATGCTCTGAGCATCACGATTCAGTTTCAAATTCAAATAACCGTGATACAGTATATGCTTAGACAAAAAGCAAGGACACTCACCGCAGACTGTCATTGAAAGCCTCCACTCCATATTTTGACACACAGTAGGGACCCCCGAAGGCACTTATCCTCCCAAACACGCTGGCCACATTCACCACCCTACCCCTGGCCATCTTGATGAGGGGCAGGACGCTCAGAGTTACACCAATGACTCCAATGAGGTTCACATCCAGCATGGACTTGTAGTCGTCGATGGTCATCCAGTCACAGGGACCAGATGGTACAGAGACTCCAGCATTGTTCACCACAGCCCACAGACCTGAAATGGCATGAAAGTAGAGCCTTGTTATGTACCAACATCACACACACAGCAGGACACAGGCAGCAGTCACAATGGATGGAGGAAAACATTCCATGCCTACAGGTGTCAACAAGTGCTTACATGCCAGTTGTCACATGTGGGAGTGAGGGCTCTTTCAGTGAGAAGGTGTGTTCAGAGATGTTGGGTTAACTTGTTTGTGGTTGGAAATTCCATAGCAACAGTTGACTCTGACTCATGGTAATAGAACAAATGAGTAGAGCAGTAGTCAGTCTAGATACTTGGATATTTTGAATAACAAACGTTTCCCCCAATTTAAGTCAGAAAAGCCTTGGAGGCAATTTTTAAGAGAGTTGCAACATTTGGCTAAACTGGTCTTCAAAGACACTCACCCTTCTCCCCAACCAAGGTTTTGATAAATGCTGTTGCTTTGTTGACACTGTCAGTGCTGACGACATCCAGGTGGACTGTGTTCAGTCGTTCAGAAGAGACCTTCTTCAGCTCATCCTCCCCCTTCTCAGTGTAGCAGGCTGCGATCACACAGAAGCCCAGCTTGTCCAGATGTCTGGCTAGAAGGTTCCCGAACCCAGAGTCACAGCCAGTGATGTAGACATATTTCTGTCCTTTATTGGGTACTCTTGCGAGTTCCCTGTACCAGCGGAACACAAACCAAAAAGCCACCAGTCCAAGAATGTACAGGAACATTTCTGAGACAGAAGAATGAGGTTCATTCAGATAAACACCTATTTTTCATCATATTACAAATCTTTAATTTTCAATTGTTCTTTTTGCAAAGATAGGCAAATGAAGGTTCATCGGGGGCATATACTTTTGTCTTCGGACTATCTTACTGAGGCGCAAAATCTAGAAGGAAAATCAATGCAATCAGAGCCATTGCAAAATCAGCTGAATCTTGACACATTCTTGAGTAGTTTACAGATAGAAAACAGTACATTTCCATCCATTTCAATTATATTTTAGAAGCAATTTCATATCAAATCTGCTGTTTGCATTAAGTTAAAATATTTAAGGTTTTCATAGGCCTATTTACATTTATCTGGTGTGCGACTGCAAGTTTAGCTTAGTGACTAGTAGGGATGGGTATGAGTAACCAAGTACTCCAACGGACGTCAAAGCTCGATCTTTAACCAGATATAAAAAATACTGAAACTATTTGGTGGAATGTGCTTTGTGGCTTCCCGAACAGGTAAGTTAAATTTTGTCTTGAAGACAACGTTAACACTCTAGTGTTCCATTTGTACATGTGCATTTGCGGGGCACAACAAAAAGCAAAAAATAAATCAAGCCAAGCATCACACAGTTCTTCTCCCTAAATTCCCTTCCCCTCTGTGTCTCATTCACTCAATTGCGTTCTGACCGCTGCCTACACACAAATGTGCCGAGTGCGCACACAAGCTCCCTATAGGTCTATAGAAATAAATGCCTATAAAATGTATCGAACTGATGGGATACACAAGCTACATTCCTTGCCAAATGACAACAGTTTTATCACAAATTCAAAATCGACTGGTTGATTGAAGTAGGAAAATATATGTGTTCCAACAACGAGCTGCAGTTTTGGAATATTTGCGTCCCGTCTACTTCTGCTTAGGCTATTTTGCGAACTGCTAGTGCCATTAAGAATTGGTTAGCCTAGACCAGGGATGGGCAACTGGCGGCCCTCTGACCCCTTTTTGTAGGCCCGTGGATCAATATCCCTAAAAAAAAGGAACTAATTTGGGGTCTCAACTTACCGTTGAGTTACAATAGTAGAATCTCCAAGGTGCAATTTCGAAATGTTGTGCATCAGACGTTTTTCTGTTGTTATGTCAGTCACTGACAGTCACTCAATTAGCCCATGTCAGCAAACATTTTTTTGGGTAAGTTAGTCTAGCGGCCAGCTATCTAAACTTGTAGTAATCAAGGTCGAATTACTGACCAGGGGGCCCCCATTGATTTTGTTGGTCACTCTGACTCAGATATCATATTAAAAACTGCAAATGTTTCTCTCCACTCTATGGCAAAATGTGTAGAATTACAGGAAATTAGCTGTTAAACAAAATGTTGCTTAGGGCTCCCAAAACGCTATGGACGACTGTCTGCTTGTGTGGGTATGGATGTGGGTACACAGACCTGTGAGCCACTGCAGCAACTATTGATGATTTCAGATTTTTTGTGGCCCCTACCCCATCAAAGTTGCCCATCTCTGGCCTAGGATATAGCCCCCTAAACATAGCCAGTTTCCACACTGAAAATACGCAAAAACATTAGTTTGATAAAGACAAAGAGCGTCTTTTCATCAGAATCATTAATCAAAGGCCTACTCCAAACAGATGTCATGGCCGTAATTCATCACCATGCAGTGTTCAAAATGGATTAGAAATTCCTCATTGAAAACATACATGTCCAAAGAACAGGCAGAATAAACTAAATAGAACGTCTGTTTAAGACAGATTTTGGTTTGTAACCCTGAAAAAAGTGTCTTTCAACTCGCCAAATTGAGTCCCATTTCAAATGATCACTCAGAATAACTGTTCCAGATGCAAGATGCATATCACTTTGCACTGGCAGCTTTTTTCATTTGGAAAAATAATCTGTTCCATTTTATTCTGTTATATTACATCATGTTTTTTTACTATAAAAATAGGTGTCTTGAGTGTGATAAGGGCTCGGAAAATAAGAGTGTCTTGTCTGCTAAATTAACAAAGCAAGGCTATGCCATTGTACAGCCATAAGCTTCTACAAGCAAACTCCAGGTTACTGCCTTTTTGAAGATTGTGTTCCACGATATAATAACCAGTTGATATTATAGTTTCATTCAAATTAATCTTAAATGGCACATGCATTCAGATGTCAAATTAGAATTATGTTCTTTGAAATGTTTACAAATTAATAAAAAATGAAAAGCTGAAATGTCTTGAGTCAATAAGTACTCAACCCTTTTGTTATGGCAAGCCTAAATAAGTGAGAGTAAAAATGTGATTAACAAGTCGCATAATAAGTTGCATGGACTCACTCTGTGTGCAATAATAGTGTTTAACATGATTTTTGAATGACTACCTCCTCTCTGTACCCCACACATACCTTACAGATAATTGTCTCTCAGTCAAGCAGTGAATTTCAAACACAGTTTCAACCAAAAAGACCAAGGAGGTATTCCAATGGCTCACAAAGAAGGGCACCTTTTGGTAGATGGGTAAAAAAAAAAAAAAAGCAGACATTGAATATCCCTTTGAGCTTGATGAAGTTATTCATTACACTCTGGGTGGTGTATCAATAGACCCAGTCACTACAAATATACAGGTGTCCTTCCTAACTCAGTACCAACTCCTAACTCAGTACCACTCTCCATATTTTCAAGCATAGTGGTGGCTGCATCATGTCATGGGTATGCTTGTAATCGTTAAGGACTGGGGTGTTTTTCAGGATAAAAAAGAAACTGAATAGAGCTAAGAACAGGCAAAATCCTAGAGGGAAACCTTGTTCAGTCTGCTTTCCACCAGACACTGGGAGTTGAATTTACCTTTCAGCAGGACAATAACCTAAAACACAAGGTCAAATCTACATTGGAGTTGCTTACCAAGTAGAATGTGAATGTTCCTGAGGGCTGAGTTACAGTTGACTTAAATCTACTTGAAAATCTATTGCAAGACCTGAAAATAGTTGTCTAGCAATGATCAACAACCAATTTGACAGAGCTTGATGAATTTTGAAAATAATAAAATGGGCAAGTGTTGCACAATCCAGGTGTGGAAAGCTCTTAAAGACTTACCCAGAAAGACTCACAGCTGTAATCGCTGTCAAAGGTTACATCTACAAAGTATTGACTAAGGGGTGTGAATACTTATGTAAATTAGATATTTCTGTATTTCATTTTCAATAAATTAGCACAAATTTCTAAAAACATATTTTCATTTCGTCATTATGGGGTATTGTGTGTAGATGGGTGAGAAAGAACATATATTTAATCAATTTTCAATTCAGGCTGTAACACAACTAAATATGGAATAAGTCAAGGGGTATGAATACTTTCTGAAGGCACTGTATATGGGGCAATTTATCAATTAGGATTTGTTATCTGTAAAGGTTATGATAAGTCAGGCATTGTTGTGCACTGTTGGCACAGGCCTATAGATAAATGAGCACATAAAAAAAATGTTGAATGCCCATTCCTAGTGACTAGCCTACAGCTACAGCAGTGTTCTTTAATCCTGGTCCTGGGGACCCAAATGGGTGCACATTTTTGTTTTTTCCTTAGCATAGCATTACACACCTGATTCAAATCATCAAAGCTTGATGATTGGTTGATCATTTGAATCAGCTGTGTAGTGCTAGAGAAAAGCAAAAATGTGCACCCTTTTGGGTTTTTTCCCAGGACCAGGATTAATAAACACTTGCCTACAGTAATGACATAATATTTCTATGTGAATTATATAGTAGGCCTAAAGTATATATCTGATCAAATCTAAACAGTTTAAAAGTCAGGTGACATAGCCATTTGAACATGAACTGAGGCATGGAATCTTTTTTCATGGGTAAGTCAATTTCGCAACAAAAGATGATGTATTATGATCAAGTAGGCTACCTCCAAAATGATTAGCCTTCCTTATTCCCTGGATCATCATCAAGACCATGAACTGTTTGTATAACATCTCCTGTTTATCATTTTAACCAGGAATGATATTTTTGACCACTATGGGTGATCTGATTATGTCTAGTAGGATAAACTATGTATTGAGAAAAAATTAGTCGGATAAATGCCTCAAATGCTTGGACAACATTTACATTAGCCCTCAGGAACGTCCACTGATACACTGGTGCCGACGAGGATGGCGGCCTCGCGACTAGCTCTTAGGAAACTTTGCTTGGCACCTAAAACCCTCACAAACTTTTACAGATGCACAATTGAGAGCATCCTGTCGGGCTGTATCACTGCCTGGTACGGCAACTGCACCACCCGCAACCGCAGGGCTCTCCAGAGGGTGGTGCGGTCTGCTGAACGCATTACCGGGGGCAAACTACCCGCCCTCCAAGACACCTACAGCACCCGATGTCACAGGAAGGCCAAAAAGATCATCAAGGACATCAACCACCCGATCCACTGCCTGTTCACCCCGCTATCATCCAGAAGGCGAGGTCAGTACAGGTGTATCAAAGTTGGGACCGAGAGAATGAAAAACAGCTTCTATCTCAAGGTCATCAGACTGTTAAATAGCCATCACCAACACATTAGAGGCTGCTGCTGCCTATTGAAATCACTGGCCACTTTAAGAAATGGAACACTAGTCACTTTAATAATGTTTACATACCTTGCACTACTCATCTCATATGTATATACTGTATTCTATTCTATAATATTCTACTGTATCTTAGTCCATGCCGCTTGTCCATATATGTATATATTCTTAAATTCTGTTTCTTACTAGATTTGTGTGTATTGGGTATATGTTGTGAAATTGTTAGATATTACTTGTTAGATATTACTGCATTTCGCTACACCCGCAATAACATCTGCTAAACACGTGTATGTGACAGATAAAATGTGATTTGATTTAGTCTTCAGCAGCACCCAAAAAGGCCCTGCATGGTCAATCTGTAGTATGCATTGGCCGTGCAGCATTTACAGTGCAGCATATGGCCTCTGCAGAAGTCAGGGCATTCATACATCGTGTGCGTCGCGGAGCAGTGCAGAGCTGTTGTCAAGGAAGTGAGTTTGTGTCTATACAAGACAACCAATCATGTCTATGCGGAGCCCTCTGCAGTGTTACAAAATTTGAGAGGCGCTCTATGATGCGGTACAGAGCTCAATTTGGCCTCTGCATGCCTCTGGAGGCGGCGCAACTGCGTCACACCCTCCATACTGAGCTCCCGACCACATTTTCGGATTAAGCATAATTTTAGACATTATTTTTATATATATATATATACACCGCTCTGGAAATTTTTTCTTAAATCAGCATCTCTACATGTATGACAGCCATTCCATTCCAGTGTCTGTTGAATTCCAACACAGGCACAACTCATTCTACTGAATTAGGTACTGATTAGGTGATCACATGAACCACATTTTATTTAACGAGGAAAAGTATAAAAACCACTGCTGTGGTCATCACTATCCACTTGCAATAGGACCAGCTGGATGGCAAAAACAGTGCTAATAGTACCTCAAAAGTAATATTAATAAAAAAATAACTATTGACCATGCCAAAAGAGTTGAAAAGGAAAGTTTTGAGTGAGGAAAAGAAGGGTTAAATTCTGGCTTTACTGGCAGAGGGATACAGTGAGCGTCAGGTTGCTTCCATCCTTAAAATTTCAAACAAGGTCAAGCAGCAGACATTGGGGACAACAAAGCTACAGACCGGCAGAGGGCGAAAACGACTCTCTACTGACCGGGATGACCGCCAACTCATTTGAATGTCACTCAACAACCGTAGGATGACATCAAGTGACCTACAAAAAGAATGGCAAACGGCAGCTGGGGTGAAGTGCACGGCGAGGACGGTTCGAAACAGGCTCCTAGGGGCAGGGCTGAAGTCATGCAAAGCTAGAAAAAAGCCCTTCATCAATGAGAAGCAAAGAAGAGCCAGGCTGAGGTTTGCAAAAGACCATTAGGATTGGACCGTAGAGGACTGGAGTAAGGTCATATTCTCTGATGAGTCCAATTTTCAGCTTTGCCCAACACCTGGTCGTCTAATGGTTAGACGGAGACCTGGAGAGGCCTACAAGCCACAGTGTCTCGCACCCACTGTGAATTTTGGTGGAGGATCGGTGATGATCTGGGGGTGCTTCAGCAATGCTGGAATCGGGCAGATTTGTCTTTGTGAAGGACGCATGAATCAAGCCACGTACAAGGTTGTCCTGGAAGAAAGCTTGCTTCCTTTTGCTCTGACATTGTTCCCCAACTCTGAGGATTGGTTTTTCCAGCAGGACAATGCGCCATGCCACACAGCCGGGTCAATCAAGGTGTGGATGGAGGACCACCAGATCAAGATCCTGTAATGGCCAGCCCAATCTCCAGACCTGTACCCCATTGAAAACTTCTGGAATGTGATCAAGAGGAAGATGGATGGTCACAAGCCATCAAACAAAGCCGAGCTGCTTGAATTTTTGCACCAAGAGTGGCATAAAGTCACCCAACATCAATGTGAAAGACTGGTGGAGAGCATGCAAAGACGCATGAAAGCTGTGATTGAAAATCAGGGTTATTCCACCAAATATTGATTTCTGAACTCTTCCTTAGTTAAAACATTAGTATTGTGTTGTTTAAAAATGAACATGAACTTATTTTCTTTGCATTATTCGAGGTCTGACAACACTGCATCTTTTTTTTTATTTTGACCAGTTGTCATTTTCTGCAAATAAATGCTCTAAATGACAATATTTTTATTTGGAATTTGGGAGAAATGTTGTCAGTAGTTTATAGAATAAAACAAAAATGTTAATTTCACCCAAACACATACCTATAAATAGTAAAACCAGAGAAAGTTATGTTTTTGCAGTGGTCTCTTAATTTTTTCCAGAGCTATATAAATTGGTATTCCAATGTCCCACTTTGGGCATCACGTGATGACGATGCACCCTTCAACACCTACGCCAAGCCAAGCCACTAGACAATCAATACCAAGACGGAACAAAAAATATATTTAAAATCGACATACACTGAACATGATAATTAATCAGATTCAGTCGCCATGCGATACAATTGCCTCGTTATAAGTAATCAAATATTTCAATAACCATGTCAGTAGGCAGTTAGATTACTTGACTGACTATTCAGTCACTGTTGAAGTGAGTGAACTACGACTTTTGCAACTTTGTCAACTCAACTAACGGCTGTCCTTTTTGTTTATAGCTTTTTAACTTTCATGTTCATCAAACATTGAACTGCCGATTAATATGCCTTCCTCAGAAGTCAAGATATGGCAAAGAAACGTTACTGAAACACTTACCCCTGGCGACAAACGTGCGCTCTTTGAGTTGCTGGTAACAACAGTGACTATTCCTTATGTGTTATTCATCTTCCGGTTTGTGTGTGTGTGAACTATTGCTCTTTCAGAAAGTTTGGTAAACTCTTTTTTGATATACGGTCGACGTCTTCCATCTACTGGACATTTTAAAAGTTCAAGTTTATTCATATCCACATGGTGTGGATAGGCCTACACAGTACAATGAAACGCTTACTTGGGCAGGTTCACCTCTCAACAATGCAACAAAAAAGAAAATAAAAACATTCTCAATGGAATAAGAATTTATAAAATTGGGCAGAAATATAAATACAAGGTAGGCACTGCAACTACACTTCTATGAAAGCTGGAAACCAGTTGTTAATTTCAAGTGTTTTACATATATATTGTAAAAAAAATTATTCAGACATATGGGGAGACAGGCAGGTAGGAAAACAATAGTAAAGGTGGAGACAGATTGAACCCCAGTTGGGGAGAGTAGAATATATGTGACTGATGCCTGGAGAGTTACTGCTAGACCACAAACTCTGCACGTTAATTTCAAATGTTTGATTTACAAGCTATTTATTATTACGGATGACTGAAATATGTATTTAAAAACATTATAATGAAGGGTAGATTACATGACAAGAGTTGAAATGATCGCCTATTGCACCATGGCTACCATGGCGTTTACTGAGACTTGGCTGGATGACAGGGAAGTGGAGCCGGCCGGATTCAAACTGGTCAGAGCAGACCGTGATCTGACCGTCACAGGGAAACTTCACGAGGGGGGCGTCTTTCTGCTTGTCAGGGACCAGTGGTGTAAATCGATCCTGGTAAGAGAGAGACTCTGTACCCATGACATTGAACTGCTTTCTGTGTCACTGTGACTCTACTATCTGCCCTGTGAGTTACCCCAATTGTTTGCTGCTGTTGTGTACATTCAACCAAAAGCTAATATAGCAAAAGCATCAGAGATTATTTATAATCTGTAACAGAAACTGGAATCTATCTCCCCCGACGCACCCACATTTATTTTAGGGGATTTTAACAACTGTATTTTGCACAAGGTCCTGCGCAGCTACCACCAGTATGTGAAATGTCACACTAGGAAAAATAAGACTCTTGATTTGTGCTGTGGGACAATACCAAATGCTTTCTCTGCCACCACCAGACCTCCCCTGGGGACATCAGACCACAATGTTGTCTACCTCAGGCCAACCTACTGTCGGCTCCTGGAGAGGGAGAAACCTACAGTTAAAACTGTCCAGATCTGGAACAACAATAGTATCACTCCTCTCCAAGGGTGTTTTGACTAAACTATGTGGGAGGAATTTGAGGACAGCAGCTCTGATCTTGATGAACTCACAGATGTTGTTTCAGACTATGTAAACTTCTGTGTTGAGTCAGTTGTGCCTACTAAAACCTGTAAAATGTTCCCTAACAATAAGCCTTGGGTATCAAAAAATCTAAAATCACTACTTAATAGGAAGAAGGCAGTTTATGCTGAGGGTAATATACAGGCTTTAAGAGATGTACAATGTGAGATCAAAAGACAGATACTGGTGGACAAGGAGGCATACAAGCAAAGTGTGGAGAGGACCCTCTCCTCAGGAAACTCAAGGGTGGCCTGGCAAGGGATTAAATCCATGGCTAGTGCCCCCCACATAGGCAGGGGAAAAACCTATGGTGACCTTGGGAGACATGAGGGCCAGAACATGGCTAATGAACTGAATGTTTTTTCTCAAGATTTGAATCTGACGACTTTCTGTCGGAGGTAAAACAAATGGAAGCATCATTACAAATGTTTGAGAGGGTTGTTGTTAAACAGGCTGATGTTTTGAAGTTGTTCAGGGGATGTAACGCACACAACAGCCCAGGCCCAGGCAAAATAAGTGGACATGTGTTAAAGCACTGTGCTGAACAATTGGCTGGTGTTTTTACAGACATTTTCCAATCCTCGTTCGACCAGCAACACGTGCCAGTATTGTGGAAAAAGTCAATAATTATACCCATTCCTAAAGCATCTAATCCCTCTGTGCTGAATGACTACTGCCCTGTCGCCTTGACATCCTTAGTAATTAAATGCTTTGAGAAAATTGTGAATCGACCCGTTTCAGTTTGCCTATCAGCCCAGCAGAGGAGTTGATGCCATTCTTACTCACCTCAACATGGTCTATAGACATCTAGAGGGCGCCAAATCCTATGTCAGGCTTCTGTTTGTTTACTTTTTATTTGTATTTATTTATTTTATTTTATTTCACCTTTATTTAACCAGGTAAACCAGTTGAGAACAAGTTCTCATTTACAACTGCGACCTGGCCAAGATAAAGCAAAGCAGTGCGATAAAAACAACAACACAGAGTTACATATGGGGTAAAACAAAACAAAGTCAAAAATACAACAGAAATACATATATATACAGTGTGTGCAAATGTAGCAAGTTATGGAGGTAAGGCAATAAATAGGCTATAGTGCAAAATAATTACAATTAGTATTAACACTGGAATGATAGATGTGCAAGAGATGATGCGCAAATAGAGATACTGGGGTACAAATGAGCAAAATAAATAACAATATAGGGATGAGGTAGTTGGGCGGGCTAATTTCAGATGGGCTGTGTACAGGTGCAGTGATCGGTAAGGTGCTCTGACAGCTGATGCTTAAAGTTAGTGAGGGAGATAAGTGTCTCCAGCTTCAGAGATTTTTGCATTTCGTTCCAGTCATTGGCAGCAGAGAACTGGAAGGAATTTACTTTACTTCTGCCTTCAACACAATCCAGCCTTACATTCTGGCACAGAGGCTCATTAGGGACATCTCCTTAGATAGGGGGCTGGTTTTGTGGCTGTTGGACTTCCTGAGCCAGAGGTCACAGCGCGTCAAAGTAGGTCCCCACGTGTTGGACATATGCACCAACAACACAGGCTCTCCTCAGGGATGGGAGAAAAGTATTTGATCCCCTGCTGATTTTGTAAGTTTGCCCACTGACAAAGAAATGATCAGTCTATAATTTTAATATAATATGATGGTAGGTTTATTTGAACAGTGAGAGACAGAATAACAACAACAAAATCCAAAAAAACGCATGTCAAAAATGTTATAAATTGATTTGCATTTTAATGAGGGAAATAAGTATTTGACCCCCTCTCAAAACGTCAGCCTCCAAACCTTAATTACTTGGAGAAGATCTGCAAAGAGGAGTGGGACAAAATCCCTCCTGGGGGGTGAGGGGTGGGGGGTGGGCTTGTGTGCACTAGTCCATGGAGCAGCCTCCCCTCTCATGCTCCTGGTGTATGGCATAATGACAAACACCTTTGTGACATACAAGCTAGAGGTCCAAGAACTAGCAGACCCTAACAAAACCTGCATTAACAACAACATCACCTGGATCAATGGCTCCATATATGAAATAGCAGAGAACACAATGGTCTTCTGTGGGTGAGTTGACACTTTTCTATTTTAGATTCTATTTTACTCCTGCATCGAGGTTGGAAAGTTATATTCTATTTTAATCTATTCATATTACTGACCATGCTGATGCTGAAGGTCCTGATTATAATAGAATGGGTTATGGATCACAACATTTTAATAAAAATATATACAATAAACATATGCATCTATTATTTTTACAGGGTGGATATTGAAGCACAGATAACCATGTTTGCATATTACTATGTTTGTATTGGATTAGGAGATTTGATTGTTAGTTATTTCCAAGTAAGTAGGTTCAACTTCATACTCAAAGTGCTTTCGCTCCATCTAGTTTTGCCACATTAATAGATTCATCCATCTACAACTGTTATTTTTAAACATGTATTCAATCCTGCTCTGTGTAGATTGCCATCTGGGTGTCTGCTTCTGCCAGACAGATCCAGAGAATCAGGAAAAATTACTTTAGGAAGATAATGAGAATGGAGATTGGCTAGTTTGACTGCAATTCAGTTGGATAATTAAACACCAGGATATCAGAGTAAAACCCATGGGTTATTTTCTACAGAGATGTGTGGACCATTGAGGGCATTCCTGAAAGATGTTTCTATAAAAACCTCTTACATTTTGGGTTTGACCCATTTTAACCGGTTCACTGTGTTGAACATGTTCTCTCACCTCAGTGACATTAACAAGATCAACAATGCTATAGCTGACCAGGTGTCTATCTTCATCGAGAGGATCTCCACTTTCATCTTCAGCTTCATGGTGGGGTTCATCGGAGGATGGAAGTTGACCCTGGTGGTCATCGCAGTAAGCCCACTTATAGGACTTGCTGCTGGACTAATGGCCATGGTGAGATGGGTTGAATACAATGTATTAAATTCCTCTATTTGGTGATGGTCATTCTGTTTTTGGATGTAATAGCCTCTGAGTCTGTATGTGAGGTAGTCTCACACCACCTCTGTATTCTCTGTGACGTTGTGATGTGTGAAATGTACTATAGATGAACCAGACAAACCAGTCTGCTTTGTCATTGACTCCTCAGGCTGTTGCCAGACGGACAGGTCAGGAGCTCCAGGCCTATACCAAGGCAGGGCCAGTAGCTGATGAGGTACTGTCATCCATCAGAACAGTGGCAGCCTTTAGAGGAGAGGACAAGGAGGCTGAAACGTAACTTGAAATACTGTACAGGATCTTAATTCGATCACCATGTTGTTGCAGGAAATGCAAACTTGTAGTGTATTCAATGTTTAAAAAGGCTCATAAAATGTCAGACTTGATTTGCCCTAACAAAAAATGTATCAACCCCTACAAAAATTAATTATAATCCACACAATAATCCTGCTGTGAGAAACTCGTCAAATTAACCTTCCCTTCCCTTGGCACTTGAAATTAGTTATAAATATGCATTTCACATTTGAACAGCTATGACAAAAACCTTATTCAGGCTCAGAAATGGGGTTTGAAAAAGGGACGATCATTGGAGTGTTTCAAGGATACCTGTGCTGTGTCATCTTCCTCTGCTATGCTTTGGCATTCTGGTACTGCTCTTAACTGGTCATCGAAACCAAAGATCTCTCCCCTGGTGCTGTTCTAAGACCAGGCTGAGTACTCTTATCCAGGTATGGTAACTCATATTATCGTATAATAAATATGTATCCAATACATTATTCTACAATTGGTGAAAATGTAAGGATATGTTGGCTTGTATTTTTGTCTCCAGGTGTTCTATGTGGTTCTCATGGCAGCTATGAACCTGGGTCAGGCCTTTCCCTGCCTGGAAGCCTTCGCCTCAGGTCCAGCTGCAGCCAAGATACCATTGACCAGGTAAGGCCAGAATTCTAGAAAATACATGAACCAAGAACAACTACATTTCAGTTATGAAGTATTTTATAAATCTGTTAACTTTCAGGAGCCAGAAATCTATTGTTTCTCAGAGGAGGGCCACAAACTAGACAAGGTGAAGGGTGATATTGAATTCGACGACGTCAAATTTAACTTCCCCTCTCGACCAGAAGTTAAGGTAACCATTTTTGCTCAGCTCTTTATTTATTTTACTGAAATTCCTTCTCAAAAGATACTGTATCTCAATGTAAAACCACCTGTTTATTCAGATTTTAGACCATTTGAGCATGCTGATTAGAGCAGGAGAAACCACAGCTTTTGTTGGGCAAAGCAGATCAGGGAAGATAATGTTTCTCATTCATAGGTGACTTTGGATGACCATGACATCTGCAGTCTGAACATCCAGTGGCTTTTCTCTCTGATTGGCATAACTATCGCTGAGAACATCCGCTACGGGCGACCTGGGGTCCCCATGGATGACATCATCCAGGCCACCAATGAGTCTAACGTCTATAACTTCATCATGGACCTCCCACAGGTACCACAGACACACATTTAGCAAAGAAATACTGTGTATTACTCTGATACTGTCTCATACAAGAAACACATTGAAATGAGGAAATATGGTCATACAAAGGTTTGATACGCTGGTGGGTGAGGGTGGTGGTCAGATGAGTGGAGGATAGAAGCAGAGGATAGATATCGCCCGTGCTCTGATCCACAACCCCAGGATTTTGCTGCTGGAAATGGCTACCTTGGCTTTGGACAACGAGAGTGAGGCTGTTGTATAGGAGGCACTTGATAAGGTGAGTGACTCCCAGCACAAAATCTATCAATCATTATATCACCACAAAGTCAAAGCCTGCGATCTCACACCCAACTGTGTGGCAGTATCAAAATTAAATCAGACACATTCCTTGCCACAGTGGAAAATTTGATCGAACCTCAAAGGTCAAAGGTATTGAGGTCATTCTATAAGCAGCCTTGTATTATCAGTTTTGTGTTATTGTACTTTATTCAATATCTGAGAGAAATGAGTGTCCCTCCTATATTCCCACAGCATTCTAAGGAGGAAGCAAAGGAACCAGCACCAGTGGCTCGAATCCTGAACTACAACACATCAGAGTGGCCCTACATGCTATTGGGATCTATAGGAGCTGCCATCAACGGCTCCATTAATCCAATCTATGCTATTTTATTCAGCCAGATCCTTGGGGTAAGAGGCTATGCATTACGTACATTCAAGCCTATGTTTATAATGTAGTTTCATATTACCTGGGCTGGTAGTGATACTTGTAGATGTTGCTGTTCCATGAAATTAATTTAATTCCATCCATATTGTTATTTGGATTCGCAGACATTCTCTATACGTGACTTGGATGGACAGAGAGCGCAAATCAATAGAATATGTATCCTGTTCTGCGCTGTGGCGGTGACAAGTTTCCTCTCTCAGTTATCACAGGTAGCTATGTTTTACCACACATCAGGATAATTATACTGTTACAGTCCATAGTAAGGTGCTAACATTCTGACGACAGGCCCTAGTGATGTGTGTGAACACTGTTGTTCTGTTGAAGGGTCTTTGGGAAGTCTAGGGAGCTGCTGAAATGCAGGCTAAGGAAAGGTGGGCTTCCAGGCCATGTTGAAACAGGTGGTGGGCTGTTTGGAACAGCCCTAGAGCTCTCACCACCAGGCTGGCCACCAACGCCTCCATGGTCCAGGGGGTGAATGTCAGGGACATACTGTGGACCGGTACATTAGAATCCATTGAAGTTATTTATAACCAATGATGAGATGATTCAAAGGAGTCGTTTTTTTTATATTTCCTTGTGCCTCATACTCTATATATTTCCAAATAGCTTCACAGATCTTCATTGTAAAGGGTTTAAACACTGTTTCCCATGCTTGTTCAATGAACCATGAACAATTAATGAACATGCACCTGTGGAACGGTCGTTAAGACACTAACAGCTTACAGACGGTAGGCAATTAAGGTCACAGTTATGAAAACTTAGGACACAAAAGAGGCCTTTCTACTGACTGAAAAACACCAAAAGAAAGATGCCCAGGTTCCCTGCTCATCTGCGTGAACGTGCCTTAGGCATGCTGCAAGGAGGAATGAGGACTGCAGATGTGGCCAGGGCAATAAATTGCAATGTCCGTACTGTGAGACGCCTAAGACAGCGCAACAGGGAGACAGGATGGACAGCTGATCGTCCTCGCAGACCACGTGTACAACACCTGCACAGGATCGGTACATCCGAACATCACACCTGCGGGACAGGTACAGGATGGCAACAACAACTGTCCGAGTTACACCAGGAACGCACAATCCCTCCATCAGTGCTCAGACTGTCCGCAATAGGCTGAGAGAGGCTGGACTGAGGGCTTGTAGGCCTGTTGTAAGGCAGGTCCTCACCAGACATCACCGGCAACAATGTCGCCTATGGGCACAAACCCACCATCGCTGGACCAGACAGGACTAGCAAAAAGTGCTCTTCACTGACGAGTCGCAGTTTTGTCTCACCAGGGGTGATGGTCGGATTCACGTTTATCGTCGAAGGAATGAGCGTTACACCGAGGCCTGTCCTCTGGAGCGGGATCGATTTGGAGGTGGAGGGTCCGTCATGGTCTGGGGCGATGTGTCACAGCATCATCGGACTGAGCTTGTTGTCATTGCAGGCAATCTCAACGCTGTGCGTTACAGGGAAGACATCCTCCTCCCTCATGTGGTACCCTTCCTGCAGGCTCATCCTGACATGACCCTCCAGCATGACAATGCCACCAGCCATACTGCTCGTTCTGTGCGTGAGTTCCTGCAAGACAGGAATGTCAGTTTTCTGCCATGGACCTGTTGGATCGGAGGGTGAGGGCTAGGGTCATTCCCCCCAGAAATGTCCGGGAACTTGCAGGTGCCTTGGTGGAAGAGTGGGGTAACATCTCACAGCAAGAACTGGCAAATCTGGGGCAGTCCATGAGGAGGAGATGCACTGCAGTACTTAATGCAGCTGGTGGCCACACCTGATACTGACTGTTATTTTTGATTTTGACCCCCCCTTTGTTCAGGGACACATTATTCAATTTCTGTTAGTCACATGTCTGTGGAACTTGTTCAGTTTATGTCTCAGTTTTTGAATCTTGTTATGTTCATACAAATATTTACACATGTTAAGTTTGCTGAAAATAAATGCAGTTGACAGTGAGAGGACATTTCTTTTTTTGCTGAGTTTAGTATTTCCTCTGCAGGCAACTTGATCACAGATTGAGATGATTGTGAACTCCTTGACCAACATCTGAGCGTCTTTAATCATTGCGTTCTACAGTACTTCAGCTGTAAGTTAAGCTTGGTGGTGATGTGCTTTTTACCACTGATTGGCTTGTCTTGGGTCTTTCAAGCCAAAATGCTGACAGGTTTCGCAAACAAGGATAAGAAGGCAGTGGAAGCAGCGTGACAGGTGAGTTAAACACCCCATTATCAATTAGATAATTCAATAAAGGTCCCTAAATGGGTTATTAGAACACTTCTGTAACATTAAGTGAGGCACTAGCCCGAGAGTATTATTCTCTGTAGTGATTTAGAGACTTGATCATCTACCTTCTCTCCCACAGGTGTCCAGCGAAGCTCTTGCAAACTTCAGGACCATCGCAGGGCTGGCCAAGGAGAGCACATATTTGAATACATATAAGTCTGTCAAGAAGAAGCACAACGTCTACGGCATCTATTTTGCCTTTGCTCAGTGTGTTATCTTTATGGTGTACAGTATGCCGCCTCATTTAGATATGGCGGCTATCTGGTCAGCTGTGAAGGATAAACATTACCTGGTGGTCTTCAGGTAAGTTTTTTCTGTTTTGCTGAATGTTGTACATGTAGTATTTACAGTGACATACAGAAAACCTGTGAACAGTACTGCATATAGGTTAACATCACGTTTACTGTACATTTTGAAAAACATACCCATTTGCGGTAAACTGTTCTAAAAGCGTACTGTATTATCAGACTAATGCCAATGTTGTGTGCGGTGGCGATTTTAGCATGTCAATCTTGGTGGGGCAAACAAACCCCAAAAATGTGGGATATATGCCAGCAAAGCCACTACACAACACAACACTAAATAATACATTAATTGCACTATAACGGTGACAAACGGTGCCCACAAACTGTTACGGCCTACATAAAGCTGTCCGAACAGCAGAGTCCCAACAGCAGTCCCATTATCTTACCACTGCTACACCTGGCTATCAGCGGAGCCTTTTTGGCAGCGAAACAGTTCATTCATCCTCATTTACTGCCTTTTAAAAAAACATAACTGATATAGGTGACTTGCTTAAACAAATGTGGTTTCTACTGACAATTGAGATGTACAAACTATGGCATAAGGGGACGAAAAGCGGATAAGAGGCAGTCCGTAATTTTGATTAAGATATTAATGAGCGAGCTAGGACGGACGTAGTCAATGTAACTATTTCTTTAGCACTTTTGAAATGTACAGCGACAGAATTCAGAACATGGGCCGTTCTTACAGTGTTCTCCCTGTACACCAAGTCAGAACCGTAGGATAAATAAAGGGGGCATATAAGCAGACAATGAAAGCTCTTATAATATTCAATGATTACATGTGCACCACCAAGTCAGAACAGTAGGCGAAATTATTAGGGTGAGGCACATGGGCTACTAACAGCTTACTACACAATAAACACTTAATATTACTTTCTTAGCTACAGTATACATACCTCCCTGGCATATTACATAATTTATGCAGCATACAATGCATTTTTGGACTCACCTTGTTGTGCTGTGCTCACTTGAACAGGAAGGTGGCGCGGCAGTCCTTCTTGGGCAAATTTTGTCATCAAAGTCTGGGATTCTCTGGATTTATGGTGCTTTCAAGACAACTGGGAACTCTGAAAGGTCGAATCACGATGACGTCAGTGATCTTCAGGTCGTAGCTCTAGAAAGAGGCCCGAGTTCTGGATTTACAATTCCGAGTTTGATGACCGTTCAAAACGTATTTTCCCAGTCGGAGCTAGTTTTTTCCCGAGTTCCCAGTTGTCTTGAACTAACCGAAGTCAGATTTCGCTGTTCCGAGTTAACTGTTGTACTGAGTGCGGCACAAATCATGCTTAATTGACAGCATGGCCAATGTTGAATGTTTATCATTTTAAACTTGGAAAAGAGACCCTTAATCCCAGATTTGGGACCACACATCCACTCTACTGAATAGCAGGCTAGTGATTACTTTGCAATGCTTGCAGTTAGCCACTGATTCCAACTTGTTGTGTAATGTTTATGTCCAATGGCCGATGAGCACCGATACGTTTTATCTATAATTTCTCTTCATTATTTCTCTTCATATGACAAGGATTAAAAATGATTTGCCGGTAGATTGTCGACTTGATTCATGATGATGACTGCTAGCTAAGATTTTGAAAGTATGATGTTGACATGATCAATCCAATCAAAGCTACTGTAGATACAGTGGGGGGAAAAAGTATTTAGTCAGCCACCAATTGTGCAAGTTCTCCCACTTAAAAAGATGAGAGAGGCCTGTAATTTTCATCATAGGTGCACGTCAACTATGACAGACAAAATGAGAAAAAGAATTCCAGAAAATCACATTGTAATTTATTTGCAAATTATGGTGGAAAATAAGTATTTGGTCAATAACAAAAGTTTCTCAATACTTTGTTATATACCCTTTGTTGGCAATGACACAGGTCAAACGTTTTCTGTAAGTCTTCACAAGGTTTTCACACACTGTTGCTGGTATTTTGGCCCATTCCTCCATGCAGATCTCCTCTAGAGCAGTGATGTTTTGGGGCTGTCGCTGGGCAACACGGACTTTCAACTCCCTCCAAAGATTTTCTATGGGGTTGAGATCTGGAGATTGGCTAGGCCACTCCAGGACCTTGAAATGCTTCTTACGAAGCCACTCCTTCGTTGCCCGGACGGTGTGTTTGGGATCATTGTCATGCTGAAAGACCCAGCCACGTTTCATCTTCAATGCCCTTGCTGATGGAAGGAGGTTTTCACTCAAAATCTCACGATACATGGCCCCATTCATTCTTTCCTTTACACGGATCAGTCGTCCTGGTCTCTTTGCAGAAAAACAGCCCCAAAGCATGATGTTTCCACCCCCATGCTTCACAGTAGGTATGGTGTTCTTTGGATGCAACTCAGCATTCTCTGTCCTCCAAACACGACGAGTTGAGTTTTTACCAAAAAGTTATATTTTGGTTTCATCTGACCATATGACATTCTCCCAATCCTCTTCTGGATCATCCAAATGCACTCTAGCCAACTTCAGACGGGCCTGGTCATGTACTGGCTTAAGCAGGGGGACACGTCTGGCACTGCAGGATTTGAGTCCCTGGCGGCGTAGTGTTTTACTGATGGTAGGCTTTGTTACTTTGGTCCCAGCTCTCTGCAGGTCATTCACTAGGTCCCCCCGTGTGGTTCTGGGATTTTTGCTCACCATTCTTGTGATCATTTTGACCCCACGGGGTGAGATCTTGCGTGGAGCCCCAGATCGAGGGAGATTATCAGTGGTCTTGTATGTCTTCCATTTCCTAATAATTGCTCCCACAGTTGATTTCTTCAAACCAAGCTGCTTATCTATTGCAGATTCAGTCTTCCCAGCCTGGTGCAGGTCTACAATTTTGTTTCTGGTGTCCTTTGACAGCTCTTTGGTCTTGGCCATAGTGGAGTTTGGAGTGTGACTGTTTGAGGTTGTGGACAGGTGTCTTTTATACTGATAACAAGTTCAAACAGGTGCCATTAATACAGGTAACGAGTGGAGGACAGAGGAGCCTCTTAAAGAAGAAGTTACAGGTCTGTGAGAGCCAGAAATCTTGCTTGTTTGTAGGTGACCAAATACTTATTTTCCACCATAATTTGCAAATATATTCATTAAAAATCCTACAATGTGATTTTCTGGATTTTTTCTCCTCATTTTCTCTGTCATAGTTGACGTGTACCTATGATGAAAATTACAGGCCTCTCTCATCTTTTTAAGCGGCTTTGTTAACTCAATGATATATATATTTTTTTATTACATTGTTTGCAAACTGATATGTGACACGTATTAATGCCAAAATAACATGCAAAACAGGCAAGCCAAAAAAATGTGATGCTCAAAACAGGTGGTGCTCTGCCCCACATGCCCTGAATGACGGGTCGCCACTGGTTGTGTGTGTTTCCCAGTGATCTCTGCCATTGATCAGTGGGACGGCACTGGGAAAAGCTTTCTCGTTCACCCCAGATTATGCCAAGACTGCAGCTGCCCAGTTTTTCAAACTGTTGAACCGAGTCCTCAAAACCAGCATGAGTCACACAGACGGAGAGAAATGGGTGAGAGAAACATGTCTAAATCTTTCCATTACAAATTCAATTTAATCAATCAGACATTTTCAGTAAAATTTGAAAATGATTATTATTCACATTGACATGAAACACTTTGGTGTGTAATAATGCCATGCCCTCTCTCCAGGATGATTTCAAAGGGGAGTTAGAATTCATCAACTGCAAGTTCACCTACCCAACCCGGACTGACATCCATGGAATACTGGTGTTACATGGACTACTGGTGTCTGTGAAGCCGGGCCAGACCCCGGCCTTTGTGGGCAGCAGTGGCTGTGGGAAGAGCACTAGTGTGCAGCTGTTGGAAAGGTTATATGATACAGATGAGGGCAGAGTGGTGAATCCCCACACCAGACCCAACCTACAGTATTTACATTACCTTTACCTTATAGTTCTGCCATGTAGATGGAATCAGAGGGACAGTTCATGAAGTGTGCACACAGTGCCTGTCATAGTTTATTTGTATTATTTGTATTTACAATAAACATGTCCTTGTTCCCTTTTCATTTTAGTTGATTGATGGCCGTCCATCACACACTGTCAACGTGCCCTTCCTGAGGGCTCAGATTGGCATTGTCTCCCAAGAGCCAGTGCTGTTTGACTGCAGTATTGCTGAAAACATCCAGCATGGTGATAACACAAGGAACGTGAGCATGTTGGCGATTGTTGACACTGCCAAGAAAGCTTATCTCCATAACTTTGTAATGACTCCACCAGATGTGAGTAGTGTAACTGAAATTGTACTATCTTTGTAATACTTCTATCTCATACTATTCCACTTCACTATATACTGTGAAGAATGTCAAAAGTAAATATTTGATTGGGGTGGGAACATGTTATTATCTTCTGATACTGTGCTCTCATTGTATTGTAAGTACTGTACTGGACTCTGGCAGAAATATGAGACTCAGGTTGGTGCCTTGGGCTCCCAGCTCTCCAAAGGACAAAAAAAAAAACGCATCGCCATTGCTCGGGCAATAGTCAGGAATGCCAAGATCCTGCTGGTGGATGAGGCCACCTCTGCATTGGACACAGAGAGTGAAAAGGTACTCATAGACCAGCCTAATGTATATTATCACCTCTTGATTATTCCTTCTATCAGGTAATGACTCTATCCACAGCTCAATTATGCATTTGCTTAGAAACAAAATAAATAAAAATCTTAGCATGCCATTTACTGTATTACGTCAGAGACTATAGAATGGCCTTATGATAATGACAAACAGACTCAACTCCACTTATTTTGACATTGTGTTGTCCCTCTGCAGACTGTGTGGGCTGCTTTGAATGAGGCCAGACGTGGACGCACCTGCATTGTCATAGACTGTCCACCATCTAGACAGCAGATGTCATGTCCCAAGGAGCTGTCATAGAAAGGGAGACTCATGAGGAACTCATGGCCAAGAGAGCTGCCTACTACAAACTTGTCACAACAGGGTCTCCGATCAGCTAAACCTGAGTAGATGTCATTTTTCGAGAGAGGGGATGCATTACGAGGAGATGGAGTTTGTCACTAACCAAAGTACATCAATGTGACATTTTTGTGAGATGTGGATTAACTATAGACAAAACATGAAAGTCCATGGCGGGAAGGCTTTCTTTGCTTGATATACTTTTCATTTACCTAATATCCTTTTGTTTTGTATATGTTTTGTATATGATATTATAGGAATTAACATAGGGCCTTACAGATCAATTAGGTTTTATTTTTGCAAAACAGATGGACCCTAATTACTAAAAATAATTCCTAGTCCAATGTTTGCTTTTGCTCAAGAGGGTTTGCAATTATTGGTATAAATCACATGGCTTATCTGTCATAGTTTTAAATATTTATTTGTTTACAGAAAAATTTATTTGCTTTTATTAACCTTTGACAGAGTGAATGTTTAGTGTTTGATGCTTAATCTTTTGTTAAATCATCCATATCATAATGGATAATTAATTTGGTTTGATTTGTACTGATACATTAGTATACATAAAGCTAATTTCTCTCAAATTATATGCACAAATTTGTTTATATACCTGTTAGTTCTCCTTTGCCAAGATAATCCATCCACCTGACAGGTGTGGCATATTAAGAAGCTGACTAAACAGCATGATCATTACACAGGTGCACCTTGTGCTGGGGACAATAAAAGGCCACTTTAAAATGTGCAGTTTTGTCACACAACACAATGCTACAGATGTCTCAAGTTCTGAGGGAACGAGAAATTGTCATGCTGACTGCAGGAATGTCCACCAGAGCTGTTGCCAGAGAATTGAATGTTAATTTCTCAACCATAAGCTGCCTCCAACGTTGTCTTAGAGAATTTGGCAGTACGTCCAACCGTCCTCACAACCGCAGACCATGTGTAACCTCGCCAGCCCAGGACCTCCACATCCGGCTTCTTCACCTGCAGGATCGTCTGAGACCAGCCACCCGGACAGCTGATGAAACTCAGGAGTATTTCTGTCTGTCATAAAGCTCTTCTGTGGGGAAAAACGAATTTTGATTGGCTGGGCCTGGCTCCCCAGTGGGTGGGCCTCACTCCCAATTGGGTGGGCCTATGCCCACCCATGGCTGCACCTCTAACCAGTCATGTGAAATCCATAAATTAGGGCCTAATTTATTTATTTCAATTGACTGATTTCCTTATATGAACTGTAACCCAGTAACATCTTTGAAATTGTTGCATGTTGCGTTTATATTTTTGTTCACTATAGTTATCAATTGTTTCAAAATGCAGTTCTTTGAAAGAGAAGCTATGTGCATTCGGGAAGTATTCAGACCCCTTCATTTTTTCCACATTTTGTTACGTTACAGCCTTATTTTAAAATGGATTAAATAAATACAAATCTTAATCAATCTACACACAATACCCCATAATGACAAAGAAAAAACAGGTTTTTAGAAAAAACATACAGCACCAGTCAAAAGTTTGGACACACCTACTCATTCAAGGGTTTTTCTATATTTTTACTATTTTTTACACTGCAGAATAATAGTGAAGACATCAAAACTATGAAATTACACATATGGAATCATGTAGTAACCAAAAAAGTGTTATACTGAATGAAAATATATTTTATATTTGAGATTCTTCAAATAGCCACCCGTTGCCTTGATGACAGCTTCGCACACTCTTGGCATTCTCTCTCCAGCTTCACCTGGAATGCTTTTCCAACAGTCTTGAAGGAGTTCCCACATATGCTGAGCACTTGTTGGCTGCTTTTCCTTCACTCTGTCATCTGACTCATCCCAAACCATTTCAATTGGGTTGAGGTCGGGGGATTGTGGAGGCCAGGTCATCTGATGCAGCACTCCATCACTCTCCTTCTTGGTGTGTTGGGTCATTGTCCTGTTGAAAAACAAATGATAGCCCCACTAAGCCCAAACCAGATGGGATGGCGTATCGCTGCAGAATGCTGTGGTAGCCATGCTGGTCTAGTGTGCGTGAATTCTAAATAAATCACAGACAGTGTCACCAGCAAAGCACCCCCACATCACAACACCTCCTCCTCCATGCTTTACGGTGGGAAATACACATGCAGAGATCATCCGTTTACCCACACCGCATCTCACAAAGCCACGACGGTTGGAATCAAAAATCTCAAATTTGGACTCCAGACCAAAGTACACATTTCCACCGTTCTAATGTCCATTGCTCATGTTTCTTGGCCCAAGCAGGTCTCTTCTTATTATTGGTGTCCTTTAGTAGTGGTTTCCTTGCAGCAATTCGACCATGAAGGCCTGATTCACACAGTCCCCTCTGAACAGTTGATGTTGAGATGTGTCTGTTACTTGAACTCTGTGAAGCATTTATTTTGGCTGCAATTTCTGAGGCTGGTAACTCTAATGAACTTATCCTCTGCAGCAGAGTTAACTCTGGGTCTTCCATTCCTGTCACAGTCCTCATGAGAGACAGTTTCATCATAGTGCTTGAAGAAACGTTCAAAGTTCTTGAAATGTTCCGTATTGACTGACCTTCATGTCTTAAAGTAATGATGGACTGTAATTTCTCTTTTCTTATTTGAGCTGTTCTTGCCGTAATATGGACTTGGTCTTTTACCAAATAGGGCTATCTTCTGTATACCCCCCACCCCCCCTTCCTTGTCACAACACAACTGATTGGCTCAAATGTATTAAAAATGAAATAAATTCCACAAATTTACTTTTAAGAAGGCACACCTGTTAATGAAAAATGCATTCCAGGTGACTACCTCATGAAGCAGGGTGAGAGAATGCCAAGAGTGTGCAAAGCTGTCATCAAGGCAAAGGGTGGCTATTTGAAGAATCTCAAATGTAAAATATATTCTGATTTGTTTTAACACTTTCTTGGTTACTACATGATTCCATATGTGTTATTTCATAGTTTTGATGTCTTCACTATTATTCTACAGTGTAGAAAATAGTAAAAATAAAGAAAAACCCTTGAATGAGTAGGTGTATCCAAACTTTTGACTGGTACTGTAATTATTCAGACCCTTTGCCATTAGACTCCAAATTGGCTCAGGTGCATCCTGTTTCATTTTTTACATTTACATTTTAGTCATTTAGCAGACGCTCTTATCCAGAGTGACTTACAGTTAGTGAGTGCATACATTTTCATACTGGCCCCCCGTGGGAAACGAACCCACAACACTGGCGTTGCAAGCGCCATGCTCTACCAACTGAGCTACAGGGGACTTGAGATGTTTCTAGAACTTGATTGGAGTCCACCGGTTGTAAATTAAATTGATTGGACATGATTTGGAAAGGCACACAACTGTCTATATAAGGTCCCACAGTTCACAGTGCATGTCAGAGCAAAAACCAAGCCATGAGGTCGAAGGAATTGTCCGTAGAGCTCTGAGACAGGATTGTGTCAAGGCACAGATCTGGGGAAGGGTACCAAAACATTTCTGCAGCATTGAAGGTCCCCAAGAACACAGTGGCCTCCATCATTCTTAAATGGAAGAAGTTTGGAACCACCAAGACTCTTCCTAGAGCTGGCCGCCCGGCCAAACTGCGCAATCGGGGGAGAAGGGCCTTGGTCAGGGAGGTGACCAAGAACTGATGGTCACGCTGACAGAGCTCTAGAGTTCCTCTGTGGAGATGGGAGAACCTTCCAGAAGGACAACCATCTCCGCAGTACACCACCAATTAGGCCTTTATGGTAGAGTGGCCAGACGGAAGCCACTCCTCAGTAGAAGGCACATGACAGCTGCTTGGAGTTTGCCAAAAGGCACCTAAAGGACTCTCAGACCATAGCTCCAGAGTTCCTCTGTGGAGATGGGAGAACCTTCCAGAAGGACAACCATCTCCGCAGTACACCACTAATTAGGCCTTTATGGTAGAGTGGCCAGACGGAAGCCACTCCTCAGTAGAAGGCACATGACAGCTGCTTGGAGTTTGCCAAAAGGCACCTAAAGGACTCTCAGACCATAGCTCCAGAGTTCCTCTGTGGAGATGGGAGAACCTTCCAGAAGGACAACCATCTCCGCAGCACTCCACCAATTAGGCCTTTATGGTAGAGTGGCCAGACGGAAGCCACTCCTCAGTAGAAGGCACATGACAGCTGCTTGGAGTTTGCCAAAAGGCACCTAAAGGACTCTCAGACCATAGAAATAAGATTATCTGGTCTGATGAAACCAGGATTGAACTCTTTGGCCTAAATTCCAAGCATCATGTCTGGAGGAAACCTGGCCTCACCTGGCCAATACCATCCCTACGGTGAAGCATGTTGGTGGCAGAACCATGCTGTGGGGATGTTTTTCAGCTCAGGGACTGGGAGACTAGTCAGGATCGAGGGAAAGATGAACAGAGCAAAGTACAGAGAGATCCTTGATGAAAACCTGCTCCAGAGCGCTCAGGTCCTCAGACTGGGGCGAAGGTTTACCTTCCAACAGGACAACGACCCTAATCACACAGCCAAGACAACGCAGGAGTGGCTTCGGGACAAGTCTCTGAATGTCCTTGAGTGGCCCATCCAGAGCCCGGACTTGAACCTGATCGAGCATCTCAGAGCTTGAGAGGATCTGCAGAGAAGAATTTGAGGAACTCCCCAAATACAGGCATGCCAAGCTTGTAGCGTCATACCCAAGAAGACCCAAGGATGTAATCGCTGCCAAAGGTGCTTCAACAAAGTATTGAGTAAAGGTTCTGAATAATTCTGTAAATGTGATATTTCTGGTATTTGCTAAAATTTTCTAAAAACCTGTTTTTGCTTTGTCATTATGTGGTATTGTCACGCCCTGACTCAGGGGACTCTTATATGTTGAGTCAGGGTGTGTATATTCCTTGTTGTGCTTTTTCTATGTGTGGGATCTAGTATGTATACAGTGGAGGAAAAAAGTATTTGATACACTGCCGATTTTTCAGGTTTTCCTACTTACAAAGCATGTAGATGTCTGTAATTTTTTATCATAGGTACACTTCAACTGTGAGAGACGGAATCTAAAACAAAAATCCAGAAAATCACATTGTATGATTTTTAAGTAATTAATTTGCTTTTTATTGCATGACATAAGTATTTGATACATCAGAAAAGCAGAACTTAATATTTGGTACAGAAACCTTTGTTTGCAATTACAGAGATCATACGTTTCCTGTAGGTCTTGACCAGGTTTGCACACACTGCAGCAGGGATTTTGGCCCACTCCTCCATACAGACCTTCTCCAGATCCTTCAGGTTTTTTTTTCTGGGCAATACAGACTTTCAGTTCCCTCCAAAGATTTTCTATTGGGTTCAGGTCTGGAGACTGGCTAGGCCACTCCAGGACCTTGAGATGCTTCTTACGGAGCCACTCCTTAGTTGCCCTGGCTGTGTGTTTCGGGTCGTTGTCATGCTGGAAGACCCAGCCACGACCCATCTTCAATGCTCTTACTGAGGGAAGGAGGTTGTTGGCCAAGATCTCGCGATACATGGCCCCATCCATCCTCCCCTCAATACGGTGCAGTCGTCCTGTCCCCTTTGCAGAAAAGCATCCCCAAAGAATGATTTTTCCACCTCCATGCTTCACGGTTGGGATGGTGTTCTTGGGGTTGTACTCATCCTTCTTCTTCCTCCAAACATGGCGAGTGGAGTTTAGACCAAAAAGCTCTATTTTTGTCTCATCAGACCACATGACCTTCTCCCATTCCTCCTCTGGATAATCCAGATGGTCATTGGCAAACTTCAGATGGGCCTGGACATGCGCTGGCTTGAGCAGGGGGACCTTGCGTGCGCTGCAGGATTTTAATCCACGACGGCGTAGTGTGTTACTAATGGTTTTCTTTGAGACTGTGGTCCCAGCTCTCTTCAGGTCATTGACCAGGTCCTGCCATGTAGTTCTGGGCTGATCCCTCACCTTCCTCATGATCATTGATGCCCCACGAGGTGAGATCTTGCATGGAGCCCCAGACCGAGGGTGATTGACCGTCATCTTGAACTTCTTCCATTTTCTAATAATTGCGCCAACAGTTGTTGCCTTCTCACCAAGCTGCTTGCCTATTGTCCTGTAGCCCATCCCAGCCTTGTGCAGGTCTACAATTTTAACCCTGATGTCCTTACACAGCGCTCTGGTCTTGGCCATTGTGGAGAGGTTGGAGTCTGTTTGATTGAGTGTGTGGACAGGTGTCTTTTATACAGGTAACGAGTTCAAACAGGTGCAGTTAATACAGGTAATGAGTGGAGAACAGGAGGGCTTCTTAAAGAAAAACTAACAGGTCTGTGAGAGCCGGAATTCTTACTGGTTGGTAGGTGATCAAATATTTATGTCATGCAATAAAATGCAAATTAATTACTTAAAAATCATACAATGTGATTTTCTGGATTTTTGTTTTAGATTCCGTCTCTCACAGTTGAAGTGTACCTATGATAAAAATTACAGACCTCGCTTTGTAAGTAGGAAAACCTGCAAAATCGGCAGTGTATCAAATTCTTGTTCTCCCCACTGTAGTTCTATGTTGGCCGGTGTGGTTCCCAATCAGAGGCAACTGTTCAGGTTCGGGGTCTCCCACACCAGGGTCCAGACAGGGCCTGGCGTATCGTGGGAGGAAGGAGAGGGGAAGCAGCGCGCCGAGGTCCAGACCAGACCAGGGGCGCAACAGGGAGGCGGAGAGTGAGAGGTCGTCACGCCCCGAGCCGGATCCGCCTCCGAGGCGGAATGCCCACCCGGCCCCTACCCTGTTATGTTTATGTTGTGCGGTCGGAGTCCGCACCTTTGGGGGGGGGGTACTGTCACGCCCTGACTCAGGGGACTCTTATATGTTGAGTCAGGGTGTCTATATTCCTTGTTGTGCTTTTTCTATGTGTGGGATCTAGTATGTATAGTTCTATGTTGGCCGGTGTGGTTCCCAATCAGAGGCAGCTGTCGCTCGTTGTCTCTGATTGGGGATCATACTTAGGCAGCCGTTTGGCACTAGTGAGTTGTGGGATCTTGTTCCTTGTAAGGTATGTTGTGTTATCTACCTTAGGACTTCACGTTTCGTTTTCTTTGTTGTTTTGTCGTGTGTTTATTAAGTTCAATAAACATGTATGCATATCACGCTGCGCCTTGGTCTGACCCGTCCTTAAACGAACGTGACAGGTATTGTGTGTAGATTCAGGTGGTGGGGGGGGGGGGGGAATTTAATCAATTTTAGAATAAGGCTGTAACGTAAGAAAATGTGGAAAAAGTGAATGGGTCTGAATACTTTCCGAATACACTGTACATTGGGAAATGTAACGTGTTGTCCTTGAGAAACAGTGATAGTGTGTGCTGTGACCATAAATGACAGATAACATCTAGCATTGTTTTTTTTCTGATGTGTCCTCTGTTGTGTCTATATCTTAAACTACAGCCTCTGGATGAAGCTGTAGTTTATCATTGATCTGTGGTGTTGAAATGCCCAACACAATTGTGTACTAGTAAATGCTGACACCCTTCACAAACCACCAAGTAATTGTACAACATTTTGTCCGTTAAGTAGGCCTACATTATGCAGGCCAAGGTTTTTTCACAAACAATGTACTCCACACTTGGCAAACTCAGTTTGCCAAGTGATTAGCGGGCATATTCTGAAAGCACCTGCTGATTTATCAGCATTATGAGCCGCCTGCTGAACCTTTCCATGTTCAGCATTAACACGTAACAACACACAATCACAGATGTCTCCTCAGGCCTGGATAGGCTGAGCAAGCACTAAGTGGACAGTTATATAATTTATCTAACCAAACTTGCAAGGTACCCATATAGCTTCCTAGCAACAGATGATGGGAGTAAGCTAAGGAGAGTACCCTGTTAGAAAATGTACATCATCTTGAAGAGTTACATGTAATATATAATATATGCCATTTAGCAGACGCTTTTATCCAAAACGACTTACAGTAATGCTGCATACATTTTACATATGGGTGGTCCTGGGATTTGAACCCACTACCCTGGTGTTACATGCTCTATCAACTGAGCTACAAAGGACCATGTGTACATCAGAGAATGTGTTATGCAGTACATTTTGGTATAGGCCTACATCCAAATTGGCTTGTATAGAGTGACTTTTAGATACATTCAAGTCATTACAGTAACAGACAATGACAATTTGTGATAAGGATGGGTATCAACTACAGTAGTAAAAAGCAGGGCTGTTCATAAATACAAGGTCACTTCTTTTGCTACATTATCATTAGTAGTAAAGTACATGCCAGAATAATATGGGTATGATGATAAGGTAAATTGTTATTGTCATGAATTCTATATTTTGGTCAAATGGCTCATGTTTCACACAAAAAAAACACTGATAGAACAATTCAAAACTTCTCAAGGGATTGGCTGTTATTTTTAAAGTTCAAATGCAGCTGTTTTTATCTTAACATCAAATCATTTCTGGGTAACAATTAAGTACCTTACTGTGATTTGTTTTCTATTAAAATTGTCAAAAATAAACAAATTTAGCAAAGAGGAATTTCTCAAGCAAGAATTTTGCTAGGACTGTCTGGGAGTGGTCTGAGTGGGAAGAACTGAAGATTATTGGTAGAGAGATTTGGAACTCTCTTTCTTATTAGTCTATTAACTAATTTAACGCCTGGTGATGTCACCAGGCTGGCCAAAACTCCACCCCACCTAATGCTGAGCGATTGAGTGCTTTTTGAGGTTGTTTCAGCTCCATTATAAAAAAATAATCACGGTTTTAGATTTCGGTTTCGATAATGTTTTTGACATTAAATGCACTATGCATTATGTGGGCAGAATGCTGTAACAACACAGCTTTCTTAATTTTTAATAAAAGTCCCATGATGCGATTTCAGTTGTTGTGTATATTACATTTGTTTTATTTGATGAGTTTATTATTTCATTCCAAGTCATCATCCCATCTCTATAGAGCTGCTGCCTATGCTGTCTGACAAAATCACTATTTTGTAGTTCTTCAAATTAAATAAGGCATACTTTTATGACTGCTGAATATCAACAAGTGTAGAGATACCTCACAACGCAACAGCTGCTCCGTATATCACCTCACGATCTCACCTTCTTCTCTCTTCCATTGCAGTCGTAAAATAAACACAGACTGGACAAGTAGCTGCGCAATGGATTATGGTCATGGTAGTTAAATACCACTTTATGCGCTAAACTAGGTCGAATATTGGCCTGTTGAAAACTACAAATCCCTACTACATCACACAGTTCAGCCTGGCTCTGATTTATCTGTAGAGAAACGGTGTGATGTGTGCATTGAGCTCACAGAGAGAAAAACATAAGAAATGGAATTCAAATAATTGAACTGACTTCAGTCAATTAGTTGTTTAAAAAACGAAAAATAGCCGACATTTCGGTTAATCACACAGCAATAACCACCAAAACAAGCAGAAATTTCAGGTCATCTTTTAAAACAGCTCTTACACTAAAATGGCATCATCATTTTCACAATTTCACAGTATTATTCCAATCTCATAGTATGGAAATATATAAAACACAGGAAAATCACGTTTTTAATAGTAACTCTTTCTCAAGGAAAAACATTAATCTACAGTAGAATCACAGTAGAATGAGAATATTTACAGTAAACTAAATTGATAAAAATCCACTTTATTTACAATTTACTTTAATTTCTTTGTCTTAAAAACACCAGCTCACTCTTGTTTCACACTGTACATGTAACATACAATTTAACATTGCAAAAACGATAATCCACAGCTAAATAGCTTAGCAAAATGCATCTACACTACAACATAAACAAATTGTCATATGAGTCAGGCAATCTATGTTCATTATAATGCAATTCACCATTGCGACAAGTGATCAAGTACAAACATTTAGTCTAATTTCCTCTCCTTGTCTCCTATCAACAAGTGAACACAGTAGGGGATGAGTGCCACCACACTGAGGGGGACTGCAGCACTCTTACAGAATGAGAGTGTGTAGAACAGGATCTCTGTGTGAGTGGGAATTTTGATGAAATCGTACAGCTGCAGAGAGGTCAGATTGGCTGCTACACACATGAGTTTAAACCTAGTCTTGTATCCGTTCTTCCCCTTGCAGCTATGGATGAACATCTGAGAATTAATGGCCAGGCCAAGTCCAAACAATGCTCCCAGGTTCCTCACTAAACCAGCAAAAGGTGTAGTGTCCAGGTGGATCCAGTCTGGATTGGCACACCACTTCTTTGCTTTAGGTATCGACCACAATAGGTCAATGTCTATCATTTTAAGGAGGAAGTAAAGGCTGACGGCAAAGGAGAACAGAAAGAAGCTAGTTTGAAGGTAGACTTTTAAACTGGCTGTGTGGATCGAGGGAACATGCTCAAATGCTTCAGCAACTAGTATACCTGTTGAGAATTAAAAAATGTATATACTGTAGTGAAAATGTCTACCAAGTGATAACACACACCATGTAAACATTAATTGGTCATAATAGAAGTCTTACCAGCTAGAACACCAAGGATAACCTGGTGAGGGAAGTGTGTGGCGATGAAGATCCTAGAGATGCCAACACTAATCTGAATGATCCAAAATGCTGTCCACAAAAAGGACCACACAAGCCCAAACCTGAGAAGATTGAGGATAATTTAGGCCCTAATAGAGGCACACGTTATACAGGCACAAACGTTCTTTCACAAAGCAATATAGTAATAGCATGCTCATGGATGTGCCTACCTCTGGCACCCCTGAGTTGAGCTGTCACAAAGGCGTCTGGTAAAGTTGAGTGCTGATGTGATCATTACATACCAGACACACGAAGAGCCCATGGCATGACCGGATGGACTGCCTATACAAATTAACAGTGTTTATCTATCATACAAGCATGATGCACAATCAGATCTTCACAAAGATATATTTCAGTTCACACAACAATACATCAGACAGTTTTGCCATTTTGCAATCCATTACATGGAATAATCCTTCAATCTCCAGAATTTATGATCATAATGATTGTCAGACAGGAAATGACACTGACCTGGTCCTGTTTCACAGGTAATGTGGAACTGCTCAAGCTGGGGGAGTGAATTATTCTGGTAAAAGAGAGTTTCGTGCACCCACCAGTATGGCCGTTGACCAAACAGAATCCTAAAAACAAGAGAGAGTCAGACTTCAGCAATAATGCATGAGGGGGTGTGGTATATGGCCAATATACCACGGCTAAGGGCTGTTCTTACACACAACGCAACGCGGAGTGCCTGGATACAGCCCTTAGCTGTGGTATATTGGCCATATACCACACACTCCCGGGGTGCCTTATTGCTATTATAAACTGGTTACCAATGTAATTAGAGCAGTAAAAATAAATGTTTTGTCATACCCGTGGTATATGGTCTGATATACCACGGCTGTCAGCCAATCAGCATTCAGGGCTCGAACCAACCAGTTTATAATAACATTTATATAACAAGATGTGTTTCAATGACATTCAAATTCCGAATACTATGCCAAACAAACTATATCTGTCAAAATATGTATGCAATGTCGTACCGATCCCCTAAACAGCAAAAAGCATAATGTTACATAATTTTCACTCACTATCTCTCCCTGCCTTTACTAGTTATGGCAGCACAAGTGTAAATATTATTTTTTTAACACAGTGAGCAGATGGTGTCTTACCATTTGAAAATTAGGTTGAACCAGTCTCCGATAACTGCCACCCATATCATCTTGGTGCCAACAATTTGGCTAAGCTGAAACCACAGAGGGAAATAGAGAGAAAAGATGTTACGAGGGTCGCCCACAGAGGACATGAAGTCAAGGATGTCATGGTAGTCCTTGTAGTTGCTCTGGAGGTGCTGGATCACCAGCACCCCACTGCTGTGGATGAGGTCCATCTGGGGTTCAGTCTGTCTGGCACGACTGGGACAGCTGCTCCCTCGGCCACAACTACAACGCTGCACCAAGGACATCAGTCTCTCCCTTTTTAATAGAGAGAGAGAGAGAGAGAGAGAGAGAGAGAGAGAGAGAGAGAGAGAGAGAGAGAGAGAGAGAGAGAGAGAAAGAGAGAGAGAGAGCGAGAGAGAATGAGAGCTGTCTTCTTTATATGTAAATGTGCCATCATAAATCATTCAACAGCTATGGCAACAAGTGTATGGGTTGACATTGTTTGATTGTGTTGGTATAATGTGAAATCAGCATTTTAAGGCATGTTACACAAAGTTGTTTACAGGATGATAGTGTGGACATTAGATTTTCCACAGGCCATTACTTTTATTGGTTAAATATTAGCCATTCTATCCACCTCTGAGGACAGTGTTCTCACGCATATGCTCTGTTCAACCCCCGGGATCATTTACATAATTACATACTTTTCCCATTCAGTGATTCGCTGGTGGGTTGATTGGACATTGCAACAACAATTGGTTTCTAACTGTAAAGTAAAACATCACGATATGTATTATTATTATATTGTTTATTATTAAAAGTAATTTTGGATTCTAACCATTACCCTAAGATAAGTGAACATCCCCTACTGCAGTGGTTCTCAAACCTCTCCTCTGGGACACCCAGATATTTTACAATTTTGTTGTAGCTCTGAGCTACCACACCTGATTCACTTGTCAAGGGCTTTATGATTAGTTGACCAGTTGAATCAGGTGTGCTGTCTGGAATAGTTCAAATACATGGAATGGCTACGGGCCCCAAGGGAGAAGTTTTGCTCTTATTTTTCACAACTGAAAAAATGTCAACCAGATGCTCCAGTAAGACAAATGGGATACCTAATGAAAATGAAGAAGAACAGTTAACGGACCCCTTTTCCAGACAACCTCCAGGGACTAAGCTGGTACTAAACCATGTTTTCTGAACATTCTGTATGTTGATGCAGATATAAACTTGACTTAAATGTTAACTTTTTTTTTCTTTCTAATGTTGATACATGCTTTGCCTAGAGACATGTTTTATATCGCCACAGGGTGGCGCAAATTCACGAGCACAGACAAACACACTAAAAACTTTGCATTGTGAGAAACCAGGAAAAAACGTGTCTCATTCCCTTCTTATTCTAATATCTGGTTTTAGACGAGACATAAAGGATAAACATCGACTTTGATAAATACTGTGCATCATCAGTTGCAGGTGTTTATTCTTAAAGGACCAGCTACTTTGACTTTTGATAAAGGTAATAGGAATCATGGGAACAACATGGCGGAATGTTTGAATGTCTGATGTTGTTCCAAAACAATTTGTCGACATCCCGAGGGGTTCGTGCTGATTGTACGGAGATTGTGACAGCCGGTTAAATGGCGTCCCTAGACAAGGCAAGAACTAGATGTATGTCAGGTGAAGTGCAGTACTATAATAAGGAGAGTTATACTTGGAATACGGAGGAGGAATGGAGGGAAAAAGAGAGGCAGAGGAGGTCTAAGAGAGAGAGGGAGGAAGAAGGTGAGCTTGAGTCAGTTAAAAATTTTGGAAAAAAGAGAGATGGTTTGTGAAAGAAGAATGGTAGAAAGTGTAAGCAGAGTGAGCTGAAGACAGGAGGAGAAATGGAAGTGAATGAGGGAGAAGTATCGGACGTGGTAGGTGTGGTGAAGTTCTCGGAGCCCGAGGTTTGCACCGAGGGTCAGGATAAAGATGAGTCTGTGACAGTAGGAGTGACGTTTTTGGAAAAGTGGACCCTTGCCTTTTGGCTGATCCATTTGTGGTTTCAGGGTGGGTGAAAACAGAGTTGGGTGCTGTGGAATCGGTGAGTTAACCAGAAGTGGTCTAGTGATAATTGTTTGTGTTTCTGCTGGTCAGAGGGAGCAGGCGCTCCGTGTAAACGAATGGGGATAAGAGATGTGAAGTGTTTTGCTCTCAAGAAAAGGGCGCCATTGAAAGGCGTGATTACTGGGGTAGCGGTAAATGTTAAAGCTGACCAACTGAAGGGGAAGATTCCCAGTGTGTGTGATGCTCGTCGTTTGGTGCGATGCAGACATGGTGGCGTGAGTGGAGAAACAGAAGAGTCATTGTCTGTTCTTTTGAGTTTTGATGTTGAGTCTTTGCCTGACAAAGTGATATTAGGATATACAGTGGGGAGAACAAGTATTTTATACTTTTTTTTTGTTTTTTGTTTTTTGTTTCACCTTTATTTAACCAGGTAAGCCAGTTGAGAACAGGTTCTCATTTACAACTGCGACCTGGCCAAGATAAAGCAAAGCAGTGCAATAAAAACAACACAGAGTTACATATGGGGTAAAAAAACATAAAGTCAAAAATACAACAGAAAATATATATACAGTGTGTGCAAATGTAGCAAGTTATGGAGGTAAGGCAATAAATAGGCTATAGTGCAAAATAATTACAATAGTATTAACACTGGAATGCTAGATGTGCAAGAGATTATGTGCAAATAGAGATACTGGGGTGCAAAAGAGCAAAATAAATAACAATATAGGGATGAGGTAGTTGGGTGGGCTAATTTCAGATGGGCTGTGTACAGGTGCAGTGATCGGTAAGGTGCAGGTTTTCCTACTTACAAAGCATGTAGAGGTCTGTAATTTTTATCATAGGTACACTTCAACTGTGAGAGACGGAATCTAAAACAAAAATCCAGAAAATCACATTGTATGATTTTTAAGTAATTAATTTGCTTTTTATTGCATGACATAAGTATTTGATACATCAGAAAAGCAGAACTTAATATTTGGTACAGAAACCTTTGTTTGCAATTACAGAGATCATACGTTTCCTGTAGGTCTTGACCAGGTTTACACACACTGCAGCAGGGATTTTGGCCCAGTCCTCCATACAGATCTTCTCCAGATCCTTCAGGTTTCGGGGCTGTCGTTGGGCAATACGGACTTTCAGCTCCCTCCAAAGATTTGGCTAGGCCACTCCAGGACCTTGAGATGCTTCTTACGGAGCCACTCCTTAGCTGCCCTGGCTGTGTGTTTTCGGGTCGTTGTCATGCTGGAAGACCCAGCCACGACCCATCTTCAATGCTCTTACTGAGGGAAGGAGGTTGTTGGCCAAGATCTCACGATACATGGCCCCATCCATCCTCCCCTCAATACGGTGCAGTCGTCCGGTCCCCTTTGCAGAAAAGCATCCCCAAAGAATGATGTTTCCACCTCCATGCTTCACGGTTGGGATGGTGTTCTTGGGGTTGTACTCATCCTTCTTCTTCCTCCAAACACGGCGAGTGGAGTTTAGACCAAAAAGCTCTATTTTTGTCTCATCAGACCACATGACCTTCTCCCATTCCTCCTCTGGATCATCCAGATGGTCATTGGCAAACTTCAGATGGGCCTGGACATATGCTGGCTTGAGCAGGGGGACCTTGCGTGCGCTGCAGGATTTTAATCCATGACGGCGTAGTGTGTTACTAATAGTTTTCTTTGAGACTGTGGTCCCAGCTCTCCTCAGGTCATTGACCAGGTCCTGCCGTGTAGTGCTGGGCTGATCCCTCACCTTCCTCATGATCATTGATGCCCCACGAGGTGAGATCTTGCATGGAGCCCCAGACCGAGGGTGATTGACCGTCATCTTGAACTTCTTCCATTTTCTAATAATTGCGCCAACAGTTGTTGCCTTCTCACCAAGCTGCTTGCCTATTGTCCTGTAGCCCATCCCAGCCTTGTGCAGGTCTACAATGTTATCCCTGATGTCCTTACACAGCGCTCTGGTCTTGGCCATTGTGGAGAGGTTGGAGTCTGTTTGATTGAGTGTGTGGACAGGTGTCTTTTACACAGGTAACGAGTTCAAACAGGTGCAGTTAATACAGGTAATGAGTGGAGAACAGGAGGGCTTCTTAAAGAAAAACTAACAGGTCTGTGAGAGCCGGAATTCTTACTGGTTGGTAGGTGATCAAATACTTATGTCATGCAATAAAAAGCAAATTATTTACTTAAAAATCATACAATGTGATTTTCTGGATTTTTGTTTTAGATTCCGTCTCTCACAGTTGAAGTGTACCTATGATAAAAATTACAGACCTCTACATGCTTTGTAAGTAGGAAAACCTGTAAAATCTGCAGTGTATCAAATACTTGTTCTCCCCACTGTATAAGTTATCCGGTACGAGGTTTTGTGCCGAATACATTACGTTGCTACAGGTGTCAAGCTTATGGGCATGTGGCAGCAGTGTGTAGGAGGGAGGTTCCTAGGTGCGAGAAGTGTGCAGAAGGGCATGAGACAAAGGAATGTGTAGCATTGTGGAAAGTAGTGGTATGTGTTAATTGTAGGGATGCCCATGGGGCTGGTGATCCGAAATGTCCGGTGCGGGAGAGGCAGGTTGAGGTTTCCAGGGTTAGAGTAGTGCAGAAGTTGTCATATGCTAAGACAGTGAAGAAAGTAGAGGAAGATGGGTCAAGGGGGAGGAATCCTGAGAGTAATGGTGTGAGTAGTAGATCTGTACAAGTACAGAGGGATAAACCAACAAGTGATATACAGTTGACGTCGGAAGTTTACATACACCTTTGCCAAATACATTTAATCTCAGTTTTTCACAATTCCTGACATTTAATCCTAGTAAACATTCCCTGTCTCAGGTCAGTTAGGATCACCACTTTATTTTAAGAATGTGAAATGTCAGAATAATAGTAGAGTGTTTTATTTCAGCTTTTATTTCTTTCATCACATTCCCAGTGGGTCAGAAGTTTACATACACTCAATTAGTATTTGGTAGCGTTGCCTTTAAATTGTTTAACTTGGATCAAACGTTCCGGGTAGCCTTCCACAAGCTTCCGACAATAAATTGGGTGAATTTTGGCCCATTCCTCCTGACAGAGCTGGTGTAACTGAGTCAGGTTTGTAGGCCTCCTTGCTCGCACACGCTTTTTCAGTTCTGCCCACAAATTTTCCATTGGATTGAGGTCAGGGCTTTGTGATGGCCACTCCAATACCTTGACTTTGTTGTCCTTAAGTCATTTTGCCACAACTTTGGAAGTATGCCTGGGGTCAATGTCCATTTGGAAGACCCATTTCCGACCAAGCTT